GTATGTTTATAAAAACAGGCAGTGCTAAAAAACTGTATTTCTCCTCTAATAACAGAGAGAATAAAACAATCAAAAAAATAAAATTTTGCGAAAAATGAGGCTAAAGTAGGCTATTAATTATAACATGCTATTAGTGTACCAGCAAGGGTGTTACGAATTTTCCAACCAAAAACCTATATTATTGTAACATCCGGTATACACTCTATAATTAAATTTTATTTAAAGAATCAAAGAGATTACTATTCCTGAAGAATCAACTTAGCTTCCAAAAAAAGAATATCTAAATCAATCAAACGGTTCAAAAAAACTCCAAATTTTTGAAAACTATTAGTGATGCGATAATTTTTGTGGGGTGTATATTTAGCACCATTTGCACGTACCAAAACATTTTCAGGAAAAAAGTGTTCTAAACACAACTCTGGGTTTTTACGAAGGGGCTGATTTTCAAGGATCCCTACTAGAGAAAACCAAAGTTTTCTTTTCTCAGGATCTTGCGGAAACTTAAATAGAATATTAAAAAATATGTATGGGTGCCTAATAGGTAAATAATTTTTAAGGTATTCTACATTTTACGTTAAATTTTCTTTGCCACTATTCAATAATTATTTATTGGTATAAGAATAATTTACTAATTTATAAAAGGAATATCACTTCAAAAACTGTTTTAGACTACACAAATTTTTGATACAATTTCTTGTACAATTTAAATTGTATATTATCAAACCTGCAGTAAATTGTCGGAAAAATTAGATTGGATAATCATTTTTCAAACAATTTACTATGTAATCCTATACAATTTAAATTCTATAAGAAATTGTATCAAATCTTGTACAAGAAATTGTATAGTCAAAACAGTCTTAAGACGGGTATCCTACTCCACTGGTTCAAATGAAAACAACATCTTAACCTAAAAATACTTACCGATGAAAGGATAAATTTCGATTTAAATGATCTACCTTATTAAACACTACACATGCATGTACCATAATTCTTTATATTTCTCACAAAAGTTCACAAAAATAGTATTTTATAAATGAATATATCAATTGTAGGAATGATTTTATTTTCTATACAAATTTAATAAGTTTTATTTTACGAAACACGTAATATTTGTCTTCCAAAACAGTAACAGACTATGTTTATGTTAACACTATTAAGATACGGAGGTATCGGATTACGAATATTGGAACTAAGGGTAAAAGATCAAGTTGGTATAAAATACAGATCATTTTAAATTTGGGTTAGTTGCTTTGCGGAACAAAATTAAAGTTCGTTCCAATAATAATAAACTAGTGAATAATTATAATTTTTGTGAGTGGCTGTTTGTTGAACAGGGTAGGGTGAGTTTTTCTCACTGAATAATTATGTTTTATCAGTTAGTTTTGTTTTAATTTGTAATCAAGTTATTTTGCAAATTATATAATCCAATATTATCCATCAACCTTTTATAATTAATTTGTCAATTCTGACGTAAAGATATTTTGTCAAGTATTGAGAAAACCTTATATCCTAAATTAATGGGGTTATATTAAATAATTAAAACTTATTTGAATTTGACTATTATATTTTGTTTTCCTCTACGAGGTTTAATCAAAAGTAAAGTGAGTTAGATTGTCTGTTCTGACGTAGTTCATTGCGGTCAGTATATGCGTTTATTTTGGGATTACTGTGGTCAGTTTTCCCAGAGTCGTGCGGGCTAGTGACATTGCGGTCAGTGTGGTAGTAATGGCTTGTTTTATATATCGATCGATGTTTGGGCATTGCGGTCAGTGCCAACAGAATTGAGAATATAACTTTTTGTCAATTATGGAAAATTTAAAGTTGTGTCAATTATATTTTTTTTATATAATCAATACTTTGACATAAATAGTAGTCAGTATAATTTTCTTGTTAATTAAAAGGATAATAAGTATTTTGTTTATGAATATCACCTTTTCGTGACTTTCTTTAATATAAAGCTGCTTTTGGTAAACTTGATTGCGCATACTTGTTTTTATTTTATTTCAGGTACGAAATCTCATACGTGCATTAATTAAGTATTTTATCTATTTTATTTTACTATTATTTTATTTACGTTTCATTGTTTTTAATCATTTAATATTTATTTCTCTCTAATTTTATTTTGTTCTAAATTTTAACTCTCAATTTAAAGTTATTAAATCGTTTATTGAATTAATTTCTAGTGTTCCCTGACATTGATTAAATAACTAAATATTACCGCCCAAGTTAATAATAGATATTTTTAAATTACAAATATCGTCCTATACAATAAGTCACACAGAAACTGTCAGAAACACAAAATAGCTGTTAGACCCGATTGGCAACGTTGCGGCTGGTTACGGTAACTACATTTCATTCATAAAAATAGGTACTATTTGTAAATTCGTAAAATAAGATATTCAGCGTTGCCGTATTTACGGAGTTCTTTGCAACCCTATAATATTTTGTTTAGATTAATATTGATTTTTAATAAAAAATTTAGCTTATATTAAAACTTTAAAGAATAATTTAATTAACAACATATTTTTATTTATATAATATAAAATTATAGTTATAGGATACATCAAATTTTATGTTTCGAAAGAAATTTCTCCAAATAATTTTTACAGACTGATAAAACCGGCAAAGACGTAATAAACGAGAATCTGGTGGGAATAATGATTTGCCACATAAAAATGTAAACAATTTGGCCTCTTAGTTGTAATGTCTTTGATACTATGCAATAAACCAAAATATGTCATGAACGAGCAGAGAGAACGAAAAGTTTGAAGTTTACCTGTCTTGCGAAGTGCATGATGTCACACAAAATCTACGAGTATCATCGAGGTATAGTGACAAGTATACCTACAGTATACAGCGTTGTACATATAGGAATCGTATTCAAATTAATATACTTTAATATTCTTACGTAATTTATCACTATTCCAAATAGCATTCGTTTAATAATTGTTCAACGTTACTTCGAATTCTTTTTCGTCCATTTTTTATCGTTGTACACGTCGGAAGCGTATTCAAGTCGCTAAATCGTGATATTTTATCAAGAAGTTTACAAAAAACAAAATAGCATACGTTTGTTAATTTTCTAAAATGCATCGATTATTATGCGACCTTTTTTTTTAGCCTCTGGAATATTTATACACACACTAAATACAAACTATTATTAAAGTTTAAGCTTTGATACGAGGTTGATATCGTTTGCTTTTCATGTCGAACAATTCTAAAAGTTGTTTAAAATTTGATGAGGATTTGGGGATTTTTTTTTTAATTTAATCAATATTAATGATGTTGATTTCCCGACAGTAAACCTATAATACCTATAATGAAGGCTGTTTATTTTTTTATTTACATTTTTAAAATCTTTTATTTTATACTTGTTAGAAAGTTTACGAGTTCTAACAACTAAATGTTCGGATGGGCTATTATATCAAAATAATACTACGAGTGTAATTATTTTTGGATACCATACCTACATTTAAAAATATTGACAAACATTATTATGAAACAAAATTTTTTAAATAATATTTCATCCAATACTTAATATTATTAATTAAAAGACTCTCGTAAAATATATAATTTTTAATCGCCTAAATCAAAAATAAATACCTGATAAGGGCTATTTCCACCGCTAGTCGTTAATAAATAGTTCCAAGTTCAAAATTATATTTTTAGCGGACAAATGTCATTTTAAACCTGGTTTATTTTTAACTACTAGCGGTAGAATTGCACCTAAGTAATTAGTTAAACGAAGCTTTTTTAAAGCGTTCTGAATTATGAAATCGATATAATATTTATCCTTACAAAATAGAGAGATATTGCAAATGTCTATAACGTCAGCCACTAATAATGACTACGTAATTAGAAGCAAATAAATTATATCCTAAAATAAGACTTGCCTTGCCCTTATACATATTTCTAACCTCATTTTAAAAATGTTAAATTATAGTTAATTTTTGTTGTTGTCTATAATACGAGTATTACATAATATAGAAGAGGCATTAAAAATTACCATTTTAGGGTCTATTTATACTCCCTTAGTATTAGTATTTGTATTAGTATTATGATTAAGCATTAAATTTGTTAAATCATTAAAAAAAGGTATTTATACTCGTTTTATAATTAGTATTAGTAATTCTTTTTTAAACCTAATACCTAATAAGATATAATTCTGCAGTCAACAAAATATATGGTTACTGAAGAAATGTGTAAGAAGCCGGTTTTGTTCTTTTAAGATATTTGAGTTTTAAATGTGTTTTTATTAATAGTTTTACTAGTTAATTTTATTTAAAAATATTAATATTCAAAAATAGGTTTAATTAAGGACATTTTAACGGATTTAAGCCTCAAATTTATAACAGATAAAAAGAAGCAGAAATATGATACAAATCAGACAGAAAAGAGGCCTTTGCTTCCTCGTGGTGACATGTCATCTGTCAACTTTATAATCGGTAAACACTGCTGATACACAAAAATTGTATACATAGCATGATTTGTACCGAAATATTATCGTTTTCGAGCTTGTTGGAACAAACATATAAACAACATAATCATGTGTGTATTGTCAATTATCCTTATCCGTTGTCTATTAAAAACAAAGGCCAAATACGCCATTGATTCATTTTATAGAAAAGAAGAAATTTAATATTTAATTTAAAAGTTGAATCTGTCAATTATTAAGCATAAATATTAATGCTAATACTAATCATAAATCGAGTATAAATTTCCCCATTACATTGTGAAGGTTCAACTTAATGCTTAATCATAATACTAATGCAAATACTAATAATAAGGGAGTATAAATAGACCCTTAGATTTAGATGACGATGATATTAAATATTAAAAAACTACGAATGTCGACGAGCGCACCCGAAAGCTATAAAGTCGTCACTATCTGCTGCCCTAACGCCCGTATGCACCGTACAGGTTTAATCCAGATCAAGGGCTTAATCGCGTTTAGTACCATAGCTAAAAATGGTACTAAGCGCGATTAAACCCTTGAACTGGATTAAACGTGTACGGTGCATACGGGCGTTAAACATCCATAATTAAGGACAGACAAAATCTTTAATAATGTCAGTTCTAGAACGTAAACGATCTACGCATGCTCAGATGTCAAAATAAGAGCGGCGCTTATAGTGACTGACCTTAAGTGAACTTGCAATAACTCTCTATTATTAAAAAATCGACCCTTAAACTTTTAACATTAAAGATGTGACGGTATTTCTGGAACGGTATTTTTTTGGATCGTAACATCGCAAGAGAGGTAGCGATTCAGTTCAAATATTTCCCCTCTGTGTTTCCCCTTCTTCAGACACCAAATACACAGAAAAAAATATCATGCAAATGTTTAAAAAACAAATATATTATGCACCTATTACAATTTTTTAACTTAGTATAAATATAAAATATTTTATTTTAGGTGGTCCAATATTAAACCACAAAAATGCCCACCAAACTAGTTTTTGCAAAGCCAGGAAATCCTGCCGAGGTTCTGCGTACCGAGGAATATGACATGCCACAAATAGAACCAAACGAAGTTTTAGTACAAATGATAGCAGCACCTGTAAACCTCATAGACTTAAACATAGTTCTAGGAATTTATCCTTTCACATATGAGATTCCTGGATTCGAAGGAGTTGGGAAAATTATTAAAGTAGGTTCTAAAGTACAAAAGGTTCAAATCGATGATATTGTAGTACCAACCATTTATGCAGGTAATTAGGAACCATTATAATTACATAAAAAATATACAATATACGGAATAAAACTACAAATTTGCTGGATTTTTGGAAAGAAAAACTAGTAAATAACTTTTTATATCTGTTTAGATCATTCCTAATGTTGTATACAACTATACAAACTATTTAAAGACTGTTTAATCCAGTTGAAATTATTCCAGGTACATGGAGAACTCATCTAGCCCTAAAAGAAGACGACGTACTGCCTTTACCTAAAGAAATAGACATATCAGAAGCTGCAACGTTTTTCATAAACCCAGCAACCGTGTACATAATGTTGAAACATTACATTGATCTAAAACCAGGAGATGTAGTTCTTCATAACGGTGCTAACTCTACATGTGGCATATATACAATACAATTATGCAAAGCTTGGGGCTTAAAATCAATAAGCGTTGTTAGAGACAGACCAGACATCAAGGAGTTAAAGGAGTATTTGAAAAGTCTTGGCGCTACGTATGTTTTCACTGAGAAAGAAATTAAGGAAACAGACATATTCAAAACAGGACAATTGGAGAATCCTAAGCTGGGTCTAAATTGTATAGGAGGAGAGTCAGCAAATACTATTTTAAGTCACTTAAGTGACGAAGGACTATTAATTACATACGGAGCTATGACTCTGGAACCAATTAGCGTATCTATAACTACACTTGTCTTCAAAAACATTAGATTAGACGGTTTTAACTTTTTTAAATGGTTCGGTAGACCTGAAAATGAAAACAAAAAACCTGAAATGTATAAAACATTGATTGATTTAATAATGAAAGGAGATTTTAAAGCCGCACCACACGAATTTGTAGATTTTCAAAATTATAAAGAAGCTATGAGTAAATCTGTATCTAAAGATGGAATGATTGGAAAAAAGTACATTTTAGATTTTAGAAGTCTTAAAAATTGATATGATAACAGTATTCCATTGTTTTCAAAAATGTGTTTTACTTAAATAATTATTATGTTCGGTGTTGGTGAAAAGAAATAAATGATGTACTAGTTTTATACACGGTTTTTATTTGCCCTATTTACCATCAGAATATCACAGTTAGATTTACATACCTACACTTAAACTTACATGTTAGTTCAGTCACAAATTAGATGAACAATACAAAAAGAAACAAGACTACAGCCAAAACTCCAGCCACTGTAGCCCACCGATTGTCATTTGTCACCTATAAGTAGGATGTTTGTTTATTTACATTGCGTTTGTTTTGGGCGGGATTTTGTATTTGTTTTTTTAACTGGTTTTAGATAATATTCTCATTATAATAGTCTTTTCGAGTTTCATTTAGTGTTAATTTAAGTTTAGTTTCCATGCTTTCCTCATAAATATAATATTTATCATGTGTTTATGACTTAATTTAGTAAAAGTATTCACCTATTGATTGGTTGCTACAAAAACATCTAGAAATATTTATTTACTAAACTGAGGACATGTTTTATTATGTGGTTTAAAGGACGTTTGGTACCTGAACGTTTATTATTGATGAACTTAATTGAAAATCTTACTATCCTTATTCTTATATTATGATGTGAATGGTGTATGTACTTTGTATACATGTAAACGGTAATTAAACTGTCACAAATCAGATTGCAGTTTGATTCTAGACAAAATTTTGCAAAATCTCAATATTGTAAATTTGTAGAAATCTATTTATCGTAAGAAATAAAATTATATGACTTACGCTTTGAAAATAATAAACACTTCAATTTTGATTTTGACATTAACACCATATAGATTGCAATTTGCTGGAGGCTTTTTCGTAAATTTCATTTTTAATATAAACACTAAAGAAATAAACAAATTTAAATCTCAAAATTTTTTTTCTAATAGATGTTTCCCTATCAATTTTAGTTTGCGCTTTGGCTATATTGAAAAATCTAATTCTACAATAAATTTTTGTTATTAACTTATTTTCATTACATGGCTCTCTTCTCCTACATAATAACTGAATAAATGGTCCTTATATTCATTCGAATAATTAGTTTAAAGTAGAAAAATACTAAGGTGTTAAAAATTTCAATAAAATTTGGTTCTGGAGGCATCATGCTATTAGTAAGGGACAAGGTCTGGCTCATTTTATTCTCGATAAAAGGGCATGTTTCTATTATATTATTTGATGGTGCTATTATATCTCCACAATTTTTTATATTGAAAAGCGCAAGGTTATCTCTCGGAGTATCATCAGAACAAACTATAGCTCCATGCAATTTAAAGATTTAACATGTTTTTTTAAAGTTTTGGCAATAAAACCAAATATATAGGCAACCATATTTTCCGAAATGAATGATAATGTCGGAAGGAGTCTTTTTATACCTTGAAAATATCATAACCAACAAATGTGGCACTGATGTCCACATTATATTTTTTTATTAATAAAATGTCGTCGACAGTAATTGGTGACATAATTTTCTTACTCGAGAAGGTTGTCAAAATATGTCGAGATTGTTCACTCTACATAAAAATTGTATTGCTCATTTTTGCAGACACAAAACAGTATTGACTCACGGCTACAACCTCCCCAAAATGCAATTGCATATATTTTAAATGGAACAACTCAACTAGAACGTAATATTCATTCGAATAATTAGTTTAAAGTAGAAAAATACTAAGGTGTTAAAAATTTCAATAAAATTTGGTTCTGGAGGCATCATGCTATTAGTAAGGGACAAGGTCTGGCTCATTTTATTCTCGATAAAAGGGCATGTTTCTATTATATTATTTGATGGTGCTATTATATCTCCACAATTTTTTATATTGAAAAGCGCAAGGTTATCTCTCGGAGTATCATCAGAACAAACTATAGCTCCATGCAATTTAAAGATTTAACATGTTTTTTTAAAGTTTTGGCAATAAAACCAAATATATAGGCAACCATATTTTCCGAAATGAATGATAATGTCGGAAGGAGTCTTTTTATACCTTGAAAATATCATAACCAACAAATGTGGCACTGATGTCCACATTATATTTTTTTATTAATAAAATGTCGTCGACAGTAATTGGTGACATAATTTTCTTACTCGAGAAGGTTGTCAAAATATGTCGAGATTGTTCACTCTACATAAAAATTGTATTGCTCATTTTTGCAGACACAAAACAGTATTGACTCACGGCTACAACCTCCCCAAAATGCAATTGCATATATTTTAAATGGAACAACTCAACTAGAACGTAATATACACTTTTAGCTGGTTTAAAAACTATTTCTTTAGCCACAATTCTGACTGCAAAACATCAGGAGAAAGTTTTTTGTTTAGCAATTTTCTATGGTTCTTATATTTCTATAATAATTATTGTCTAATTATGACTTTCTATAGGTTTCATTTCTGTGCCATAAAATTGTAGTGTCATCAGCAATTAGAGTGAAAGTACTTAAGTATTAAGTTGAGTTAAGTAATTTATATAAAGAAGGAATAAAATGGGACTCAACATGGAACCCTGAAGGACTCCCAACTTATATCTAAAACTAGAGAGTACATAATAACTCTTACCATTTGCTTGCGTCTTCAATTTCGCAAATGTTTGCAACAATACTGTATGATTAACACAATAAAACACCTTAATCAAATCACAGAATATCTTCACTACAGCTTTGTTTAAATTAATTTTAGAGTAAACACGCGGGCGGAGAAGGCGATCCAGTCCTGATAATTGATTTAGGCAACCAATAATGCATGTTATATTTTCGTTGTATTTTCTCCAAAAACTTCGTAATGCACATGCGTTGTAGTACTGCTAAACATCGCAGAGCTGTGCCATGTTTGGTATGTTGATTAGATCGGCTGGCAGGATCGTGTAGCGTTCCACTGGTGGGGAGTTCAGTGGTCTTTAGTAACATCACAAATAGTTTTTAATTTTGACAAAAAAATCTGTTTACTCTGTAAGTTCTTTGGTAACTAACAAAAAAGACTGCTTATGTACAATACATCTCAGGGCTGGTAAGGGGGTCGCGACATAGGAGTCCATTTTGGACGCCATTTTTTTCGAAACAGTAGTCGCCCATTGATCTGGCAACCTGTAGTCGCTTGGCTTGCCAATATAAGAAAAAAAATTAGACTTTTTTTAAATGACATTTTCATTATAAAATGCCCATATTTTTTACTTTTTTAGGTTAAAATATTTCAATTTAATAAATTATTAATAATCTCACATGTACATAGAATACGTCGTGAAAAGTAGATAATTTTGTGCTGTTTTGGTTTGGTTTATTTTAAAAGGTAATTGAAAATATGAAGACAATTTTCTTATAGATGAGGATGCATAACAAATTATGGCTCCCTTTTTTAGAGCTCCAGTCCCCTAAGTCTATTTATTTTAGGTCTTTTTAAATTGTTGGTAGGTATTATTCACTTCATTTGTATGTTTTTATTTAATTTGAATAATTTTGTGTAATATCTTCCGATTCGTTTTCTATGCATTTTAGCATTTGTTCGCACAGGTTAACAAAGCTGACAAAAGAAATGGACAAACCTTTTTCTAGATTTTTTAATATTTCAGGGCAATAGTGTTAACAGCAGACCACAACAAGAATAACCAAAGTTAGTAATCAAGCAACATATTTCAGTATCTCCAGAATTATAAACGTATGAAAACTATAATAGAAAACATGCAACGCTTCGATTAGGAAATTACCTAAATTAGCATATCTAGTGAATATTGTATTTAAAGAATATATTTTTAATCAAAACTTTTGTGCTTCTACTCCAAAACTAACCATATACCCACATAACATCAATGTTCTATGAATATACTAAGAATGTTCTGTCTATGTTCTTTTTAGTATATGCTTTCTAGAATGTTCTTAGAACATACCTAGTATATACTTTGAAAGTATATTCTAGGAAGTATATACTGAGTACGTGCTATGAAAGTATATTCTAAAAAGTATATACTGAGTACGTGCCTTAAAAGTATATTCAAAAAAGTATATACTCAGCACGTGCTATAACAGGACATTCTTAGAAGATACCAAAATTCATATACCCAGCATGTTCCTCATATTCTGAGAATGTTCTAAATGCTTGCAGGTAAAAATTAACACCAAATAAATGTAAAAACACGTTTATATACACATCTATATAAATTTTTCCCAGATGTTGATCTGATAATTCGTTAGCAAACGCACTAACGTTGAGGGTTCAGACCAACAAACATTTGCCACTTTGACAGAAGATAAGAATAACATAACCTACAATTTCTACAAATTTTTTAGATCACGTTTCAGTTTGTAATAGGTAAGTAAATTATTAAAAATTAATTGCATCGTGTGTTCTATATAAAAATAAACAAATTTTACTATATCTGTAGTTTTTAGGACTTATAATTGATGTTAGAACACAGGATATCCCAAATATTAATTGCCAGTATGAATTTATTAATATGGTTAATACTAATGGCGGATTGAAACTAAAATACAGTGTTACCAGAATTTCATTCACAAGCTTTGTTCGGCTTACTTTTGAGGACTGTTTAAAATCGTTATAATCATGCGCATTTAAATTTACGTGTTCGGGTTTCTCCAAATCTAGTCCTAGGACACTCTAGGATTGACTGTTTCGTGTGTATTTTAGTGCGCAACTAATTTCACGCAGTTCTGAATCGTTCTGAAACGTTATAAAATTGGTAAGCCGAACAAAGTTATAGTTTCTATGAAAAAAATATTGAAAAGCCAGAAATTGACCTGGAAGAACTATAAAATTAGCTAAAGGAGGACGAAAACTACAAAATGGTGGTAAGTAATTAACAAAAATATATTTAAACTTTCACTGAACATAATAATCATTTATGTAACTCTTGTTTTTGTTAGTGGAATGCCATGTACAATTTTTAATGTTTTACGTTCGACAAAAATATTCCATTAGCTATGTACACTTAATTTGTATATGTACCAAGTTTGTTGATTTTTTATTTTTTAGGTTCAATGAAGATCCAATGGAATCAAGCAATAAAATATTGGTTGGTTAAGGTCAAAGAAAGAATTTGTAATAAAAATAAGATAGGTATATATGATTTTTTTTAAATAAAGATTTAAAAAATGGTCACGATTTTCATTATTATATAGGTACACTTATTCTTTAATGTTCAATATTAATCAAACATCCTGTATTATGGTGTCTAGTATATGCCCAGCATATGTTATATTTAAATACTTAGCATATATTTAGAACGTACTATCAAATTAGAGTAGATACCTATAGCATGCTGTACACATACTTGAAGTACATTCTCAGTATCTGCATAGTGTACGTTTAAAGAACGTCACGTAGCATATTCTTTGTATATTCTGAGAATGTTCCAAATGCAAATACAGTATATTCTCAGCATATGCACATTCTTAAAAAGCATATACTGAGAATATGCTATGAATGTATAGTTGTTATCTGGGTAGAAATGCATATGCATTTTATAGTATTAAGGAGGTCCTTTCGCCACCAATGTTAAATAAAAAATATTAGATTATGACTAAAATTAATTTTTTTCTAATATTAGATGTCCTTATTTATCTAATAGTGAACTTTTAACTATACCTTACCGTGCAAATTTTTGAGAAAATTTTTTTTTAAAAATGTGTGTGTTTGTACAGTGTCTTATGAGAAAGTAAGACTTCAACAACAATTTTCGAATTATAATTAATTTTACTATTATTTATTGATTAGATGGAGTAGAAAAAAACAAAAAATAAGGTTTTTGAAATATTTAGGTTTTGTTTTTTACAATAAAATATATAGGTTACCGTGGAATTTATTGAGAAATTATTATTAAAAAATCACAAAAAATTTTCAACTAGGTTACTTGAAAATTTTTTGTGATTTTTTAATATTAATTTCTCAATAAGTTCCACGGTTTACTATATATATTTTATTGTATAAAACAAAATCTAAATATTTCAAAAACCTTATTTTTAGTTTTTTTCTACTCCATCTAATCAATAAATAATAGTATAATTCGAGAATTGTTGTTGAGGACTTACTTTCTCGTGAGGCACTGTACAAATACTCACATTTAAAAAAAAATTCTCAAAAATTTGCAAGGTAAGGTATAGTTAAAAGTTCAATATTAGATAAATAAGGACTTCAACTATTAGAAAAAAATTAATTTTAGTCATAATCTAATAACTTTTTTTTTAACATTTGAGGCGAGAGGTGTGGCGAAAGGACCTCCTTAAGCAAGATTCGGATCAAATGTACCCATAATTTATAAACATTATTAAACTAAAATAAAACATTTCAAATAACACCTGTTTTTTATTTAAATAAAACATTTTAAATATATGTTTTTATTAAATACATAAATAAGTCTCAACCACTTATTTTTTTTGTTTTTACTTCTAGTGTAAAAGTGACTACTAATTCACAGTCTTTCAAGTTTATTATTTAAAGAGACCAGCTACTATAAAATATCCTATTGATGATAACTAATTTCTCTTTAATAATGTTTTTGCATTTATCAACATTTTACAGCACTTTGTTTATATGAAACATCTATTTAGCTCTTAATTAAATCACATTTAAATCAAGTAATTACATTTTTATATTCAACTTATGTATTCTTATTAGAAATTAGTCACTTTTTTTAATTTGAATTTAAGACATTTCTTTATAAGCTTACTAGAACATACTTCTGTAACCAGAGCATTTCTTTATAACGTTTGGTTACTCTGCTTTGGTTACATGTTACCGAAGCATATGTAGCTATATCTAACGAGGCATTTATTTATAAGCTTATTAGAACATACTATAATAAAAAATAACAAAGTCAAAACATCCTAAAATTTCTAAAATTCAAATTCCGTTTAGAAATCCCCAAACTTAAATTAAATTTGACATATGACATTCAATAATAGGGAAACCATGGTATACGTAATGTCACCACAGTAACCACAATACTGTAACCAAGTATGTTGTAATAAGCTTATAAAGAAATGCCTTTTGTGACTGTGGTAACCGAGTCCATTCACCAAACCACAAACTTAGTCACTTAAAAATGTTGAAAGAGAATGTCATAAAGGTAAAATTCCTTCTTCTATGATGTTTTCCATGCAATTTTAGGTTGTAAACGTTTTGTCCAACACTTTTTTACAATTTATCCCAAGCAACACTATGAAATATTTAAATCCTCGATTTACAGCATTCAGTTTTGAGATGAGTGCAGTCACAATGCAGTTTCAGAGATAATTTTTACATGAACACTTATTTACCACATACAAACGCATGTACCTATTCATGTAACATTAAAATAAAGTGGAAACAAATTGCATAATTTGGTATATAAAAAGTACAAAATGTTTTTAGTTTTAATTCGACATTCGACTACGAAGAAAACAGTGGTTCATTCCACTTGTACCATATTGACATTATTATGCACGATGCACGTTAAAAGTAGATCTGTCTCTGTTTTTATAATACTATTACGGCAGGACAAACGATAACCGTGAATTTCGCCAAACGAACATCAGAACTGAAGCTGACTACTATTTCCCCCTAGCCTCAGTCACCCCCTCATGGCCCTCATCCATTTACTGGGTCTATGTTGCGACCCCCTTAGATATACCAGCCCTGAATACAACTACCTTTTTTTATGCGAAAAGTGTCTTTTAATAAGAGTTGTAAATGAAGTTACCAAAAATTGAAGATAAAATATCAACAACTTAGTTTGTTTTAAAGATTGTCCATTTAATATTCAAAAGAGAAGAAAATAATTTTTGTATGTCAGTGTTTGTATTATAACTTATAACCTTAGTTAAAGAGTTATTTCTTGGGGTTTACTTCTCATGAAGGGAACAATAACTCTTTAGCTACATCATCCAGTAAAAAATTGAAAACGAAACAAATTCAACTTAATAAAATTTTATTTATAAAAAAAATAATAAATTCTTACAACAAAAATGTTTCTTAAATAAAATTTATGTAAAAAAAATTAACTCATTTTAATATAAAATAAACAATATTCGATTTCAATTGAAATCTTAACGAGATATTTATATAATCCTAAATCTCTTTAAAAATAAACCAAATTCTAGTTTTTTTTTTTTAATTAAATAATAAGAAATATTCTAATGAGGCTGTTGCAATTTACGCTGTTGCAATTTACCTAGAAACGCTGATATCAACAGCTAATCTTCAATACGCCAAACAGTATGAAACAATTGTAAATGCCACTCATAATCGTGTATTAATATTTCTTTGTAACAAATATCACAGGTTATTTTCATAAATTTATAATTCCAACAAAACATATCCGGTCTCTCTTTAAGATAGCACATAATACTACTTAAACTAGTATTGTAACTAGTATTTAAAAAAGTTTTTTTCAAAGTTTCATACTCGTCTTCCATATCTAAAACATCGTCAAAAATCTTATCTTCCAAATGAGAATCGAAGTGTTTGAACAACGTTTCTTTCAAAGGAAATTCAGCGTTACACATATGGCACGCGAAAAGCCTTATTTTGTGTAACTGCATGTGTTGTTTGAAAGAAAAAGTATTCGGAAACCAAGTGTTGCATAACCGGCAAAATGGTTCATGTACGTACATATGCTCGGAAAGTGCTGCTTCGGTTTTATATCCACTGCCGCATTTATTACAAAACAACTTAGAATCTTCTTGAGATAGGAATGAATTTTTACTAGTTTCCGAACAAGATTCCGTATCCGAAGTTGCTAGTCTCAAATCAACGTTTTGAAATTTGGTCGCATTTGGGCAATCATTTTCACGACACCGACATGTATAAAAAACACCGTTTTGATCATCTAAAGAGGTGGTGTCTTTCAGTTTCGTTATGTTAATATGGTAATCTTGCGTTTTCCGCCGTGTTATTTTTTTCTTTTTTATTTTTCTTTTGGAATTTGATTTAATTTTGTTCTTTGGCAACGTGGTGTTATTTCTAAGAAAGAAAAGTTTATTATACAGTAACCCTACTTAAATATTATCTGGAACAGATAAACAAATTACCTATAATATTTAATTTTTTTATTTAGTACTGTCGTGTGAGCCATTTTCGACCCCGGCCCTGCTCTAATTTCTTAAATCCCTATCTGCCTTATTTGGGCCTTTACAGACTGCCCTTTTCCGATTAAGAATAATATTTAATGGTGATGATACGAAATTGCAATTTTTGCCGAAAATGGATATGAATAGACTCGTTTGTCGTTGGAAAGAAAAATAACAATTTATGCATTGTTCCCTAAATTTTAAAATTAGACTGACCCAAATGAACTTTCTCTACTTCTTAATAGATGGCGCAAGGAAAACAAATGAGCTACAGTGACTTTATCTTTATAAAGTCACTGTAAGTTGAGCCAATATCAGTTTATGACATCATTTTAAAATCGTAGTGGTCCAAGCAGTAATCGGGCCAGTATGATTTTCTAACGGCTTAAAATTAGCTGTCAAAGGGTTTCTTCAGGAACTCAGAAACTTTCCCGTGTTTATACTTTTGATCATTAAAATTCTTTAATAATTCAGTAAAATTTTCATTTCGTTTAGCAAATAAACAAGTGAGTGTTGTATCTATCTTTTGTAGCAGTATAAAACAGTCTTAAGGTTGAATCTAAATGTAAAATATATTAAAGAAAATATAACTATTATTCATAACCTACTAATGCATAAAAAAATTTAATTAATAGGTTTGTTCCAACAACAATCAGAAACCGGTTATTGCCACCAGGATTCTGCGCAGTAGATTATTAGGACTCTAAATTATATACTGCGCAGAATCCTGGTGCCAATGACTGGTTTCAGATTGTTGTTGGAACAAATCTATAGAAACTACAGCACATTGTTATTGTGGTGCGAACGCCTGAACCGACTCTGTTCTTCGATCTTTAGCGCGACGTGGTGTCTGGCACCTGACTCATGATCGAAACATTTCCGTAATTATCTAGGTATGCAACTGACGAGTAGAGGAAGCACTTCACGAACGCTTTGAGAGTTTCTAGACAGTCGAGAATGTACTAGTGTAGAGCTGGCTTTATATAATTAGCGCGAGATTGCCGATAAACCTTAAGTTTCAATTTAAGTGTTGGATACTATTGTAATAAATAAATTAGAATTGTGAGTTATAATAGATACATTAATTAGGACATTTTAAATAAATAATAAATAAACTGTTTTCAATAAACTATTTTTAAATTAAAGAGAGAAGGCAGTAAATTTAACCATCGCCCTTAGAGGAGATGCTTTAGATGTACTTCAGACTATATCCGTGAAAGAGATAAATGATTTTTAACAACTCAAAAAGAGACTAAACATGCGATATGGCCACGAACACTTGGAGCATTTATACCAATCACAGTTAAAGAATCGCAAACAGAAACGAGACGAGATCCTTCAAGAATATGAAGTAGGTATTGCCAGGTTGGCGCGATTTGCCTACCCATCAGCTCCAGAAAACATGATGGAATGTTTGGCAGTCCAAACATTTGTTGATGGACTCGGTGACCACGAAATGCAGAAACACTCCGCTTAGCCCGTCACACAACATTGGTCGATGTCTTGTCCGCTGCTCTAGAGTATGAGGCAGCTACGCAGGCTTCTGGAGGCTACAGTAAAGTGAGGACTGTAAAAGAAGAAAACGTGGAAGATAAACTCGACCAACTAGTTAACATAATGAAGACCTTTGCTGACGAAAACTATATCAGCTGCTGGAATTGCGGCGAACTGGGACAAGTACGTAATTCGTGCAAACGCCCTAGGGTTCCAACAAATGAAGACAACACGCCGCAGGAAAACTAAAGCGGATCGGCCTACAGGGGGCAGCTTCGAACCGAAACCATTCCAAAGACCCTCTAATACTGGTAGCCTCTTTGAAATGTCACGATGATAGTGTATACGTAGACGGCGAAGTAAATGATAAAAAGTATACACTGTTGGTGGATACTGGAGCAACTATAACCATTATACGACCAACAACCATAAATAACCGCAAGAGAATTCTACCAACAAGATTGCGGCTCCGGACTGCCACAGGTGAAAGTGCCAACATCCATGGGGAAATCCAGGTTCAATTAGAAATTGGTACAGAAAAGTGGAAATGGACCCAGTAGGCAAAGAAAAGACAGCTTTTACCACCGGATCTGGATTGTGGCAATTCAATGCCATGCCATTTGGACTATGTAATGCCCCCGCGACATTTGAAAGACTTATGGAAAATGTATTTATTTATTTATTTATTTATCATACGGTTTAAACTATTTACAAAATACAAGAAGTTATAATAAAAAAAATATATATATATAAATATTATGTAAACCTTACTTCTCAGCTTGATATAGGGAAGAGTTAAAAATATCGGTGTTTCGTTTTGCCGCAAATGTATTAGAATTTCTCAACAGTCTGATCATCCCAATTTCTGAGCCATAGTTATTTCTATGAACTGTCAAAGCAAATGTACAGCTACCCCGCAACGGCCTAGAAGGGATATAAAAATCTACCCTTCGCAAGAGTTCAGGAGAGTCAACAATGCCATTTACCAGTTTAAAGATAAATAAAAAATCAATAAATTCTCTTCGGGAAACTAAAGATTCATTATTTGTTGTGGCAAGCATATTTGCATAAGGGTACGGTAGTGACAATTTAAAAAAACATTACAAATCTACGTTGCACTCTTTCAAGCCTTTCCATATGATGACCAAATAACAGAACAATATTCCAAATGTGACCTTATGAGTGAATAAAATAAAATTTTAATTGTATGCAAATTCACAAAGTCTGCCGAATGCCTTCTCAGGAATCCTAACTGTTTTAAGGCTTTCCCAGTAACGTAGTTGCTGAGAGGGTTATCCTGAAAAACATGCCTGGTTTATTTAGACGACACCATAGTCTTGGGGAAGACATTTGATGAACATCTAAACAACTTAGAAGATGTTTTTAAAAGACTTCAAGCTGCCCAACTGATGGTAAACCCCAAAAAGTGCCAACTGCCTCTTTCAACATAAAGTTAATTACCTAGGTCATATAGTCAGCAAGGATGGGAGTATCTGTAGATAAGAAAAAAGTCGCTTCTTTCAAAGAGTGGCCACAACCAACTGATAAAAAAAGTTTTCTTGGACTATGCACGTACTATCGAAGAACAGAGTCGGCTCAGGCGTTCGCACCAAATTATAATTGTTACTTTTGTTTATTCTCTTGTTTTCATCTAGGGGACGGATACTTAACCATACTTTTGCGATGAAACAATGTAGACGTTCCAGTGATATTATAGCGCTACCTTGTTACGTTTTTCAACGTTACTGGAAGTTCTCAAAAATGATGTCTTTTTAACAAACCAGAAGTGACATTTCTGCTATATCCGAGAAAGCCTTTCTACGTCTTGTAAAATAAAATCATATTAATTAACTAAATGTGACGTTCCAAATACGATACAGTTCCTACTTTTTTATTTTTATGTATCTATTGCCTTTTAAATTTTATATGGACTATGTTATATAAATATTTTATATATTTCTATATTTCATCTATATAACACAGCTTACTTAAGCTGTGTATGTATATTATATAACAGAATATGCGATTTCGACAAGTCGGTAATACTTGGAGCAGACCAAGAAGAATGCGTCAAAGAATTAGCTTCAAAATTTGAAAATCATCTAGTAACATGGTCCAACTGCTAAATTATGGGTTTCTTACTTTCGCATGGTATCAGTTATGAAACAATTTATTGAGGCCGAAAGAAGCGGAAATTGGGACTTTCATCTTAATAGTATCCAGCAAATGTTGCCCTATTTTCATGCCAGTGGTCATTTTGTGTACGCTAAATGTGGCCATTTATATTTACAGGATGTGTATAGTTTAAAAGAAAAGATGAATCCTACAGAATACAGGTCTTTTACAGATTACGGATGGAGGGCGCTTCACAATTAAACGTTCTGACAAATTTTGGTGTGGCACATGGTCAGACATGGTTATTGAGCAATCATTAATGCAAACGATAAAAACCTTAGGTGGAATCAGGGCCGACAAAAGGGGGGGTGGGTAGCCGGGACTAATTCCCGGGGCCCGGGCTCAAGTAGGGCCGCGGCAGCGGCATAAGGGGGGCCCGGCAACTTTGGCGACGACGTTTATTACTTCTTCAGAAGTTCGGCACAAGAGGGGGAAAGTTTTTGCTTGAAGACCGTTTTTATAAAGATTTAGTAAAGAGGAGAAGGTTTTGCTTGAAGACCTTTTTTTTATAAAATTGTCACGGGGCCCGACCTGGAGAATTGTCCCGGGGCCCGACCTGGCTCTCGGCGGTCCTGGGTGGACTAACTCATGGGCGGCGAGTCCAGGAGAGCGTACTTTCTAGGTGGACTATGGGAATGTCATTATTGCACAATATTTGTGACGCCGTTGAAAATTTTTGCAATATGGAGTTTAACACTACGGAACAGCATGTTGAATTGATAAGTTCCCGGATTAATCGTGATAACAATAACGTAAAAAATTAATGGATTGGTTTTTCTAACATTCGCCGTTCCTGTAATGAAAGAACTTATGTCAATAAGTACTGGAGTCATTTTTGCTGTAAAAGCAACTAGTAACAAGATATCTTGAAAAAAATTAATTTTTCACAATTTATTGCAATATGGCGGCGACGGCGGCAAAATTACGAGGTGGCAAAATAAAAAATCGAAAAGAGCAGTTAAAAATACATCAAATCGTTAAATATCAAAACTTCTGCAAATTTTTCCAACTAAAGGTAATATTATACAGCACGTAATTACTGGAGTAAAGGTCTAAATTAATATCGACGGTAAGAGTACGAAATTCGGGAAACAGACTGCTCCATAACACATTACCACCGTTTACGTAAGTAGCAAGATCATCGGTGTCTCCATCTATGAACGCGGTACAGATTGTTAGGTCTGCCAGGTTTGCGATTGTCATTTAAAGATGTGTAACTTGTACACATTACTGTGCTGACCTGTATGTATTATTGTGAGTTATATAAATTAACATTGTATAAATGTTTGTCACATGAAGTATCTAAAAATAAGTACAAAATATGTTTATGTATAACTGCTAATTCAAGTATTCCAGCGTACATAAAACTTCATTTGTTCATGCTTGGGATGTTAGTGAATATGATGTTCGAATTTAAACATCTATGAGATATTTTAGTACCGTTTTAAAAATATATCCAAAAAAATCTCTATGAAAAACGTTACAAAAAAGACTGGTAATTGTTCATGTTTAGTGGGTATATTCTAATAAAAAAAACCTAACCAATTTACCTAACCTAAAATATACATAAAAATATATGGGATAAATTTAAAAAACTTAACGAAAGTACCTAGCCTGTGCGGCTTGCAGCCCTAGTAGGTTGCTTCACAAAATATACATAAAAGGAAAATATTAAAAATAACTTAACAAATATGCCTAAACTGCGCTGTTATTATGATTGCAAGAAAATATAAAGAGCAAATATGTAAAAAATAACTTGACAACAAATTAATTAGATTGATTATACTCTATACCAGGTGTTCAAATTAAAGTGTTACAGCTAAATACTGCCTTTTATAAAAAAAGACGTTTTAGACGAAAGTTTTATAGTTTTGTGGGGAAAAATTTTTGGCTAAAATCGTTTTTTATAGCTAACCATAATATGGCCAACTTTTTTTTCGCCACGCAAAATTTTCACGTAGCTGTTACTCAAAAAGTAAAAGACCAATAAAAAAATATTTCCATCGAAAGTTTCTTATTTTTTTATGTGCTTTAAGAATATGTATAAAAAAAATGGGATTCCCATTTAAAAAAACTAAGTCCGCCTCGATATGGCCATATTATAGTCAGCTATAAAAAAATGTTTCCCCCAAACAACTATAAAACTTTTGTCTGAAACTTTTTTTTTAAATGCCTATTTTCAGCGGTATTTAACTGTAACACTTTAATTTGAACACCCGGTATAAAAAAGATGACAAGGATAAAAATACAAGGTAGGTACTTTGCCATTATTTGGGTAAACAATTTTGTTAAATTACACCTATTAGATAATTATTAGAATTACTGAATATTTGAACTTTTCAGATAAATTGTTTAACTGTTCCAGAAACACAAATTCCAGTAAAAAAGTTTAAACGCAGCAGCTAATGTTTATCTAAAATAGTAACATATATGAAGTTCCTGAGACCTCCTATTAAACTTTTTAACTGATCTTTACTTAGCTATAAATTTGAAAATTTCAAACTTTTTTCTTAGTGTACCTACACGTCGATGATGACTCATTAGGGCCAATTTAGTATTTTATAACTACCAGGTAGTACAATTTCAAGATACTTAAATTTCTTACCTATCAATCTTATTCCAATCTAAATAACAGTGATCCTGTGTTTCATTATTAAATGAAACTTTCACATATTGTTCATTATCGCCTATACTGATAATCTCATTTTCTCCACAAAATATCCTAATATTTTCTCGCAGAACAATTGGTTCAGTTTCGTACGTTTTTACTTCTGTATTTTGATCGTCTGAATTCCATTTTTGTGACTGTTTACTGGTACAGGATTCTCGTTTGGTACTATTGACAAATGTTCTTCTATGCGATTTTATTGAAACTTGTTTCGAATTCTGTTCTAAAAGAGTATGAATAATTTTGTTTTTTGAATGAAATCTTAAATAATGAATGTATAATAATTTTAATTTTTGAAATCGTAGACGACATATCAAACAACGAACTGTATTCATTTTATTTTTATTGCTTACAAAAAAAAACACTGACAAAAAACAGAATTCAAATCACGAAGTCACAGACCCACGAAGTGCTTTGAACGCAAATTGACACGGAACCACAGATTGCAAATGAAAGAAACATGACAACTGACAACAGGAGTGCGTTTAGAACAATGACACAGAATACTTTTAATAGTGGTTATTCTGTGACAATGACATATATAGCTTAAATAGACTGCTTATTCATACGTAAATAAAACGATGAAAAGCGGGTCGAACTGGGAGATGTTTTCTCTTTGTCTAGTGCATGCAATGTTTGTGTTTTGTCTCAATTTTGAGTGCTCACTGGTAAACAAAACTTTCACAGGACCGGTTTTAAAGAAAGTTTAGTCCAGTTGAGATTTTGTTCTCATTGTCATTACTCAGTCGGACATTTTGTTGAATTGTTTATTTTATTTAGTTTTAATTATACTTATGTTCTGTTTTAAATTTTTTAATTATTTTAGTATAAAAACTTGTTTTGTTTTTAAATTTAAATGGTGAATTGCTCTATAAAGGGTTGTAAGACCAGCTACAAAAATATAAAAAGTAACATTTCATTTTTCACGCAAGTATCAATACAAGTAGGTACAAGGTAAATACGTTTATAATAATTTTATGAATTATAATTAATTATAATAATAAAGTATTTATTTTAAATACAATTACATAAATATTATTATATTCAAAGGCCCGAGTTAGAGCTATCTGGGCTTTACAAGTACATTTTAAAAGTTAGTTAGATACAGAGAAGTATCGTATAATAAAAACTCAATATAAATAGAAGAAAAAAGGACATAAGTACCAATATAGAGAGACAAACACTTTTATTCTTTGATAGGTTCTTTCTATGTGAATTCTAGCTCTGGCAATTTTGGCATTAAGTAAAGCCTCTTGATGGCTGAACTGATTTTTTTATTGAAAAAAGGAGGCTGTATAATTTGTATACCTTCAGCTTCTGTTATGTTTCCAATAAGAAAACCTTTGTTAAACATTTTACTATCGAGAAATGATTCACACACTTCAAGTATTGAACTTTGTTAAAAAAATGTGTATTTCTGAAGTTCTACCACCATATGCTTCACTTTTGGAAGTAATGAGACCAGTAGGTGACACTCCAGTCAATATTTTAATAGTATGCCTCTTTTTGTAGTCAGAGTAATTTTTTAGCCTACAACAAAGACATTTGGCTTGCTGTATTGAGATTTCGGTACAATCAAGTAGTACTCTTACTTACATAGAGGCACATTATTTAATATTTCTTGTTTTGAAGGCCGAATTATACCATACTAAGAACTTCTACCAGTTTTATTAAAAAATGTTAAAAAATTTAATGATAAAAAGTTTCATTCACTCCAAATAAAATGGATAAGACATTATATCTTGCATATCAGTTTTCAACTTCATAAAAGTAAATATAACTTGATCCTTTACAGACATAACTGATCTCCTTTTTCCTATTCTTTAGAAACAACTAATTACACAATGGTGGCTAATAACTGGAAGGATTGCAATCCTATTAAAGTAGATAGTTCTTTAGAACTAACAATTCAGTTTGAAAACGGATCAACTACATCACCACTCTTCACTTGTGTTGAACAATCGATCCCAATTTTCTGCTTTTAAACGAAGTTTTGTAAATTAAGCAAAGCTCTTCAGCAACACACAAATCTTCATTACCTGCTTCAGTAGTAGATATATGTTCCTTAACTGCAAAAACACATTAAACATAATAATAATTAACCAAACATTTTAAATTATGCATACGTATATCCATTTCCTGAAGAAGATAACTCAACACTTAACATTCTACTAGTACCGGCAACATATCATTATTAAAGACAGTAGCCATAATTCTTGTTTTAGCTGGATTACTTTTCTTTTTATTAATAGTCGCTTTCTTTTTACCACTAATCTGAGCTAACTTACATCGACTAAGCTTAGTTGTACGTTCTTTTTGTGATTGTAAGTCAGAATTTTTCTTTCCCCCTTACCGATGCTAAACGGATCTTGACGTCAACTAAGATTGCACTTTGTACCTAGTTCATTTTACTATGATGTTGATCAGATTTCCACTGGTGGAATCTTATTATTATTCATCAAATCATTCACATTCACCGCCAAAATAATCCTTAATTGTCTAAAGGGAACGAAATTTAGAATGTGAAAAAGCTACTAACTTTTAGTAAAATCTTTAAAAAGTTCATTCAATTTTTGCATAATATCTGCTTTTATAATGCGAAATAAATTTTAAAAGAATAATCAAGTGTCCGAATAGTGCCACTATACAGTGGTCGTGGTCTAAAGTTAGTTATATACACATGAGTGTAAAATTGTTTATATTTATCTTCAAAATTGGTTAGATCTCTTAAAATGTTTTGAAAATTGGGAAACTAGACGTTATGACTCAAAATCCTTTTTTAAAATATCTAACGCAAGCTCCTGTCTTGAAATAAACATACAGATTTTTTTTTTTTAATTCAATTCCTACTTTGATGAAATATGAATTTTAAACTCATTTGGGCCAGGCCGATTCTGCCTGGTGAGCACTCGGCAAACCAAGCAATATGACCCGCTTTTCGTCGTCTTGTTTATATATGGATGAGCAGTCTATTAATCTATATATGTCATTGGTTTAGAAACATCGGACGGCGCGTATGACCACATCACATACTTTGATTACTATACGAGGCAAGAGAGAGGTCCGACCAATGAACTGGAGTGGGGTAGAATGCTTGTCAATAGACTTGATGTGCGACTCTATGGGCGAAGATAGGTTATTTTTTATCTCACTCGGGAGTATTTAAAATAGCCAGTTTCTATTTCACATTGTTGTCTGATCCACCAGCTTGTGGATTGAACAATAACAATGTGAAACAGAAAATGGTTATTATAAATAGTCCCGAGTGAGATGAACAATAAAAATGGCTGCGCCCGTCGAGTCGCACCTTGTTCTAATAGTAAAACATGTACATTGGCATTCTACTCCCCTCCAGTTCATTGGGTCCGACATACCCAATATTAGGCGCGGCCATTTTGAACCCTGTGACACAGTTTACAGCTAAAGAATCAGATCGCTCACTCTGCGTCGGCACTTTTGATCTCAATGTTTCAGTTTATACACTGTGCAACTCGGATAATACAATATATGACAACCGCCTATAATAAAACAGCAGTCTTCTGCGTATCCTGAATTTGTATCCCTGGAGTGGATGTTATTTTGGAACTTTCAACTGGTCCGAGTGAGCTAACTGATTCTTTAGCAATAAACCGTGACTTCAAAAATAATATTCACTGACACTGACAGCAGCAAGCAAAATATCAGGTGCGTTTTAATCATCCGCTTCTGCTTCCGGAATTGTCGGTTTAGTCGTTTTAACCTGTCAGATTAAAACAAGAAAACCGACAATTCCGAAGCAGAAGCGCACCTATTAAAAATATTGCGCCAAGATGTAGGCAATACGTAATAAGAATTCAAAATGGCGGAGTTTTCTATCTCCTTTTAAAAGGCACTCAGAAAGCTGCGCAGTGCGACCATTCTCCGTATAGTAAAAGAAAATCAAAGTATGTGCTGTAGACCCTGTGGTGTAGACCATAGAGATGTGCGCGAACACGCTTGGGATCACATTTCGGACAGATCGCAACGAATCACCGATTTGCTGCGTTTGAATATCCACATCGGATGCATCCAAGATGTGAATTTTTTATCACGTGATAGAGGATTAGATTTAAATGTAGATGTAAGATATTTTCCTTTGTATCGAAAGTGTAGCACTGAGCTACGCCACTTCTGAAAATATCGTTCCATTCATACAAATTGTGTAATTTTTTTTATAAATTAGTAAAAGTAGTAAATTATTTTAAAATTAGTTATTTTATCTTAATGAACTAAAATAATTTTTAATATTTGTAGATTTTTGTCAATGGGTCGTAGATAAAATATATTGTACAACTCGAGTGGATATGGTCATCATATCCTCTCTTGTTGCACAAACTAATATTGTCCCCATCCTAGATTTAAACCATTTAAACTAATTTTAATGTATATGAACTGAGATTGATGGATTTCATTTTTGCAGTGTTCTCACTACCTAGAATGGATATGAAAGATATTCGTTCATCAGTTGAACGCAATAGCATACTTTTTCGTTTTGTAGTCTGTGTGCAGATCATCTAATATCCACGTGGGCGTAAAAAAATATGCAACAGTTTAAATAAGCAAAATATAAAAATATATTTTTTTAAATACTACCCTATTTATTATTAACCTATGAAATGTTATGCCTGTCGATTTCTTTTTATCAACTGCATTGCTGGAAAACTTGGTCATACAAATCACATTAATGAAATCACAATAATGCGACAGCTGTTTGACGCAAGTGTAGCATCAATATGGCGGACTGATGCCGCTTTTGACCACGTGATCGCATATCCCTATAGAGAAAGTAAAAGTTGGAAAGGCTTTTGGTAGGTAGAGCGGGGGTAAACGTCAAACCACGTCGGACGGCTTCGAGAATTTCGCAGTAATGTTTACCTGCCACGCCAGTGTCGTTTCATAGAATAAGTAATTTTAAATTGTTATCGGCGGAACCGGACAATCGCATGTATTTATGGACTATAAATAATTATTAAACATGTATTATAATATTCAAATCATAATTTTATAAAATTTCAATAGCTATTTACAATTTATTAAACTATTTAGTCGAAATTGTTATTAAATAATTTTGTACGCCAATGTATCGCGTCCACTTCGGTGAAATCCGCGGCAAACCTGTCAATTTATGTGTATAAAGTGGGAGAACTGGCAAAATCCTTTCCAACTTTTACTTCTGTTCTACCTCAATGATCTGATATTTCAAATTCGTAAAAGCCACGCCTCCCCACCACAATACGTCACTGTGACGTAAAATCAATCGACGTAATATCATACTTTTTTTATAGTATCGTCGTTGTATCGTGTACAAACCCTGCACTGGCAATCACATGGAGGAAGGATAGTTAGGCAATCATTCCTTTTGTACGAACTGTGAGCGTTCTTGCTGTGAGCGCACAATATTGTGGTTCAATTGCAGTTACAATTTGCCAATGAGTACCCGGCTTTTGATGACCAGTGAAAAGTTGAGAAGTTTTACGCGCGAGGAATAATTTGATATTCAACTGTTCCACTGTATTTAGGACGGTTTGTAGTACATTTTGAAGAAATATTGATATAAAAAGTAAAATTATATAACATACCACTTATATATTTCCAAAAAATAAAGCCTGATAAAAAGTATGGGAATTTTTTTTTTTCGACCTCAATGTTCTGAGGTGACATCGCAAATCGGTATTTGGCAAAAGTGTTCTTTAGAATAGATCTCGAACACAAATAATACCAAAAAAAAAAAATAGTTAATAAAATGTATTTATTGCAGACACAAATTGATTTACATTCCTAAAGATCATTAAAAATTGCAATAAAACTATAAATTAATGTTACTATTCTTATATAGTTTCTAATATTGATACCCACAACTAACAAGGTTAAAACTTCTTTTATAATAGCACCAATAAGTTAAAAAATATAAAATAATGGCTACAAAAAGATAAATGATGAAAAATAATGAATTGATATTTTGTGAATAAAAAGAATACATATACAGTAACATCCTGTACGTAGCTAACAAAGAAGTGAATTTGTAATAATTCTTTAACACTTTGCAGGCCAAGGTGTCATGATGATATTTTACATGATTTGTATGTATTTTGTACTGAAATAAACTACGCTTAGCCCTTTTTGTTTTAATCCTTTTTTGTTTGTTATAAATATGAAAGACTCCAAAATAATCAACGTATAATAACAAAAAAGGAGTAAAACACAATCAGGGCTAAAAATGGTTTATTTCCGTACAAATTAAGGCTCAAATGGTTATACCTACTGCGAGATGTGTGCTAAGCTAATGTGTTCATGTTTCAAAGAGAAACACAAATAAACTTTTATTTATTTGAATGTGTCATCAAATGTCATTTTTTGGACAGGAAACATAATCGAAAAGGAGAACTTTTAAATATACTACAAATTAACTGTGGAACAGCTTTGCTATCTAAACATTCCGTTTTATTTTTAGTTTACCTTTTAATACTACTTGCTATTGTAAAATAGTAGTCTATTATCCACATGTACATCAAATTTGAATAAAACCAATAATTGTATAAGAAAAACGAAATTAACTATAAATTGATTTGATATAAGCACACTGACAGCAATTTTCTATATTTTTTTGTGAATATTTATAAGCACATTCAAATAAAAAAAAATGTATGAATAAGAAGTGGACAAAAAGTTTATTTTTGGACTTCTACATCACGTAGTCGTCAGAAAAAGTCAACTTTTCGTCCTTATAACATAAACTACTGTTCTTTAAGTATTATATGATCGTAATAAGTAAGAAATAAATATGTTATTAACGAAAACATAGTTTGTGTACCTTGCACCACCAAACAGTCTATTTTTTTAACAGTATGTTCAGCAGAGGCCACATTGAGATTCCCCATTTAAAATATACTGTAGGGTTATTCATATTTGAATAGTATTGTCTTGAATAGAAACATACCTACCTTACTAAAATGAAAGAGGAGACATTTGCAGAAATATCATTCTTTCACATATTTAAAACTAGGTATGCAATGTGTTAATATTACAACAGTATTAAGATATTTGTCCCTAATGTTGATGAATCAGTATGACACCTGGTTGAAAAGATCCATGCCTAGGATGGATTATTGTAAGGATTGGCATATACATTAACTGTAATAATTAGTGGCCAATTGTATGTACCAGCAATGGTGATTTCTAAAAAAATAATACACAAACAGAGGTATCTGCTGTCAAATTTCATAAGGTCTATTAGGACTGACATGTTTTTTGTGTTCCTGAAAAAAAGCTGATTTTGGACATGTATCTTTTTATAAAAAGGTTTTCAATTGATCTTACATTAATGTTTACACAATGTTTCACTCAATATAGAACTATTGGTGTTACTGTATTTAGGTAATTATTTCAGGATATAAAAAACAAAATAGTTAAATATTAAATATAATAAGTATGAAAATTTCATGTTAAAACCTTGTTTGTTGAGAGTATCTATAAGTAATCATAAAACTAATTATTTTTGAAAAATATTTCAACAGTCTAAGAAGTTTGCAGCCATCAACAATTCCAAAGCAATTTCTGGAGCAATTGGAAACTCCGGTATTTCAGTAGAACTGTTGGTATAACGAACTTTGTACGTGAAATACATACAAACTTTCTGCAAAACGTGAGATCTAAAATGAAAATTGTTTTCCGTAACTATCAATACAACAGAGGGAAAAATGAATAAGTGACTAAAAAAACTTACGGAATTTCTCTAAAATTAACTTCGTTTGCTTCATTTTCAGCAAATTGTCCAGGGCCACTTAACATTGCTTTGATGGTCCCAGATGTAAGGGCGTGCTCTCTTTTAACAATAAATTCATGACCATCTGAAGAAATCAATTTTACATACATTGCATCTGGACCTTCACAACCCCCATATATCCTTTCTTGTTTTTCATCTGTAGTATCTGCCATACTGTTAAAGTTTTTGAAATATGGTGTAATATAGGAAAAAGAACTATTAAAAATAAATTGTAGGTGTAGGAAATTCTATTCTAAATTATTTAACAAATACAAAATGACAAATGACAATAGATAATGACAGTGACAGTTTTTAATTTAAAAAAAAAACATCTCGTTAGAACTATGGCCACTTCCCGCGAGGCATTCAGCCAGTATTGCCAGTCTAGTACAATCGTACTAGATCTAATACATTATCTAAGAATCTAGTACTCTAGTACAAACGAAGCAAAATCTGATTATTTTTCTTTTCCAATGTATTTATTCCATTTGACGTGTTAAATATATTGTTGGAGTCTTCCATGTTTGTGTTGTTCGTTCTCTATAAAGGCTTTTTTTTTTGGTTTTTTGTTTTTTTTTGTTTTTTTTTGTTTTTTTTTGTTTTTGTTTTTGGTTTTTGTTTTTTAATCTGGTACATAACAAAAATATATTCTGGCAACACTGCATTCATCATTTTTTTTAATTTCTGAAGTATGCAAGATGTCAAGCAATCGAGCACTCAGGGTAGCTATTCACTAAGTCATGGGAGCGCTCCCATGGGAGTGTTCCCATATATTTTGCTCTCTTACTCTTAGGTGGGTATATCGTGCTTACTCCGACCTAACTACGCATGTACCTGGGCTAAAAGTGAGTAAGCACGATATACCCACCTAAGAGTAAGAGAGTAAAATATATGGGAACACTCCCATGGGAGCGCTCCCATGACTTAGTGAATAGCTATCCTGCTGGAGGCACCGTGGGTTTTTTGTAGCTTTTTTGTTGCTTTTTGTTACGCTATTTGCGAATTTGTAGGTTGAACTTCCTAGTAGCGGAATAGATTCAGACCAATGAACTTCAGTTCATTGATATAGACCAAGCTGTTTTTGTTACGCCAGTCTCCCTTTTGTAGCTTGTATTAAGTTTTAAAAAAAGCGCTGTTCCGCTAGCTTAGAGGATATATGTATAGCGGGCAGCGGCACTTGCTCGGACTCGGCTCATTTTTTGTAACTTTTCAGTACCTTTTTGTAACTCTTAATTTAAAATCAATTTTCGGCCAAAAATAACAACAGAATTCTGTGCGCCCATAAACGATTCCCCGGTTCTGCCGGTAACAATTTGGGGCGAGATTACAGAAAAAGCAAGTCTGCAATTTTGCAGATCTGCAAATAAATATGGCGAACTTACAGATGCAAGTATCAAGTTTTCGTATGTCAAAAAATATATGCAAATGCTCAATATTTATTGTGGTTTATTACTCCAACAACACTAAACCCAAATCCATTATTATGTTTAAAAACTCGACAATCTGAAACCACGAACTGTATTCAATCAAAAGTAACAGAAGACTTCATGGTTATTAAAAAAAAGTAAAGTAAAAATTGTCAATCTACAAGTTTGTATAGGATGTTCTAACCTCCTGCAAATTTCAGATTTGCAGACGCAAAAAGTGAAAACAAGTTTCTGTAATACCATTTTTATCTTTTGAAACTGTAACTTATATTTGCAGATGCAAGACCATGAATGCAAGTACGATTTGCAGAGCTTCTGTAATCTCACCCTTATTAAAATGGTTGGTATTATTTTTATTCTACGATACGCCACTGGCGAACCACGGCGCGATCGGCAATTCGTCCATTCCAACAAATCCAGAACTATAAAATTTTAGTCATAGGAAATTGGCAGTACTGACTGTGACAGATGTTGACAGATTAATAATAAACATCCAAAATAATAATAAAAATTTAAAAGGCAGGGAAGGAATAGGGGTGGTACTGTGACTGTGGTGGAGTGGTGGGTAATGTTTACAAATAATGCCAGAAAGTACGTCTAGGAATGAATTGAAATGTTTGATATTTTTAAAGAACTAGGGATCCCAAAAAAATATCTTAAAAAAACTGTAAAAGAAGATAGATTTGTTGCTCTTGTGAATAAAGTATGGCTTAAGTGAGTATAGTAATAGTTAATTTTACTAAGGCAATTTACATATTTTTGAATATGCTGAAATATCACTCTCTCAAACTCCTAGCATTTTATATAAAGTTCTATCAGACTTTTTTAACAAAACAATTTTGTATGTATCAAGTATATCAGGCCAGTCTAAGGTTTTCATGATGACTTTAGAATTTGTGTAATCTATGAATTAACAGGAGGTGTACAGTGGACATTTCTTAATACTTTTAGGTACCTACTTAACAGTTCATTCTGGTTAACATTTTTGCATATTGTTAAAAGAGTCCATATGTTAATTATTCCAGGTACGGACTTCATAAAACATTTGTTGATTTAAAAAAATATGTCTACTGATAAACAGTGCTAAAAATTATTTCTAACATCCATGCTGAAGAAAATTTTAACACTGACTCGGAACAGTTAAACAAAAACGTTCAGAGTTCCAAACTAAGCTATAATCAAAGATATCAGTTTTACGGATCGCAATTGTATGATGCGATTGAAGTAAACAATCAGAGTCTGAGCGAATTAAGCCACTTATGGATAAATGGATTGATTTCAAATTTTACCTACATATCAGCTTTAAACAAGTTCTCAGGTAAGGGAAAATTGTGGGCTTTTAATAGAGCTCAAAAAGTTTCAAAATCAATTTATCCTATTAAAATGTTTTAAGGCAAAATAATACAAGATTCTGACCTAAATCGACCTTCTCTCCACTTTTTCCTAATTAAATATACAATACGTTAATTTTTCCATCCTAACTCCAAAAGAATGGTATAGAAACAATACTATCGAATAGACACAGATAGAATTTGTCACCGACTGGGGACCTTGATATACCATATGTAAGATCTTCTAATAGCAATTTATTAAAACTAACTATTAAAATCGTTCATCCACACATTGTTTTCATTTGTCCATGCCTTATTTTCGTTTAGCCATCCAACCGAAATTAGTTATTAAAAATAAAGAACTCAAAATATCAACAATTATTAAAATAATTAATTATAATAGCAATTTATTAAAACTAACTACTGCAATCGTTTGTCCTGGCTTTGTTTTCATTTCTCCACCCAATGGAAATTAGCTATTAACAAATAAATAACTCAAAATATGAACAATTATTAATATAAATATAAGTACTTTTAATAGCGTTTTATTAAAACTAACTACTGCAATCGTTTGTCCACATATTATTTCTGTTTGTCCAGGCCTTATTTTTGTTTCTCCACCCAACGAAAATTAGTTATTAACAAATATAGAACTCAAAATTTGAATAATTATTAATTACTTCTAATAGCAATTTATTAAAACTAACTACTGTAATTGTTTATACACACATTATTGTTGATTGTTCACCCAACGGAAATATGAACAATTATTAATGTAAGTTCTCTTATTGGCAATTTATTAAAACTAATTACTGCAATCGTTCATCCACACATTATTTTCGTTTGTCTGGTCTTAATTTTCGTTTGTCCACCCAACGGAAATTAGTTATTAACAAATATAGAACTCAAAATATGAACAATTATTCATATAGGTACTTTTAATAGCAATTGGATAAAACTAACTGCTGCAATAGTTTGTCTACACATTATTTTCGTTTGTCCACTGAACGGACATTAGTTATTAACATAAAGAACTCAAAATATGACCAATTATTAATGTAAGTTCTCCTATTGGTAATTTATTAAAACTAATTACTGCAATAGTTTGCCCGCACATTATTTTCGTTTGTCTATAGTCATTATTTTCGTTTCTCCAGGCCTTATTTTCGTTCCTTTACCCAACGGAAATTAGTTATTAAAAATATAGAACTCAAAATAAGAACAATTATTAATATAATTAGTTCTAATAAAAAATTATTAAAATTAACTACTACAATCGTTTGTCCACATATTATTTTCGTTTTTTCAGGCCTTGTTTGTTTCCCCAACGGAAATGAGTTGATAACTAATATAGAACTCATGTATGAACAATTATTGTTATAAGTTCTTGTAATCGCAATTTATTAAAACTATTACAATCGTGCGTCCACAAATATGAACAATTATAAGTACTTCTAGCAATTTATTATTTGAAGGATGGACAAACGAGAATTTTTGTTGGTCCAACGAATACCAATTTCGTTTTATAAAAATTCGTATTTCTCAGTCCTGAGGGAAGGTCGATTTAAGTCGGAATCTTTTATACTATACTTTGAAGACTTTGCACTTTATTTTTAGGTAGAGTATTTGGTGATCCAAATTGTCACTACGTTTTTCCTTGGGTCTCCGATTTTTCTTCTGCTTGTGGAAAAAATTGGAGAGATCTGAAAAAATCGAAATACAGACTAAATAAAGGTGATCACCAACTAGACTTGACATACGATAACAGTCAATCTCAGGTACCTCATCACGTTTCTGATGTACTATCTCCAATTACATACTATGTATATATGGCGAGAAAAACTCCGAAATCCGTTTTATGTAAAAACGTTAGAACTATTTGGGTTCCTGCTGAGTATCCTAGTTCCATACAAAGAATTCAAGAATGGACTCCAGACGAGTGTATTCCTGAATTTTACTCAGATCCCGGTGTTTTTAGAAGCATTCATGATGATTTAGATGATTTAGCTGTACCTACATGGGCTTCGGATCCAGAAGAGTTTGTCGAAATTCATAGAAAAGTTTTAGAAAGTCCTAATGTTTCTGAAAAATTGCATCATTGGATCGATCTGACTTTCGGATATAAGTAAGCTAAATACTAATTAATAAATTGATATATATTAAAATTCGCATTTTTTAAGATTGAATGGAAATGCTGCGATCAGAGCTCGAAATGTGTGTCTTAATTTGGTCGATGAACATGAAAATTTAACTAAATCTGGGTTGGTTCAATTATTTTCGCAATCACACCCCGCCAGAGCTTTAGATTCTCCGTACTTCGCCAAAATTCCACCAAAAATATTCATTAGCAAATATATTAAACCAAGTAAGTACGTTTATATTATTTATTAAGTTTCCAGTAGAATGGGTTAGGTCCAGCATGGTCTTCATGGCTTCTGTCGGAGTGGTTGACATTGTCCCAGTTGAAGACTCTTGTTCCATCAGTCGTTGGAGTTGTATGTAACCATTGGTTTTACTATGATTTGGTAAATCTGACATACTCTGCCAGAACTTTCTCCACTCTCCGTGATTCTCGTTTGGCCTTTCAGATGTCCTTGTTCTCCATTAGAGACTTATTGGTAGAGACTCCATTAGAGGTATTGGTTCTAGTAGCCCATTTCTTTTTTTGTCCATATTTCTGGTTCATCATGTAGTTCCCCTTCTTTCCTTTACTGGGCGTTGTCCTGATATATAGTCATAATAGACTAGCCGGTAATAACCGATTTTTTGCAACGTTTTTTTAATGTATGCATCTTTTAAGTTATGATTATTATAGGTTTTTAACATTTTCTAGCCAATTATCTAAGAGTGCTTGCATGCAGTGGCATCACCAAGCAAATATGAATTTCTATTGAAGATGGATGATTTCGAACTATTAGTTTTTTCTTAAAATTTGAAAACAAATTATTCTGCGGTAAATAATCTGCAGACTCTTCCATCGTGTAGGAAACCCCGAAATTATTAATTGAACATGTGTAACGTGATACTTGATATTTTATCTCTATTTGTTATAATGTGTTTAAGCTCAATTGATTGGGCGTGGGTTAGGTTATTAAATAACTCGAATAACTTTGAAAAAGAAGTTGGGCACCACTATATTTAAAACTTACTATACTTGACTTTAGATTAGTGATAAAAATATAGCAAATCACTAACCACTAACAAATTATACTAAATTCAAATTTAAGATGATTTATTTAAAAGCACTTATCTTTAGTTAAAAGAAGGTAATATAAGGAATGTTTATTGCATGGTATATCTTCAGGCAACTTCTTCAAAGAGATTCGGTATCCTTATTCGTAATTCTGCAACTTGAATGATCTCGTGATATTTGGTATTCTAACTTAACTTGAACCTGTCTAGATCTTCTAGAGATGAATCAAACCACGGTCTTCAGTTTGTGCCAAAACCAAAACAACTTCTAGGTATAAAAACCATAAAATTTCTTGAAAAGAATTCAAAACTTCTTGATAGGAATTCAAAACGTCTAGATATCAATCCAAATAAACCGTCTAGATATAAATCCAAATAAACCGTCTAGATATAAATCCAAATAAACCGTCTAGATATAGCCATGCTAAAAAGAAAGGGTTAAAATGTTGACACCCAAGTCACAGTTTATAGCTAAAGAATCAGTTTGCTCACTCTGCGTCGGCACTTTTGATCTCAATGTTCCAGTTTATACACTGCGCAACTCGGATTTGTATCCCTGGCGCATACATAATCAAATCATAACCAATACAATATATGACAACCGCCGATATTCAAACAGCAGTCTTCTGCGCATCCTGAATTTGTCCAAGTGAGCTAACTGATTCTTTTAAACTGTGCCCAAGTCAAACATAATTCTCACAAGGCGAATGAAGGAAGAAGAAGGAGACGACAAATGACATTTAAGAGATGGTTGTGTCGGAATAACGGTTCCAACCGTTACACATGTAAAAAAGAGACGGTATTGAAGAACAATTATTGAACATATGCTTTTTCACATCCTTAATTTTTGTTTTTAAATAGATCACGAAAAGCTACTTTGTATACAGTCGCGGCGTGCACATGCGTTGCGATTATTTTTTAAACATACACTTTTTTTTAATTACCCGGAACAATTATTTAATGTATGCAATTGAACTATGTGAAACATATTGGTTAAATATGTGCGGAAAAAAATTGCATACATTTAGGTTTAAAATATTTGCATACGCTAAAAAAGATCGCAAAATAATCGATCAATCAATTAACAAACGTATGCTAGTTTGTTTTTCGTAAACTTCTTCATAAAATATCTTGCATACGATTCCGACGTGTTCAACGATAAAAAAAGGACGGAAAAAAAATTCGAAATAACGTTGAACAATACTTATTAAACGAATGCTATTTGGAATAGTGATAAATTATGTAAGAATAATCAAGTATATTCATTTGCATGCGATTCCGGTCTGTACAACAGTGTGTACTCGTCAATATACATTTACGATACGAGTGACTTTTGTGTGACATCATGCACTGTGCATGACAGGTAAAGTTCAAACTTCCCGTTCTCTCTGCGAGTCTGTGATGTGTTTTGTTTCATTACATAGGATCCAGGCGGCACTAAAATACTCAGTTGACAACCAGTATAGCAGATTTTCTGTTAGTGTCGCCAGTGTTATTGTTTGCTTGTATTGTTTTCAAATTATATCAGCTGTGGGTTCGTTAATATTTTCCAGTAAGTAACAAGATGGCAAATATTATTGTGAATATTTCTAATTGATAAAATAAATTAAATACAAAACATTAATATGTATGTTTCAAAATGAGTATTGATCTTTTTAAGTGTTTCCATTGTATATCGGATCGGTGGCGCTTCCATTCATTGGCGAACAATTTTGTGGTTGAGAGACATCCGCCTTCAAATCCTACAGAAGACCATGTTAGTTTATTTGCATGGTTCTCTATACGATTTGGTAGATGCCGTATTTTAGCTGAAATTTAATTTTTGTTTATATGATATATTATAAAAATCGCCTGGCGCTACCGTTCGATGATGGTGGGTGATATTTTCCTCACCTGTAAGTCAAATGGCACCATCAGTCCATCAATCATCTTTAATTCGCCCCGGAGCGCCACGGAAAATAATAATAGCGTCCCTTCCTCTACACAAGTCGCTCGGTCGGCTTCAGGGGTTTGAAATTCACTCGTAAGGGGATGAATTAGGGAGAGTATTATATATAGAATCTCATTGATTCTACTATTGTACTTAATCTAATTTAGTAAGGGGATGAATTAGGGAGAGTATTATATATAGAATCTCATTGATTCTACTATTGTACTTAATCTAATTTATAATTAGTTATTATAATAATAGAGTTTATTCAATTTTTTACATGTAAGATTACAAATTTGTTTGTATAAAAATAATATGAATAACCTACGAAATACTCACAGAAGCGTCACTCAAGAAGAGGTTCAGCTTGTATTCTGATGTAGTACAAAGTTCATAATAATATATCCTTAATACTAAAATCTTAATTATTACAATAATAATAATTTTTAATAATATTTTTATCATTAATTTCTAATAATAATTTTAATGCAAATTTATAGATAGTACCTATGTACTTTAATAATTAATTCCTAACATAATGTGATGTAGGTAATTAATACAGATTTTGTTTGCAAAGTTTTTATGTACATTATTTTTATTTTAATATTCTATAAGGTATCAGCTGCATGAAACAGTAATATTTTAATGATTATGATTGAATTATTAAATAAAGAACATCCTGATTATTATCCAGATTTTTTGCCAAAAATAAGAATTTTATTGTTTACACACTGACGTATGTGTATCATTCTTCATTTAATCCATTAAATTGCCTGTACAGTTAAGAGCGTTATCCAGTACGCTCCTAATTCAGATTTCAAATCTGCTAAATAATACGCGACGCAGTACCTCTCAGTCCAATTTGGCAACGTCGCGCGCTTGATGTTTATGAGATAGTTTCTCGGAGATACCTATTCAAGTCGGTTGCGCGTTGTAGAGCAAAATTTAGTACCAAAGTCGCTTATTGCCCGAGATGATAAAAATTTGCGCAGAACCAAATGAGGCCCTATTCCTATGTAGGTATTATGTAAATAAGTAGCATATGAAACTGCTATTTACGACATTTTTTAGTAGGTACCCATGTAGGACAGACATTTTTTATGAAAAAAAAAAACAAAAAATAAGCAATTATTAAATAATACTATTACATATTTACATTACTGTAGAATGAAAACTAATTATTGAGCTATCGACTTGATCTTTTTATACAAACATGACAGAAAATATTATAAAATAATGGCATGCGCCAAAAACATAAAATATATAGATTTATTACAAACATAAAAAGTTTGATTTAATTGCAAACAAAATCAATAATTGTAAATTATATTTAGACAATCGCAGGTATGTACGAGATTGTCGACAGATAATAGTTATTTATGTACCAAGTCAGCAAAGTGATTCTTTATCAAACTAGCTTGAGATTATGGTCCATACAAACTTTTATCGCTAACCGTAAATAATTATAATTAATAAGAAATGAGATATAATATTACATTTTAGTATGACAATGTAAACAAACAGAAAAATAACAGCGAATATAAAACAAATCAGTTACAGACTATTTCTGTCAGACGGCCACGGCTATGTTGATAAATATTAACGGCAGATAAAATATTTGATTTTTACAGTGAGATAAAGTGTTTTTTACTTCCGCACATCGCTATGGTAATGTATGGATATATTGTCGGTTGGCGATAAAGAATATTTAGTGAACATATTTTTTTTTAACAGGACCTTACTCGCTTACAATGTACTGCCATATAAAAATAAAACCAATTTTTATAAAAAAACATTTATTACAATCCTTATTATTGAGCATTTCGAGGAGGGTTTCGTATTTCTAACCCCCTTATAAAGCGAGAGTCGAATATTTCTGGCAGAACACAATTCATATAAAAACACTGGAGTTTACTTTGCATTGTGTTATGCCAGAAATTATCGTCACGTTTAATTTTTTGCACTAAAAAACCCAGAGGGGTCCACACCACGAAAAAACACCATTGTCTTTTTGTTATGTGAAGCTGGCCCTGGACCTGGTAGAAATAGTTGTGATTTTGTTTTAAATGTATATTATCATTGTCGTCAATTATGACATATTTTATAATTTTTTGCCTTATTGCATCCTGCGATGGTAACTTTGATGCAGAAGCTTCGCATTTAATTTCAATTATATAATCAGTTTCTACCAGGCCATCAGGACTAGTCCCTAAATAACATAAATCCTGGTCGACAAACAAACCACAATTTTCGACATGCATATTATTTTTTTCTGAAAATTCACTTATTGCTATTGGTTCTTTTTCTAAGCCATATCTTTTGTATTCATTTCCCATGTGCTTGGAATAAAGCAAATTTTTTATAAAATTTTTACAATTTGTTTTTAACCGCATTTTACAAATAGTGCCAAAATTAGAAGCAGTTATGCGTACACTTCTAGCTTGTTTCCATATGGGATTTCCTCCTTGGCCTCTAGTCTCTGTTTCAATCAATTCTATTTCATGAGGAGTTTTTTGTAATTCTTTTAAGAATATTTCTTTTTATTTTGATACTCCTCATCATTTAAATCCGGTATTACATTCTCATGGTCAAGAAGACCGTAATCTTTATCTGGTAAGGCATTTGTTTTTGACCGTTTTCTAAATAATTTTCTTCCTTTCATTCCTCGCATTCTCTTGCGATTAGCAATTTTTAACATATACTTTTGAGTGTAACCTTTTGGACTTTTGTTTGTCAGAGAATTTGTAATTTCTTTATAATAGTCGCTACTACCAACATTGAAGGATATAGCAGCAGCTTCGCACCGGGTCGGGTACGATCCTCTTGAAGAAAAATTGATGCGTTTCCCCCCAACAAATTTACTAATGATAGAATTGTATTGTTCGGCCAAGTTGGTATTCATATTGTGAATCAAACTAGAAGAGTTATAAATTAATCTATTAAAGCAGTTTTCTATATCTTGATATAGGCCAAACGATTTCATATCAGGAACATAATTTGTCTCTGCAGTACTGGGATTACATTCAAAATACCCTATATCTTGACATTTTAAGTGTTCGCCAAACACATGAGAAGAAATATTTTTGAAATCTTTGCAAATGCTTTTATTTTATCTGTAACGGAGCTCTCCTCTGTGATTCTATGTAATATAGCTTTATTACAAGCCGTTTGTAGGCGCATTATGCTTTTTAAAATTAGTTTTCTGAAGAAAATTGGTACAGCTTCATTTGTCGACGAGCTTCGTTTTTTATTAGACAAGTCACGAAGTTGTTTGCAGAAATTTCGAAGCAAATTATTTTTGCATTAAATTTTTTGTACCAGAGTATTCCCGTATGGCCTTGATGTAATTAATTTACTGTGAACACTACTGTCCCCATCACCCATAATTACACTTTTAAATTATCGGATGACAGTAAGCGTCTAAATCTAAGAAGTCTTGTGCGATTTTTTACAGATTTTCGTTTTGAAGGACAACCGTGTTTTCTATTTCCCATATTATATTAATAAACACACTATATCACCAACAACGATAACACAATTTTTTTAAACTCTGCTACTATCTATTTATCTATGAACTAAACAAAAATGTAAAATTAATGTGGTTGTGAGACGTATTCAACATTTTCCCCCCACCGGTCGATCTAAGCATAATTCGCAGTTTTAACGCGTTTCAACTACTTTTTACACCCTTATTCAACTTGTTTATTATTGTGATTATTTTGTCGTTTGCCAAAATATTTTTTAAACTGATTTACAGTGAAGGTTTTTGAATTTTTTGTGTTTCCTACAGGTATATTTTTTGTATAAATTTTTAATAAAATAATATTTGAAATTATATTTCAATTTAATAAATATCTATACATAATTATTAAAGTCAACTGATCAAAGCGTTTAAAATAAAGAACTAAAAAAATAATTTTTAGTAGTTTTTACATAATATACAAGTAAGCGTTTCAGAAACGCAGCGTTACGAAAATTTTACCTGTCTGGTTTGAACGGCTAGAAGATTCAAGAGATATGGTCAATATCAGTGCGACGTTGGTTGCTAGATCTTTATTTTCTCCGGTAAATCTAAATACATTTTTCGATTTTTAGTTTTTCCAGGTTTACAAAAAAATAGGCTTCGCAGAAAAAAAAATAGTTGAAATAAACATTATATTTTTTGAATAGAAATACGCCTAGTCTCGTTTTTCTTTTATTTTGCTTTGTTGATATATTAAAAATGCTTTTTGTTATATATCAAAATTTAGACTCCGTAGTCCCATTATGCACGACTCCATAAATATGCATGCCAAATTTCATAAAAAAAATATTAAAAAATAGGCCTGGAAACTTTATAGTACATGAATAACGTTCTTAATAAATATAAAATCAAAAAACTTTCTGAATTATAACAGAAAATTGTAATGCAAATTGACTAAAGTAATTTATTGTGTTCATTAAAAAAAAATTTCAAAATTATTTTAAAGATAGACAAATGAAATTAAATTTAAAAAACAGACTTCATAAAAGGAGAAGATTCTCAATTCGTCTGAATGTATAATGTATAATTCTTTACCACATTGTCCGATTTTTAGGAAGGGGTGGTCCCATATACATTTGATCAAGATCTGATGATAGGATCTAGGATAATATTAGCACTCTCAGTTTGTAATGACATCTGCACTATTTTGGATTCGGTTTTTTCAAATTACTTTTATAACTTGTAGTCAATTTAAGTTACATATTGATAGACACAAATGCTACTACTTAAAAAAATGAAGAGCTAAAAATACTTTAATTAGATCATTTCATGGACATCTTTCCACCATCTCATATGTTATTGTATATCACAAATTAATGTTTTGTGTTTAATTTATTTTCCCAATTGGAAATATTCACATTAATATTTGCCAAACTGTTACGCATTGGAAAATATTAATGCGAAAATTTCACACCAACGTTCTTTAACCAATCAAGTCAAAATAGTTTTAATCGTTACTATGACATCAAGGAACATTTCAAGAAATATTTTTCATTCTGACCTAAGCGTGATTTCACTGAAAATCTTTCTGTCAAATGCACAGCTTACTTCTCTTTTTTACATTTATTATGGACGTTTTCATTTAGCGGAGGTGTCAAATAATACAAAATGTAGATACAGGTCCCCTTTATACAATTATTAGCCATTCAATTATTTAAATTCATTTTTATTCAATCTCAATTAATTCAATAAGAATTATAACCAAAACGAATTATTTTCCAACAATCTTGTTAAGAGTCCATAACTTTTGACAATGTACTATATAAACTTTATATTAAATCATTTTTTAAATGTTAAAAAAAATGTTTTCAGTAATTAAAAACAAGTGTATGTTTAAAAAAAATTCCACAATGCTTGTACATACCGCAATTATATGCAAAGTAGGTTTTCGTGGTCCATTTAACAACAAAAATGAGGCTGTGAAAAAGCATACGTTTAATAATTATTGTTCTACAATACCCCCCTGTTTTAAGTTCAATTGATAATTTCGGGGATTCCTACACGAATGAGGTGTATGCAGAATATTTTTCGCAAGATTTTAACAAAAAATTTGCATGCATTTACTAATCCTTTGGAATCATCCATTTTCAATACGAGTTCAAATTTTCTTGGCTGCATGCGATCACTCTTAGATAATTGGCTATGGTTAAAAGCCAGATATATAGCCATTCATTGATAGAATATAATATTCACGATGCCAAGATTAAGTCGCCAATCATAACACTCTCTATAAATAAATGTGTAAGCGATGTGCGCTTATAATTAACAACGTAACGGTGTAAGCCCTGTTGCCACTTCCAACTTACGACTACTAGGTTTTGGAATTTATTGAAAATTATTACATTTAATTTGGTGAAATTACATCTAATTTAGTTAAATTTGATATAACTAATGATTCAAAATTTTTATGGTTCAGTTGCAATAAAATAGGTTATTAAAATAGAATTATTTTAGCTTTTTTAATGTATGTAAATAATTTTGTAAACAAAACGAGAATAATGAAATAGGCATATGACAACAGCGGATATTATACCCTCTTGTATCCCTTAGAATATGTCTTATTCAGGACCGCACGATATTTGTGATCTGTGTTAAAAACCTATAATAATCATAACTTAAAAGATGCATACATTAAAAAAAAAAAACGTTGCAAAAAATCTGTCATTACCGGCCAGTCTATAAGGGAATTTTGAAAATTTAATTACTTTCTTTTTTAAAATAATATTTTTGTAAATTCTAATAGACTAAATAATAATCTACATGTATGTACTATAGTAGGGATTACTGTGGGATTGTCTGTAATTATATATATTTTTTAATTTTAGGGTCTAGAGGACGTAGTAATTCATCAATGGCTGCTCAAGATCCCAATACTAGTGACGACGATAGAATAACTCACGATCTTTCGTCTAAACTATTATCTCGTAGCAGATCTTCGTTACACGAAGATCAAACCTCTAGAGCCCATAGTACCCAACGCTACGAAGGTTTAAGTTCCTCCAATAGAAATAACGAAGTCTCAATTAGCAACAACCAATCGGAGAATATTTATTTACCGAAAGATTATAAACCGGAATTTTTACTCGATACTTTAGAGAAAAAAAGTAATTTTATCTCAAAAAATTTTTATCAAAACTACAAAGATTGCTTAGAAAACTTTTCCAAACAAGAATATCATAATAGTTCGATCCAAAACGCTTTTACCAATATAATTTTTAGTGAAAATTATGAACAGAGATATGATCAACACAATTTTCATGTACAGAAAAATATTAGAAGTACTAACAATGTTTTAAGTCGTAATTATAAGGATGTAATATCTTCTAGAAGAGTTAAGGAGTTGAAAGTGTTGGGTTGTCTTATAGTCGAGATTTTTATGGCTAAATATCTACGCCCAGTTGGATCAACTAATATTAAAGTCGGTTTAGAAGACAGGATAAAATATTGTAAATCAATTTTAAATAGTTACGATATACCACAATGTATAAGTTATATAGTTAATTTACTTCTTCAACCTGAAAATGAAGAATATTCAGCTGTTACTGATATGGGTTTACCATCACCCAGTGCTCATTTACTATTGGAACCACTAATGCATTGCACAATACCATTTTCTAAACATTTTCCTCAACTGTACGAATTAATTCATAATTTGAAGGATTTTAAAAATGTCACTGTTGAATTAAATATTCTCTACCATTTCGATTGTAACGGACAAATGTGTTCCGAATACGAGAATATAGAAAAAACAAAGATAGTATTTGCTCAAAACATTGCTGAATGTAAAGTGAAAATGTGCGCTAAACAGTTAGAAGTTTTATTCTTCGATATAAATACAGATACTGATAATGAAATAGTTAATATAATCTTAAATCATATTAAAGATTTGATTGAAGATCCACCTACTTCTGTTTTAACAGCTTGGTACTTATTCGAACCCATCTCTAGAGTACTGGGACCAAAGAAGGCATCCAAACATCTTTTAGAACCCATTTTAAAATTATACGAAAACGAGAGCTTAGATACGAATCTACCGTTTCTGAATAAAATAGCGAAACTTTACCACCACAGTTTTTTGTTATGCTTAATAGCGAGATTGGGTTTAAAAGTATTTTTAGAAAATTTCGTGGTACCACTAGTAGAAGCCGTTGGCGGTTATAAAGATTACGAATTAGTGGATTTCGTGCTACACAATCACTCTGAACGAGTAGTAAAAAGAAGTTCGCATTTAAGAACGATAGAATCCGAGCAAATGGATATATCTAACGAATCGGCTTGCAGTGATAGAAATAAAATTCTCTTAGACGACAATTACGTGATAGCCGAAGAAATATGTGAAGCAGATGAAGAAAAGAATAACGAAGATCAGATGAAATTTTTGATGGATCATTTGGATTTGAATGAAAGTTCCGAACAGACCGCCATAGACGATTCGTTGGATGTTAATTTGGAGAACACGGAAAAGTGTAGCGGCGATTTTATTTTTCATTTTGAAGATGAAAATGTTGAATCTGAAGGTGGTAAGTACGAAAAACCAAAAAAATAAATTATCGAATACTGTTTTAATTAGGAAACGGATTAGTTTAATATGAAAATTTTTTTGGGAACTTTTTGTTTCTTTGGATATTATGTGTCTAAATTTCGTGAAACAAAATCCTCCTTAAAATTTTGGGAAAATTATGTAAAGTAAAATAAGTAAAAAAACAAAAAAGTTCTTAAAAAAAATCCTACCTCTCGTGATGTTTGAAAAGATTATTTAACAATATAAACAAACTTTTATAATCAACATTTGCTTTGTTTCCATAAGATGAAGTCGATTCTGCATTTAAAATGTATATTTCAACAACAAAAACAATTCTTCGTCCCCTTTTTGACAAATATTCAAAAAATTATTCGAAAAAATCCTTATCAGTCACCTACGATGTCTTGAGCGTCTGCCGTTTATGCATACTCACTTCCATAGTGCACCCAAATCTCGGAAAAGGCATCCGTAGGATGTTTGGACGATTTCCGTGCGATTTTTCGAGGTTTTTTCGCGGTTTCCATGGAAACCGTCAAACAGATTTTGACGCCGATTATTTTTTTGGAAGCGTCTAGTGGGTCCGCACCTTCGGTGCAAGTTTCGTTAAATTCCGTCTATCCGTTCGGACGATACGATTTTTTAAGTGATTTTGGAAACCCTATTTTAAAATTTTCTCAATAAAAGGAAATATAGACATTTCCAGAGCCTACTGGGGGCCGTATAGCTCTCATAACACTTTGCAAATCTTGATGGATCAAAATTATTTTTAACATTTTGCAAATCTAGATGGACAAAAGTTTTTTTTATCACATTCAAATGTAGATAGACGAAAGTTTTTTATCAGTGTACAAATGAGGATTGACAAATATTCTTTGAGTAACAAATTATTTTTATAACTTTAAAACTTAAACATTTATTTTTCACATGAGAATTTACCATAATCCCATACAGCACAAACATATTTCGGAAATATTTCAAAAATATTACATTGAAACATTTGTAATGTATAAATATTACGAAACATCCCAGAAACATTTCTGAAATGTGCCGAAAACGTAAAAATGTCCTGTAAATATAATATTTCACAGTAATATTTCTGAAATAAAAATTTGAAACCTTTTAGAAATATTAAATAGTAATATTTCAGAAATGTATTCTAGCTTTTTTTTCTAAAATATTAGCCTAAAAAAATACAAAACATGTATATTTAAAATACACAAAACTCAAACATTGATTCCTAAACAAACAATCAAATAAATAATTTTTAAACATTATTTCCTAAAATATTTATTTAAATAGAAATAAGAATATAAAATACCTATAAATTTGATAAACAAAATGGCGTCACTCGTCTCAGAAAAGAGATAAAGTTAATAAACCTAACCCAAACAAGCATTGTAATACAAACCTCAATTTCTAAACACATATTCTGACTATTCTGCTTTCCATATAACAACAGCCCAACGTATAAATAACAAAAAAAAAGGAAATGACAAAAACCGACAACTCAAATTTATAATTATTTAGAATATAGGGTTGTCTCTGACTGGACATAGAATGAAATAAAATAACTACATATCCCATCGTGATCTTCTTACAAATCAGAAATTCTTCATTGAGTGTTGGCCTTTTACAACATAGCCCGTTTAGCAATCTTTTGTGGAACATGTAGGTATACCATGTTTCAGAAACATTTTCAATGAAACATTTAACTAAAATATTTCAGTAACTTGAAACGTTTGAAATATTTCTGAAACACTTCTGAAATAATGTGTGCTGTATGGGATGTTAGTTTCGAGGTTTGTTTTGCAATCCCTAAGTGACAAAAAAAAATTTGTTAACACTGTCCCTTTTTACTTACAGTTTTGAAATCGCCTTCGATTGCAATACCTCAAAGTCGACACAAAGCAGTATCGAACATCACCTGCGAGGTCGGAAGCAAAAAAAGCGAAAGCGAATTGACGGAGGATTCAATTCCGACACCTAATATACAATACGATCTTAATAAATCCAAATCGAGTACGAAAATTTCGGACATGAGTTCCGAAAGCTTATTATGGCTGTCGCATCGTTTGGGGCCTCTGTTGACGGCGAAATATCTGTCGAGAAATTTACTGAAAATGTTGGCTCTGTGTTATATCGGAAAAGAGAACATATCTTTTGTGCCAAATTTCACGGCGAACTGTAAAAATATTTCCATTACTTCGCATTCGGTGAAGGGCGATCATAATTGCGTGAAGGTTTTAGAATGCCTTACGTGCATCTCAGGTAAGATTCATTGTTTTATTAATTTATTTATAGTACAGAAACAAACGATCTAAATGTATATATTAAATATCATTTAACAAAGTTCGATAAAGATACTTGACCTAGTGTATACATACTTTTATCAAAAAATGTGTAATTAAGAAAAGGACGGCACTGGTAGCCTCAAACATAATGGATTGTATTATAGGTGAACTACTTTTAAGTTAATTCAAGGTAGGGTTGGCTTTAGATATTAGCGGAATATGTATTTCCAACCTACATTTTATACAAGATTAAAGTACCTTAATTTTTAACAATTTCGAATTTTTTTATCAGATATTCATTTCTTGTATTTTATAAATTCTAACTAGTTTGTTAACATTTACATTGCATCCCAGACTAAATATCAATTTAATTTATTTTATTAACTCCCACTAGTGTTTTGAAGTTTACCTTCTTTAATTTGTTTTTCAATTTTCAATGTTTTCTAGATTAAATTTCAACGCATAGACAAAGTATCGATGCTACTACAGATAAGGATTAGTGAAAGTAACAAAATCTATTTTTTCATGGTGAAACGCTATTGGATATTTCGTACATAACCGAAACCATTTGATATTTGATGGTTATATTTTCAATTTTAAACTTTTATGAAAAATAACTTTTTTCATAAAACTAAGAATAAATAAGTTTCCCATATAGGGCCGATTTAAGTAGACGCACTGTATAAATGCAGTATGATATTTATCGCCAATTTCCAAACATAATTATTATTAGGGAAAATTTTGCCATGGGTTCTTATGACCCTTTAAATCTAGTAACACAACTCTTTGAAACTTTACAAGACTGAATTTGTGTAAATATTAAATATAATATAAATATAAAAATCCTTTTTTTTAATTTTGTCTCATAAAGTAATAGTTTTCTTAGCTGTCAAAAAATTGACGATGGCTTATTTTTTCTAACTAGGGTGACAAAACTAAAGAATTTCTCTACATACTTTGAGGTGGTTTCTTTCAAAATCAGACAAACTCTTTCATGTAATAACATGTTAGAAAAAAATTTTATATAATAAATAGTTACTGACATTATTTTACTTGTTTCCAGGTCTCTACGGGGAACAAATAATAATATTTCAATACATTCCTTATATGACTGAATTAATTCTTCTTTGTAAAAAAAGGATCACTCCGAATTTAGAAGGAGGTCTAATATCATGTTTGACTCTGTTAAAAAACATCATTCCATATCTTTCCGATTCCATGCTGATGAATCAGTTGCAGGTATATCTATACAGTACGATGCAAATGTATAGCATACATTCCTATTTTAAATATTTAAAAAAAAAATGTGTATCAGTCAATGTTTTTTTTTTCTGAACCACTAAAAATAGTCGAGGACACTATACCAGTAGCAATAAATAGTCGAATAATTATACAGTCAGATAGACGATTAGGAGACCTTTTAAATGAGGTTTCGCATGATCCCTGTTTGTATTAAGTCATTGCGCCAAAACTGATGACGTAACGTAATGTATTCCATACATTTGCATCACACTGTATTATTTTTTTTTAAACACGTATCGAAAAGTTTGCATTTAAAATTTTAGTTTATTAATAATGGAAGACAGGGCACCAAAAAATGTTTTATTTCAGGATGTTATATTAAAAGATATCATTCATCCGATCATAAGATTGCTGAATTCTACAAATCACGTTTTTCCTAGTGGCAGTATGGCGAGAAATACATTGGCACGCAAATATCTAGACATACTGTACATTCTATCCATAAGAATAGGTGTAGATATGACTAAAAAATATCTGTTGGTGCCGGCTATACAAAGATTTTTCCAAATATTCGATAAAGTGTATGACAATTCGAGCGAAGAAGGTTTAGTGAATAAGGTTAGTTTTTTCTTGTATGAAAAATGTACGGAAGTGTAGAAGAGCCACAATATATTTTTTTTTATTTTTCCGATTTAAAACTCGGAAAAAATCGATTTTCCTAATTTAGAATAAGGAAAATCAATTTTTCTTATTTACAATTCAGAAAAATAGATTATTTCGATTTAGAACTCGGAAAAATAAATTATTCTGACTTAAAACTCGGAAAATATCCATTTTTTGACTTACAACTTGGTAAAATAGATTATCTCGACTTAGAACTCGGAAACATCGATTTTTCTGATTTACAACCTGGAAAAATAAATTATTCCGTCCTAGAACTAGGAAAAAAATCGAGTTTTCTGATGTAGAACTCGGGAAAAAATCGCTTTTTCTGGTTTACAATTCCAAAAAATTAATTATTCCGACTTAGAACTCGAAAAAAATCGATTTTTTTTTTTTTTAATTTATAACATGGAAAAATGTATTTTTTTGACGTACAACTCGGAAAAATAGATTATACCAATTTAGAACTCTAAAAAATAAATTATTCCAACTTGCAACTCGAAAAAATTAATTATTCCGATTTAAAACCCAGAAAAAATATTTTTCTGACATAACTTGAAAAAATAAATTATTCCTACTTAAAACTTGGAACTAATCTATATTTTTGAGTTACAACTCGTAATAATCTACTTTTCCGAGTTTTAAGTCGGATAATACATTTTGTGGCCCTTCTATGATTTCATATAAATGCTTAAATAACTATTAATTATAGGTATTTCAAATGGGTACACCACACGGAGGTACTTCTGACCTCCATTTAGAACTACATGAAAATAGAAAAGCTTCTCTGAAATATTCAGAATCATACGGCAATTTCCAATTTTCAGAAGAAAGTATTGAATCTAGAGCATTGATTGAATTACAAGAAGTATTTTCTAGAGAACTCGCACATATGGCCTATCTACCTTTCGTAAAACTTCTTGGCGTCAACTCTTTGGAAACTGCTTTGAATAATTACGAAACTATTTGTAAACTTTGTCAAGAATACGAAGAAGAAATTAAGTTGTGCTCAAATAAGCAAGTTCCTTCTTTAAAACTGGCGGATTTTTGCGTAAATCCACCTATTATCAATTCTTCTAGTATAGGTAGTAATATAGGTAAGCTATATATTGTATAAGTAAAGTAAAAGTTGGAAAGGCTTTTGCCAGTTCTCCCACTTTATACACATAAATTGACAGGTTTGCGGCGGATCTTACCGAAGTGGACACGATACATTGGCGTACAAAATTATTTTATAGATGTTAATAACAATTTCGAGTAAATAGTTTAATAAATTGTGAATAGCTGTTGAAATTTTGTAAAATTATGATTTGAATATTTTAATACATGTTTAATAATTATTTATAGTCCATAAATACGTGCGATTGTCCGGTTCCGCCGGATAACAATTTTTATTTAATTTAATTATTTAAAATTAATTCTGATGCCTTGGTAGGATTCCCCACTCGACCATTCACTGTTGGGTTCTAATTAACAGTGCTGTTCCTGAAGTGGCGCTGGAAAACAGTAACAAAGCCTACACAGAACACACATGATTGAGAATTTAAACACAAACGGAGACTGGCATATTAGGTTTATACACCTAGGCCATAAATCGAAAAAAAAAAATATTCTATGAAACGACACTGGCAGGTAAACATTACTGCGAAATTCTCGAAGCCGTCCGACGTAGTTTGACGTTTACCCCCTCTCTACCTACCAAAAGCCTTTCCAACTTTTACTTTCGCTATATTAAGTTTTTAAATGATTAGACAGGTGATACTTCTCAACACATCACTGATTTATTTGATGAACACTTATCTAGTTCTCACAGTCATCAAAAAGCCAACTAATTAAATATGAAAATGAATAATCCCCAATTCCCCCTACCAAATTTTGAAAAATACACCCTCATATCCCCCAAGTGAAAACAAACAAAAGAAAAATTGGAAAAACTGAGGATTAAAGAACGAAAAAATGACACATGGCTTTTGACATCCTAAGTGGTAGATTTCAAGTCAATCAGATTCCGATTCTCGTCCGCGCAAGCATACAAATTCTAATATCATCCAAGCTCTCTCAATTCTTCTTAAAGCCAGAAGGGGTGTGGATTCTTGAAATTCAAAACCACCAATCCACAATCACATCACCCTGTATCTTCCATTATCGTTGTTTATTAACTGGTTCGTTTTATAAGAAACAATATTTTCAGGAATAAAACACACTGGATTAAACTTTGAAAACTCGTATTAAATCGAAGGACCATTTTAACATTACGGCGTTGAAAACCTTTACATTAAACCCTTATACTATTGACAGAAACTATACAGAAATTAAAACTAACCGCGACTCTTTATAAATGAAGATTACTTTATACTACTTTTCGAATTTTAACCAACAACTTTTCGAGGCGTCTAAAGATTCACTGTCAATGAGAACAGTTGTTGAACACATGTCATTTACAGAGAATAGACATTTTATCTATTAAACTAACATTTTCTAGAATTTGTTATAAAATTAATTTGAAATACAAAGCTTAATTACCATCATATGCTTTAAATTAAAGAATTTGAACAAAATTTATACCCGTTTTACTCTTAAACTACTAAAATTATTTTAGCGGTAATCGGAAATAGAATAGAACTCCAGTCTGCGAACCAAGATAACATTAATATGGATCTACTAAGTCTAGTTAGTAATAGAATAGAAAATTCTAGCAGACATCTACGAGGAAATTGGTTGGCATACTGGGAACACGAAATAGGTTTGTGACTTTATTAATTTAATATAACTTTTTCGGTAATCTAATCAAATCATCTTTTAGGTCGATCTGAAAAAGATATCCAATTGAATTTCAAGCAAATTAAACTTCAAACATTCGTCGGTCACACGCAAAGCGTGAAATGCTTGCAAATTTTAGATAATGAAAATAGTTTTATGTCCGGTAGCCGAGATAAAACAGTTAAATTGTGGTCTATGCGTAGCCAAGGGGATGGATTCAGCACTTCTAACTGTCAATGGACTTACAGTGCACATAAGAAGTCAATTTTGTCTATAACATTTTTGGAAAGTTTACGGTATAATTTTTGGAATGTCTTGGGTAGCGGACGTATTAAAATCCTATTTTTTTTTTTAGATTAGTCGCGTCGTGCGATGGAATAGTTCATATATGGGATCCGTTTATGGGCGCTAACGTGGGTAATATGGAATCTACAAAGTTCGCTCCGGTAAACACTTTAAAAAGTATGCCAGCTCCTTCTACCTTAGTATTCGCCGCTACTACAGATGGTACACTCAAAGTACTCGATACAAGAATACTAAGCTATATCCAAGAATTAAAAGTAAAAATATTCAATTTAGTATTAATTTTAGCAACTATCGATATTATTTTTAGATAAGCAATAACCCTCCGAGTTTAATCCGATGTTTGGCTACAGCACCCTCTGGAAATTGGATAGCGGCTGGGCAGTCGTCTGGAAACATAATAGTATTGGATACCAGGACCGGACTGATAATATCTAATTGGCGTGCTCACGAAAGTGAAGTTCTGCAATTGGAGGTTTACGATAAAGAAACTTTGGTTTCTAGTAGTCTGGATCAAACTACCAGCGTTTGGAATATTTTGGATGGAAAACTGAAGTTTCATATGAGGTAACTTAAACGTTTAGATATTAATTATTCGATAAAATTATATATTTTAACCGTTACTAAACGATACTTTACAATAATTGTTAAACATTTCTTTTTACATGAGAAAAACCAAACTTGGTAGATTTTCACAAATACTTTTATTAAAAAAAATTAACATTTTTCATGACAATTGTTTCGCAGTACAACTTCTTCAAATGTGACTAATATTTCGTTGTCTAATATATATACAAAGTAAACTAACTAGTTTAAGTACTTAAGAAATATGTCAATAAAATTACAATAATGTGTTATCATTACCAAGATTATCTCCCAGAAAACTAAGAACAGGTAAAGAGATTTAATAAAGGTGGGTGATTAATATCTAATTAATCATTTAATGGTTATCTGAATATCTAATAAGTTTTCTATTAGGTTAACTGTTTCTTTAGGAGGTATTCTAGGAAATAAGTTTGTTAGATCAAATGATATTAATTTTGTTACTAGATAATTTAACTTTTCTGTTAATTCATAAGAATTTTGTATACTGTACTTTGAATGGAATTTGCAATTTTCTTGTATAAGTTTAATTAATTTTTGTGAAAGTTTTATTGATGGAGCCATGACAAATGATACAACTGGTCTAATAAAATGTTTTAAATAAAAAAAAGGGAAGAATAATTCAATAAAATTTTAAACTTAAATATTAAAATTAATAAAGCTCATAGTTTTGGGGTATTTCATAAGCCATCACATGCTGATATTACAATACATAATAGTTCATCTCATCCATATAAACAAAAGTTAGTAACATTAATTTTTTATAGAAAATTTTGAGATTTTACATATAGAGAATAAGGGCAATAAATTAAGCCGTTTGGAGACATACGAAATAAATAGATTTAAAAATTCAGATAACTATTAAATGATCAATTAGGTATTAATAACTCGTATGGTAGACGCTCCCTCGATCACTTAGTATAGAATTAATTCTATATACATAAAGTTTTCTTAATTTTTAAATTTATTTGGGTAGACTGCCAAATTTAAATTAATATTGTTTATATTCTCTAAAATGATGAAAATGGTAGATGTTCGTCAAGCATCATTTTTAAAACAAATATTCTGAATCGATTATCGTTCCATCCATTAATAAATAGAGAAATTACGTTCGTTATTCAGTTTTGACAACCTGGTAGAAGACGACAAAATTATCAAAGACATGACTTGGACACCACGGAGCTTGCTGCCATCTATTGATACTGTCCATTGTCCTTCAAGATAATTTGCATTGGTATTGTTCTACTAGTTGATCTAAATACAATGCCATACTCTATTATTATCCTACAATTATTTTCGATTAATCGGTTATTTTTTATTAAACTATTGTTTTCGATTAATTTTGATAATCGCCCAGCCCTAGCTTTAACTACCTTTGCGTTTATTTATCAGAAATTTGCTGTCCAGATTATATTTTTTTATCTGGATTTGAAATGAAATGTTGATATTAATGATTGTTAAACTTGTTATTTTTGTTGGATTCGGCCATCGAATTATATTTACTCCGTTCATTCCTGAGGTGGCTCCATACGAGCAAGATAGCATTTTCGTAAAGAATGAGCTTGCACAATCCTGTCAAAACTGATTGTTTAGTTTTTCCTTTATTTTCGACACTTTCTCAGAATAATATATTTTATCATTATATTATTAAATTTGTCATAAAAAAATTTACCACGCTACCAATACGTCTAGAGCGTTTGTTTATTATATCTACATTTAAATCTATACCTGAATCGAGTGATCAAAAATCTCCGATGCGGATATCTTATGTTGTGTATTTTAGGGGAACTACAGAACCAGTCCATTGCTTAAGTATACACAATAACGAGTTAATATCTGGCACGACGGGAAACCGGATTGGCGTTCACACATCCATAACGCCTGATGCCTGTTTTTCAAACAACAAATTACGCGGTGACTCTTTTAGAGGCCTGCTTACGTCGATGGACTACATGCCTCTGAATAGATTGTTACTCTTGGGAGCTGATACTGGAAACATTAATTTATTATGTTGATATTTTAAATTTATTTATGACATTATTTTATGTATGTTAAATATATTTTAGAAATGGTATAGAAGTATTTTATTTATTTACCTACCAGCCCATTTATATTACAAATTACAATTTTAAAATATCACAAATATATCTGTGTTGATGATTTATTTCTTTTTATTTACTTCTACGAAGCTTTAATTTTGTAAATATTTTCATTAGGTTAATTATACTGATAACCCAGACAACACACCACATCCCAGAGATATCCACAGAATATCTTTTGTGGATATCCAATATATCCACAGGATATCAGAAATATTCCGTGGATCTAAAATGGATATCCAAATGTCCGTCTATATCCAGAATATAAAAGATATCCTAATGGATATTCAGCAAAATATCTAATGGGTATCTTCCAGAAAATACAAGAAATCCCTGAGATATCCACAGAATATATTTTGTGGATATCCAACCAAATGTCAGTCTATATCCCAGGATATAGAAGATATTCGGATATTCAGCAAAATATTTTGTGGGTATCTTTAGTAGAGGTTCATAAGTAACCAATGATTATTGAATTGAATAACGTTGAAAGAAAATAGCAGAGAAAAAATATTTTCAACACTCTGCCTTTGATTTTGCCCACTAAGGAGAAAGTCATCCTCATCAGCAATAAATGGAAATTCTCGACTCCAGTCTCTAATGGAGTCTGATTAGGGCACAAATTTTGATCGAACTCAATTACGTCGGGTCGAGCATGAGTAGATGCGAAAGTGTTATCGCCATCTATACTTAGTAAGCAGAAGCAAATAACATCTAGTAATCTAGTGGATATCCACGATGGTTTGCGTTCGCGCCTAGACTTTGATATATTTAGTGGATGTTCATGGGATATTGAATACAGCTTAAAAAAATTAATTTTAAATATCTGAACGGTACTATTAGCCACAATGGCGTAATTTTTTAATAATTGCTATATAATTACTATTATTTATGGATATTTGCATGTCTATAAATTACATCTCATGGATATAAAATAGATATCTACCATGGACTGGACATTCAGTGGATATTGGGATGTGCAGTAGATATCCAAAGGATTTGGTGTGCTGTCTGGGAATTAACCTTGAGGTTTTCACCGCTTATTGGAAATCCTTTGGGCATAGCCGTATTATTTTTTTTAATTATATTTCCACGAAGCTTTAATATTCCAAACAGTTTTTATTACGATAAATTATACTGCTTATTGACTTGAAAGTTTTCACCGATTATTAGGAATATCCGTATTTATTGGTTTATATTTTTTTAGCGATTATAAATAATTTGGGGATTTCGATTTAGTTGAAAATATGCATAGTATGCCTCGTAGATTTAAAAAATCGGTAAAGTTTATATCCAGAACTTTCCTAGATATAGAAATTGTAGACAGTAAACTCCAATAAGGGGTATTATAAAATTTTCGTTTACTAATTTAACAATTATTTATAAATGGAAAATTAACAGATTCTGTAGAAATAAAATAACTAAGTTGCTTCACCTGTTATTTTGAAGTAATTATTACAATATTTTAGAAGCCAAAAATCCTTTCTCACCTTTCTCTCTCCATTGATCCTAGTCTTGATCCCAACCGAATTAATACTTCGCGTCCGCCAGGTTTTCTTCGCCACGTTCACCGTTATTGAACGATGATTGGATGCTTTTTTTATTATTTCCATTCAGAGGGGACCATTTTTATTTAAATACGATTTCTTTCAACGCCATTTTGAATTTTTAAAAACCTATTGGATCTGTAATTGACTTCTGAAGTACTCAAATACCAATTTTAATAGAAAACTGCCCACCTTATAAAAATATTTATTATACAAGGGAAAAAAGTATCAGATTTTAGAGCTAAAATCTAATGTTTTTCCCGTGTACAATACACAATTTTTTTCTGTGACGGGAAAAACGACGATTTAATATTGAAAAAAATATTCTAAAATATCTACCTTTACTTATATGTAATTTATAAAAAGTGACATTTTGTTACCTGAGAGATAAAATGTCAAACTTTTTTCCTGTCACTCTAACTTGACCGGAAGTATAATTAGGCATTCCAAACAAATGAATTGCCAGTGGGCAGGTTTGGTAGATCTGCCGGTTGCGACATACGATGTATTCTATCTACAATACGTAAAATCATGAATAATGGATTACATTTAAATATTTTATATCGAACACTATAAAAATATTAATTAAAAAAACTGCTTGTACATTTTTTTAAAAACTGGCAGGATTGACGACTGATATTTCGAATAAAAATAGCGTTCAAGATGCAAGACTATGTCGCTACCCCCCTTAGATATACGAGATCTTCCCACTGTCAGGTATTGTTTGACAGGTCGTTGGAATGCCTAATTGCTTATAATCCAGAAAGGAGTCTTACCTGCATACAAAATTTTAAGTTTTTCTCTAAAGCTATTTTTGAGTTATCACGCCAACAGACAGACCGACGGAATGGGGAAACATGTTTTTCGTAATCTAGGGACCCCGAAACATAAGGATCCGAAATAATCTCGGAGGGTGACTTTTTCACGATTACAATACTTCCCTCTTTACGAGGGATGTAAAAATGCAATGAAATTTGTAGAATTTACAAAGTAATTCAATGTCAAATATAGTATGGATAAAATTATTCATACTAAGAGTTGTTTTTGATGCAATTTTCTATAATTTTTGTCACACACGATTTCTCTAAAAATAAACCGTAATGGAAAAATTCTAGGAAAAGTGCAAACTTTTATCTTTTTCTCAAGTTATAAGGATTTGGAAAAATTCTTCAAGTAGGAATTGTTTTTGATGCGATTCTCTATCAATTTTTTCATATACACAATTTCTCTAAAATGGACCATAATGGAGAAATTTGAGAACCAGTGCAAAATTCGATTTTTCTCCAATATTTTTGTAACTAATAGAGATACAAATTTAAGTAAAAGTGTAAAATTCGATTATTTTTCAACAACGATTTCACTAAAATGAAGCGTATTGGAGAAATTTGAGGAAAAGTGCAAATTCGAATTTCCTCAATAGTTTCGTTGGCAATGAAAAAATTCTTCAAATAGAAGTTTTTGTAGATGCAATTCTCTATAATTCTTGTAATATACACAATGTCTCTAAAATGGACCGTAATGGAGAAATTTGAAAAATAGCGCAAAATTTGGTTTTTCTCCAATACATTTCGTTAGCAATGAAGATATGAAAAAATTCTTCAAATATGAGTTGTTTTTGATGCCATTCTCTATTATTTTTGCCATATAGTACATGATTTCTCTTGAATGGATTGGAAAAATTTGAGAAAAAACTTTTCAATATTTTCATTGAATTTTTTTTATCTTTTAATTCATATCATCATGGCTCGTACTCAATATATTTGAAGTTAGACAAAGGGGTCTATTCTGTAACAATTCCTTTATATTTAACGGCCTTTAAAAATATTTTCTTCTTTACTTCTGTCATTATTTAAACGGATCTTTAAAATACATTAGAGGACTATCTTAAAGAAATCTGTTTAAATAATGACAGAAGTAAATTAACGAATACGAACATATTTTTAAAGGCCGTTAAATATAAAGGAATTGTTACAGAATAAACCCCATAAGAAGTCTGATATGTTTAATTCAATTTGCTCCAGTTAAAACGCAAAAATCAGTGGGAAATTTCGCAAAGACAAAATTATTCTATACATCAAATTGAAGTACAAATCATACGCTACGTGAAAATATAAGTGACATTTATAAATTTCTATCAAGTAAAACAGTATTTAGTGTGTAAGTGCACCAATCCTTATTCATCCATATCAAAAAAGTGGCCATTGGAAGCTTATCAGAACCGTTTTTTGTCTGTTTTTGTTGGACTTGGCAAAATAAATAATTTCTAATGTTTTGAGTATTGGCAGTGGCTACTGAGCCAACTTCAGAGTTCAGACCCATTTTTTGGATTAATAATTATAACTCTGGTACCAATTATTTTTCCGGTGCGTATTAATTATAATTTTTATTACTATGGAGAGGAACTTTAAAGTGCTGTAAAAATAAAGAATTTGGGAACTTTGGTTGCATTGTCTGCCAAAGTATATTTCATCCAGGTTGCTTAGAAAGGCAAACGGAAGTTGTAAAACTTGGTGGCTATCGAATTCAGTGTTCCATAAAATGTCAAATGAAATCCGACGAAGAAATTACAAATCTAAGAAAAACATTTTATGGGCTAGAAAAAGACTCCGCCTCAAAGGACGCCTACATTAAACGTCTTAAAAGTCAAACCGATGTTTTCACTGACGTAGTTTCCGATACCGAACAAGCATTCAACTTAAAACTAGTAAAACAACGGGAACATATAGCTGAATTAACTAAAGATTTAATTCTTGTAAGGGAGAGAAACGTCTTATTGAAAGAACAACTCGAAGAATCATCTGCATCCATACTAAAAACGAAAGAAGAATTCACCGACTTATTGACAATAAATAAACAAATGGTTAGCTCTATTCAGTCATTAGAAGAAGAAAACCTACTATAATCTACATACATAAAAAAACTGAGTCAAAAACTTTACGTTTTGGAACGATCAGTAGATCTTGACTCGAAGTCTACAATTAATATTCCCTCTCAAACCGTTAATAATGTGCCTAAAATAGCATCAGATACCACGACACCAACAGACGCTCGCAAACCGCAATTATTAATTATAGGTGACAAAAACGCAAGAGGTCTAATATCAATTACTAAGTTAATTACGCAAAAGAAATATAATATTAACTGTCAATGGTCGGAAGGAATATTATTTGAAGATCGTATTGAACAACATCAAAACTTAATCAAAAAATCTTCCAACAAAGATGTTATACTTTTTACTGGAGTAAAAAATGCTCTAATAAAGGACAACCAATTAGTTCCGCGTGTATCCAATCTCTAATGCAATACTCTAATAATACTAACCTGTTCATCTGTGGTCCCCCTCTACAAAGTGGCCGTTTCGTCCTAAATAAAATAACCCAAGAGTAAGATCTTAAATTTCAGGCTCAAATCTCGGCGATCATTTTGGTCTTTTTATAGAGTTTCATCATATTCTGCACATTGTGAATAACAAGAAAAAATATCATTTAGAAACCTTTCTTATGCCAACCTGCATAACCTGTCATTCGAATTGGCTAAGGAGGATTTCCAAATAATTTACGAATCACCTAACGGTATTGATCAAACTTTTATGAACTTTCTAAATATTATTCTTTATTTAAACTTAACATGTCCTGCTATAACAAAGAGTATTAATGACAAGGGCTCCTCTAATAAATGGATAAATGAGGAGATTATATGGATGGGAGATGATTTAAAAGCGCTATTTTGGTTATCTAAGAATTCTTCTGATGCTGACATTCTATCAAATTATAAATTACAAAAGAAAAAATATGCTGAAAAAATAAATCAAACTAAAAGGGCATTCTTTCAAGATCATTTAAAAAATAAAAATATTTGTCAGAAGCAAAAAATCATCTGGAATCTATTGGAAGTTGCTAATCAAATTATATCCGAGAAAACTGATATTGCAAATAGACTTGTGGATTACTTCTCATCCTTCACTAGCAGTGCTATTAATAATAATTTTACTAATTTAGTATTCAATGATTATACCACCATGTACGTCCAAAATACATTCCATTTTATCAGTGTTAGTGCTCATGATGTTGTTGAAGCCATTTCTTCACTAAAAAACACCAACTCTGTTGGTATTGACAGTATTTCCACGAAAGTTATAAAAACAATCTGTCCACATATTGCTCATGCTCTGGCACATATAATAAACACATCAATTGCCTTGGGTTAATTTCCAGCAGATCTAAAAATGGGGGTAGTAACACCAATCTTCAAAAAAGGAAACCAAAAATTACTTGAAAATTATAGGCTAATTACTGTTCCTACTGTATTTTGTAAGGTTTTCGAGAAATGTGTATACAAACACATGTTGTTTTTATTTAAATATATCATATCAGATCACCAACATGGTTTTCTTCCAGATAGGTCAACTGAGAGTGCCACTAGGGACTTTTTCAATTACATATATGGTCAGTTGGATAAAAAGATATGTGGGAGCGCTCTTTTTTGACCTCTCCAAAGCTTTTGACTGTATTGATCAGAATATAATTCAAAATAAATTATTTGCTTTGGGTTTCAGAGGGGATTTTCTAACGTGGCTATCTTCATATCTCAACATGAGGAAAATTTGTGTTAACATTGAAAACTACCGATCTACATTTAAAGACATTGATCGTGGTGTCCCTCAGGGGTCAATTCTAGGCCCACTAATTTTCTTGTTATATATAAATGATCTTTCATCACAGATAAAAGCAGATTATACTGTTATGTATGCTGATGATACCACATTAGCAGCTGATGATACCACATTAGCAGCTGATGCTGAATTTCCTGCGGAGCTTCTCTTAAAACTTAATAATCTAGCATATCAATTTACTGTATGGTGCAAAAGAAATTCCTTAATATTAAATTCAAGCAAAACTGTTATGCAATTTTTTTCTAGAAATAGGATAACTGATAAAATAAGTGTAAAAGTTTTATCGGAGGACATTTCTTTCTCTCATATAACTAAGTTCCTAGAGGAGTTATGATTGACAGCAATATGAATTAGGATTCAAATGTCAATTTTATCTGTAAAAAGTTAAACAGCGCTTACTATGCAATCCTACAGCTAAAAAATATTTTCAATACTAATCAACTTCTTCAGGTATACTATGCTTTTGTTTATTCTTATCTCTCTTATAACGTAATCCTGTGGGGAAACTGTACAAATGCTTTAAGAGTTTTTATTAATCAAAAAACAATTATGAGACTAATTTTCAATTTAGAAACAAGAACTACATGTAGGGATCATTTTTAAAAATATAATATACTCACATTCCCAGCCACATACATTTTTAAAACCATCCTGTATGTTAAAAAAAAATGATTCATCATTTTCTAAAAATCAAGATAATCATAATTACCCCACTCGAAACAATGAAGCAATTCGTATTCCAAAACATTCATCAGCTCTATTTGAACTCAGCCCACACTACTCTGGACTTACTCTTTTTAATCATCTTCCATACTCAATTAAAACAACCATCACCTATTATATTTTTAAAACAAAATTAAAAAACTATTTAATAGATAATTGTGTGTACACTATAGATGAGTACCTACCTCAATAATGCTATGTTGTTTATACCTGATTTATTTTAGTTTTATTTATATACCTAACTTATCCTATATCATGTACTATGATCTAAAAGGACAAATAAAGAATTATTATTATATTATATAGTTTAATATATTGGGATAGATAATAAAAACGATTTTAAATTTAACCGGTTTAATAAACCAAAAAATTCGATATAACGAAAAAAATTCGGAAAACAAAATGTATCTTAACAGCTTAATATATTAGTTCACAAATAATAATAATTACAATTAGTGCGTGTCATTCCCATTCAGTCGTTCCTGGAGGTTTTGGCGTTAAATCGTACAGCACCCTGGAAATTCCTGGCAGTTGGACTACCTCTTGAACCATTTTTTGGACCACCTACAAAATAGAGTAAATATATTATCAGTGTATAATAAAAGTCATTTTAAAAGCAGACTCCAAAAATGATGGATTTTCTGATGGATCCCACCATTAGATCTTGACTAAATTTATATGGGACCACCCTTGAGGTACGAACTTTCTAACAAAAAAAGAATCATAGAAATCAGACAACATGGTAAACAACAAAAAATATAGATATTCAGACGAATTGAAAACATCCTCCATTTTTTGAAGTCGATTCAAAATATAAATATTACAACGCTTACATCTATAGGTACTTGTTTTCCGGGCAAAGCAGGCACTCCAGTCATAAAATCCTGTGTACAAAACGGGCGCAAAACCACCGACCTCTGACAGGAGGGAATCCTTAAGGCTTGGTCTCTATCGAAATGTAACGGTATAAGGACAACTGGCATTTGACTAATTGAACCGGAATAACCACTACTATGTAATATCTAAAAATAACATTTTATTTATTGGAATTTATAAATTCGATTAATTATAGTGCAAAATATTCTCCTTTAAAATCTATACTCTTGCATCCAGTGGCGGCTCGTGGGGTGGTTCACAGTGACAGAATATAGGTATCAGTACAGATGTATGAAAAAACTTTCAGTGTTTTAGAAAGTTTATAATATACCATTCTAAAACACTGACAGTTTTTTACCTATATATGTACCGGGATCTATATTCTGCTACTGTGAACCCCCAAAATTTTGGTCACGAGCCGCCCTTGCTTGCATCCAATGAAACCAAAATAATGATTAATTTTTCTGAAAGCTAAGTGTAAAATGATTTAGATTTTCTGTTGAAAATAAATTCCGCGTTTTCAGTTATTGAGGTGAAAAACATAACACTCAAAAGTAAGTGAAATCATTTGTAATTATTATATTGGCAGCTTATGAGCGCGAATAATAAATAATATTAGTATTTTAATATGAAGTATACTTCTAAATACCTAATTGAACAAATGATTGTTTTTATGTAATTCCCATAAAAAAATATACATATTTAAGTAGGAAAACTCACCGACATTGCTATATCATCACATTGTCTCAGAGTACTTAGTACATTACTGGTAAGATAAGTGTGGGTAACATCGGGCAGTGGTTCCTTGACGATTCCTCCGAAAATATAACAAACTCTATTGACGTTGCGGCAAATTCTAGGCATAAGACTGGCCAAAAATGACAGATCGTTCCAATCGGGATCTTTTTCCGAAGAAATACCGACCACGTAGCTGTAGGTTCGGCTGTCGCCTTGAACACCAACGCTACGAATCGGTAGGAGAGTGGCGGCTAGTTTTTGTTTGCTTGATATCTGTCGCAGAGCGTCCCTGTAAAAAACAAATAGATGTGGTACGTCCAATAAGAAAAAGAAAACTCAAAATTTTGTAACCTTCAAAGTGAACTCCGCAACTTCCAGTGAGGGAAACTACCTAAAACTGAACTTTTTTTTAAAGAAAGAAAATTATAAGATATTAAGACAAAGTTAGATAATTTGGTGCACAATCCTAACATTATAGTAGTACAGAAACAGCTTCCCCGATTCAGTGAGCTTTAGCAGCTTTTTGTACGATTTTAAAAATATTTTTGAAGAATTTTATGGTTATATTCTGATCCACGTTATTTTGGAGCCTGGGAAGTTCACTACTTAGATGTTTTAGGCAAAAAAATGTTTTTTTCGGAGTTAAAAGTACGAAAAATATGTCTTTCTGAATTGTAAGTTGAAAAAATAAAAAAATATTTCTGACTTAACTCACTAATATATATAAAATGAATTTTTCTGACACATTATAAAAGGCAAAAATTGATATTTCTGAGTTACTAGTTAAAAAATCAGACTTTCTGAGTACTAAGACAAATTTATTTTTGCGAGTTCTAAATCAAAAAATAAAAAATCTTTACGACTTAAATCGAAATAATAGATATAAAATGAATTTTTCTGACACATAATTAAGAAAATGCGATTATTCCGAATTATAAGTCACAAAAATTGATATTTCTGAATTACAAGTCCGAAAATAGGTATTTTCTGAGTTCTAAATCAAAAAATCAAAAATGTTTAAGACAAATCTGAATAAAAATGGATTTTTCCGATTTATAACTAAGAAAATTTGATATTTCTGAATTATAAGTCGTAAAAATTTATATTTCTGAGTTACAATTTAGAAAATATACCTATTTGAATACTAAATCGAAATGAGTACAAATCCAAAAAATCGATTTTTCGAGGTTTGTCGGAAAAATTCGTCTTTCTGAGTACTAAGTCAAAAAAATAAAAAAAATATTTCCGACAACTCAGAAAAATAGAAATAAAATTGTCTTTCTAAGTTTAAAGTCGAAAAAATTAAAAAATAATTTTCGATTTAAACTGGAAAAATAGATTTTTCAGACACATAACTAAGGAAATTCAATTATTCTGAATTAAAAGTCGTAATAATTGATATATCTAAGTTATAAATTTTAAAAAAATCGGTCTTTCCGAGTACTATGTAAAATAAAGGTACAAGTCATAAAAATCTATTTTTCTGAGTTTGATGGGGAAAAAATATTTTTGTTACAAGTCAAAAACAAAATAGATAAAATAACCCAAAGGACAGTTTTCGTTATTTATCAATTTATCAGACGTAAAGAACGTTTATACAAAATTTACCTTTCATCATCGTTAATAAATCCTTCCACTCTATTCAACAGGGCGTGCTTTTTTTGCAGCATTTGATGAAATTCGACTATAATTTTCACTAACACTTGAGTCTCTGAGAAATCGTTTTCCATGAACGGTTCTTCTGCGCACAAAACCCTGATTGCTAGACCCGGGCCAGGAAAAGGATGCCTCATCACTATCTCCGGAGGTAGATCCAAATTTCGACCTATCGCTCTCACTTCGTCTTTGTGGAAATCTCTTAGAGGTTCTACAACTCGTCCTAAAAACGCTTTTAATTTAATTTCATGTTAGTTGAAGAAAATGAATAGTTAATAATAATTTTGGATTCTATGTAGAGGAGTAAAACAAAGTTAGGTTAATGTCAACTTATCATGTTATTTTAATTATTTGGAACACTACTGTATTCATTTAATGTAATTGTTGTAACTTTCTTATAAGCCAAGAGCTTTATAGTCTCTTGATGATTAGTTGATTTGGCGAACAGGACAGTTTAAAATTCGAAGCCTTTCTAGAGAAATACAATGTCCACGAAAACTTTCAGGTACATTTAAAAAAAACTAATTTGACTTTTTTATTTTTAAAGTGACTTGTGGATATTGTACAAGGCAGGCCCAATAAGAATGGTTATAAACAGTTCCATGAATTAAAATATTTAGAATTTACCTTCATTTCTGAGTTTCCTAATGAGTTCAGAATCATTGTGATGCGTTTTAATCGTATCTGCTTTGCTGGATACTAACTTAGAGGCAGATTCAATGAGATCTGGTCGCAAAGTACCTTGAGCTAAGTACACTTCTTCAGCTTTGAGATTGAGATCGGCTACAATTTCGTCGGCGATTTTAACAAAAATATCACCTATTATCTTTCGTTTTTCTTCAGGATTAGACGTGTTGCACAGCATTTTCGTTACCATTGTTCTGTTAGTTTGTTGTTTATCCACTGGAACTATTGTGGTGCCTTCCATAAACGTTGATGCCGCTCTTATAACCTTTACGTCGAGACCGATTTTAAGTAGGGAATTGTATACTTTAGTGCTCTCATTTTTTCGCATAAATCCGTTATCTATATGTATCGCTATAATTTGGTCGTGTGTGAGAGCTTTGTGAAGGAGAGCTGCACATACAGTACTATCGACACCGCCGCTGAGCAACAGAAGTACTTTGTTGTTTCCTAAAGCACAAAGAATAATAGTTTTATCGCTATACAAACTTTAGTTTTAATCGCAATACATATGAAGGCAAGGTGAAAAATTCTAACACAGAGATGGCGGTGATATGAATAAAAATCTTGTTGTTATATTAATAGTAATAACTGTTTAAAAGCATTTTTTAACAAATGCTTTACAATCTTTACGATCCACCCCAGTATAAGTAATGTAAAATAACTCTACGCAGTTAACATAAGAATAACAATATATTTCATTATTCAATCTTTAGTTTAACATTACTTAATTTAATAATCTTACACAAATAAAATTGTAGATAGAAAAATAATTGCAGCAAACACAGTCATGTGGAAAACTTTTCACCTCGTCCTTGTATAGTGTAATAACGTCAAATTTTATATTCTCACCTACGGTATCTTTTATATATTTTATACATTCATTCTCACGTCCATCCATTGTGTAGTTGCCCGTCAGGCCTGCTATATCAAACAGAAAGTTCTTTAACATATGTTTTCCGTTATCTGTAAGATCTACCTCTGGGTGAAATTGAACGCCATACAAGTGAAGTTTTTCATTGCAAATGCCGGCACAAAAAGATGAACTTTGCGCGATCGGTTTAAAATTATCTGCTACTTTGTCTATAGAATCTCCGTGTGTTAGAAGAACTGGCTGCATTTTATCCAAACCCCTAAGAGAAAAAAGAATGTGTTATAGCGAAAAGAACCTACGCATGGGATTTGTTACTTACTTAAATAATAAACATTTTGTATTAACTTCAATTGAAAAAATACCATCCTCTCTGGTTTCTTTTCTGATCACAGTGCCGCCAAATTCTTTGTTCATCATTTGCATTCCATAACAAATTCCTATGCAAGAAAATTAGCGTTAACCAAGGTCCATGGGGAAGTTGGATGCTATAACTTTACTTTTTTATACTATTTTTTTTGCATTCTCATCAATAACTTATTTTTGGCAACTTTAGACAGACTTTATCCAGTAGTCTAATTTAATTATGGATTATACAGGAATAAATCAATGTCATTTTTTTAATATAGAGTTGTTATATATAATATACTGTTTATTGTTGCCTTGTGAGATGAAATATAATGAATGGTTTGTACCAAATTGTTTAAATTCAAGGGATATATTTCTTAAAAAAATATATATTTTTGCTTAGAGACTTGAATGGGGGAAATTTCTGGTTGTAAAAACATCAAAAATAACTGTTGTGCAAATCATAATCACATAATACTTATAACTGGTAACTAATAAAGAAGTACAATGTTCAAGAGAGTGATCCAAATTTTTCTGAAATAACTTTTCTCTTAAATGAAAGAAAAAGGATGGAAGCAATTTTCTGGGGGGTGATACTTGAAGGGAAGGGATTAAATCCCTAAGAAACATTGTTACCATATATCAAAGTGGACATAAAATATTTTAAATACCTGACTTTCTTTTGTCATATATTTTCGATATTTTTCATTATTTATATATGGGGTTACTAAGGTCAATAGATTAAACAACATAAACATTAGAGAGAAACCATTATTTTCAATTAGCTTCAATCATACGAACTGCAGACTCAACAGTCCTTTAACCAGATTTCAAAGGCAAGGAAATTAAATTAACAGACACACTGATCTTTTGTGAGTTAGTCGGTTTAGGTTTAAAAATCAGCTGAGGGAGTACTTATTGAGTTAACTTTAACTCTAAGTTTTTTGTGATATTTAACATATTTAAGTTTTTTTTCTCTTTTTTGTGTGATACTTTAGGTTAGGTTTAAAATATCTACTGATAATAATTATGTTGTAAAAGGAGATATTTCGTAAATAAATAAAATATGTGGATTAGTGGATTATTCTATATGTTAAGATTTAAACACATTAAATTCTCCAAACTTTTTTAAATTAGATGAAAATATATATATTTTTGAAAAAGTTTTTCACGAATGGTCCACATCATTAAAAGCATATTTTATTTTGACAAATAATATCTAAAATTATTTTTATTTATAATACAAATGTTACAAAATTATACTCTCGATTTTAAAATACTAATTTTATTAAATGACCGATTGTGAAACATGAGATAAATAGATTTATAATTAATTATGTAAGAGTCAAGACTTGCCTCACAATTTATAATGCAATCTCAATCGAATTAGACAAATATTTATTATATGAACATATAACAAATAACTTTTCTGATAATCCTTTATTTACTTCAATAAAAATTTGAAAACAAAAGCAGAAGGAAAAATTTCAAACACTGATTAATTTCATGTTTTTTAGATGTGTTTCTAATGTTTTTGTTTTACATTACTTTAATTTAATCTTATATATTTTATTAGGACATACTTCATTTATATTTCTTGACCCTGGTTTGTCCTCCCAGGCCAAGTATATTTTATGTTAATATGCCTCCTAGGCCTAAGCAATCACTGTTGACTGATATGAAACTATCAATAAGCAGGCCATAGCGGTTACATATGACTGCCATAGAACTTTTACTCTGACTGCTATGGTGCTTCTGTATCTGTAACATGCGGAGTGTGGGCCAGAGTTAGCCAATTCTCGCCGGACACAAATCTTCTAATAAATGAGAGCATCAGGCAATTATAGAGGATATTACTGTATGGTTTAATCTTCTTGTTTGTACCCCCTGCAGAGTCCAGATTCTGACAGCCCCATGATATGGAGATGCTTCCATACTTGGTAATGACCAGTCAGAATGCCTGTGATCAGGTGCAGATTCTGTCTAGTCATAGTCAAGTATTTGTTTGATGTAGTGTTGTCAGGATAACTTAAAAACTCCCTGGCAAGTTTGCAGCTTCTTGTGTCATCCCATCTTTCCTTGAATTTCATAAGGTTTGTCACCACCAATGTTGCCAGTCCAATAGAAGGGTCAAGTCCAAAAAGTATTTGGTTGGCTTCCTTCTTGGATATTGAAAATAAAGTAAATTCCTGTATGTTGGGTACCAAGAAATATACCTGGGTTTTTCTTATTATTTCTCTTGGCCCCATATATAGTCACTAGTGACTCATAATGTATGTGAATTATATTTTTTTTTACCACAGCTAGGTACTATTTTTTGAAATATGCCATTTAATTTAACACATTGGCTCCCAAGCTCAATTTCAGGATTCTGTTGTGGTACCATATGAGCCACTGGTGATACATTTGGTTGTGATCCCTTCTGTACCATGTATATCACTGGTGATATTGAGCATTACTTATTGCAATCAGTTTTAAAAATGTAAGGTTTCAATTTAAAGAAATTTAAAGTAACAAACTTAGTAAAGTGGGCATCACCATATCTACATAAGTAGATATGTAAAAATCATAGTTTAGTTTGTTATTATACACTTATTACAAAAAATATACAATGTGCAAATGCTTAGGAGGTTAAAAATTAAGTCAAAACTAGGTACTTGATAAACAACAAAACTTCAGACTTCCTTGTATGGTTCATGAAGAGTAAAATTATGTATCACATGTGATACATATGGGAGCAAGGTGTTAAATATAAAATTCTTCAATGTATTCTATTAAATTATCAATATATGCTTTTTTAGTATTTTTGTTTAATAAAATAGACATAGTCTAAGATTTATGAAGTTATATAAGCATTTCGGCTGCTCTATGATAAAAGAATCTGCTTCAGATAAAATTTTACAGGAGAGTTAAAAATAGTTCAAAGCGTTGCATGGAGGATATTTTTATAATTTTTGCTGTTGATGTAATTGATGACTAATACAACTTTTTATGTGGATTTTAAAACTGCTCTCATATTGTAGAAATTTCTTATGGAAATTTGTTTTAAGGCACTTACTCTTTTAGATCATTTTTCTAAGGAAAAACAAAATATAGTGCTATAAGTTGTTTTTCATTAGAATTTACATGATTAACTGTCCCATGTGTGCTAGGAAGAAAGGGAGTAGTAAATCCCAAAATATCGGCAAAACTGTTGGTTAGGTACTTTGTTTTACCGTAGAGCAGCCGTTTTTTTATTCCTAAATAATAATTGTTCTTACCTAGTACAGGTAAACCTATCCTAAAAATATCAGCATCATAACGTGGGGCATCTTCAGCATAAACAGAATTGGGTCCTCCAGAGATAATAATTGCTTTATAACCAGCTTCTTTTATATTAAAAGCGGGAGTATCTAGTGGTATAATCTGGGATTCCACACATAATTCTCTAACTTTTCTATCAATAACTTTCCCATATTGTGCACCAGCATCTAAAATGCACACCTTTTCTGTATTATTTGCTCCATTAACATTGCCATAATGACCTTCTGCGTTTATATTGTGCATTGCTAGAAATTACGACCTGAAAGTGAAAAGATATATTTATAATAGAACGATGCATAACAATTATTTTCGATAGGATTAAATAATTTCCTACAAGTAAACTGTGAACAAATAATGTAAAAATAATTACATTATCTATTTATTGCACATTTAAATCATAGATTAAACCTTTTGGCACGTGTTAAATAACAAAAAAAAAATGACGTCGGTATGTTGACATAAATCCTGCTTCTTAATGAGAACTTTTTATTCAAATATTCATACCATTATCGTGACTAAAAAAATGTATCCATTTAACCTTACTTACCTCTACTAGTCTAAAATTCGATTTAAGTTAAAATGTTCATTAATTATTTATAGAGTTGTCAAACTAAAAACAAGAAACGTCAATGTCAAAAAGTGTCACTAATCCAAACGTCAACTTTCTTAAGGTGGAAGTGAGGTGGAAGCAAATACGACTGCCATTTGTTAAATATTTCTTTTTAATTAAAGTTTGCATCACGTTCAGAATACTGATTACAGTGTTCACTATAAAGGCATACGGAGCAAGAGAGATGTCCGACTAGTTTAATCTTAGATTTAAAAGAGGATTAGAGGCGATCAATCCTCAGACACTCAGATAGTAACTAGTGCGTATGTGACCAAAAATACACCAAATTGAAAACTTTGTTGCATACGTAGATATCGATGCATCGAATGCTGAGATGTAGTAAATCTTTGATCACGTGATTTAGTATACGTAAATGTAATAGCCGAGAATAACAAAACGCCGAGAAGCGACAGCTTTGTCGGAACGTTTGATGTTTGTGGGATCGATTTGCGGTGACCTTGAAGACACCGTAAGTACACTGCACGCAAGCTGAATTGGCTCGCAGTCACGCGATCGCGCGGAAATTTGTAATTTACACTGCTCAACTCTAAATATGTTTTTAGTAAGGGAGTAAATTTTTATTTTGCATTTAAAATGATATGCCTTTGACTGCAAAAAGACTCATTCCGCTGCCACTTTTGGAATCACATTCATGAACTACACAATAAGATCCAACCATTTTGTTACGAAATTATCCAGAAAACACAATAAAAATCACACAGTAATAACTGAAAGAGATAATTCAAAATAGTCGAAACTACAGTTGTTGCGCTCGGATTAAAATCATAGGACACCTTCGTATACGGTGTCGCGCTGATCTAGCTGGCCACATGCGAATAGACACCATATTTTCGATCATGCGCCTTCGAAAACCGACTCGGCGGGAAAGGGTCTTTGTCGCTTCTCGGCGTTTGGTTATTCTCGGGTAATATAGGACATGTGTCCGATGTGAATTAGGAAAACGCTCGAGATGTAAAAATGCATCGGATGTGGATTTTCAAACGCGGCATACATCTACATCTGCGTTTGTTTATCCAGAATACATTTTTTACATCTCGATTTGAAATGAGATGTTCGTTCCATGCTAGAAAGTAGGTGTTCTGTGGAGCCAAGATTATTGATTTATCCTTTATTTAAGCTACGTGAATATAAAAGTGATTAGTGTGTTTAATTTTTGTTTAGAAATATAAATTTAGGTTGTTTTCCAGTCTCAAAAGTCATTTTTATCACATGACTAATAAAGTCTAGAGCGTTTGATTATTACATCTACATTCAGATCTAATTCACTATTACGTGATAAAAAATTCACAACATCTCAGATGCATCCGATGTGGATATTCAAACGCGGCAAATATACACCGATGACCAGGGCTGGTATATCTAAGGGGGTCGCGACATAGGAGTCCATTTTGGACGCCATTTTTTTTCGAAATAGTAGTCGCCATTGATCTGGCAACGTGGCAACTTGTAGTCGCCAGGTTTACCAATATAAGAAAAAAAATCTATGTAATTTTTTAAATGACATTTCCATTATAAAATGCCCATATTTTTTAGGATAAAATATTTAATTTAATAAATTATTAATCTCAGACGTACATAGAATACGTCGGGAAAAGTAGATCACATTCAATTTTGTGCTGTTTTGGTTTTGTTTATTTTAAAAGGTAATTGAAGAGATGAAGACAATTTTCTTATAGATGATGCATAACAAATTATTGCTCCCTTTTTTAGAGCTCCAGTCCCTTAAGTCTATTTATTTTAGGTCTTTTTAAATTGTTGGTAGGTATTATTCACTTCATTTGTATGTTTTTAGTTAATTTAAATAATTTTGTGTAATATCTTGCGATTTGTTTTCTATACATTTTAGCATGTATTTGTTGTCTACATCTCACAAAGGATGGCTTTGAAATACCTTTACAACAGAGGTACTTTCCTAAAACTGGCCTAAATTTGAAATTGAATACAGTTCTTAGAGAAAATCTCCAGTAAAAAATGTCTACATGCAGAATAACAGTAGCATAGATTAACAAAGCTGACAAAAGAGTTGGACAAACCTTTGTCTAGCTTTTTTAATATTTCAGGACAATAGTGTTAACAGCAGACTACAACAAAAACATCCAAAGTTTAGTAATCAAGCAAAATATTCCGGTATCTCCAGAATTATAAACGTATGAAAACTATAATAGAAAACATGTATGGTTTCAAATAGAAAATTAGCATATCTAGTGAACATTGTATTTGAAGAATATATTTTTATTCAAAACTTTTGTGCTTCTACTCCAATACTAACCGTATAGAAGCATATGCATTTTATAGTATTTGCAAGATTCGGATCAAATGTACCCACAATTTATAAAGATTATTAAACTAAAATAAAACATTTCAAATAACACCTGCTTTTATGTTAAATATGTTTTTATTAAATACACAAATTAGTATCAACCACACATTTTTTTTGTTTTTACTTCTAGTGTAAAAGTGACTACTAATTCAGTCTTTCAAGTTTATTATTTATAGAGACCAGCTACTACAAAATATCTTATTAATGATAACTAATTTCTCTTTAATAATGGTTTTGTCTAACACCTTTTTTACAATTTATCCCAAGCAACACTATGAAAGATTTAAATCCTGGATTTACAGCATTCAGTTTCGAGATGCGTGCAGTCACAATGTAGTTTAAGATATAATTTTCACATGAACACTTATTTAACACAGCACAAACGCATGTACCTATTCATGTAACATTAAAATAAAGTGGAAACAAATTGCATAATTTGGTATATAAAAAAGTACAAAATGTTTTTAGTTTTAATTCGACATTGGACTACGACTACGAGGAAAACAGTGGTTCATTCCACTTGCACCATATTGACATTATTATGCACGATGCTCGTTCAAACGAACATCAGAAAAGTGTTGCCAACTTAAGCTGACTACTATTTCCCCCCTAGCCTCAGTCACCCCCTCATCCATTTACTGGGTCTATGTCGCGACCCCCTGACCGATGACTACTTCGTGATTCTACGTCACATTTCCCACGGGCGTACTACGATAAGTTATATTATTTTTTATTAACAACGCGCTATTTTAATATTAATATTGGAACATTTGTTTCAGCTGCGTATTGATCAAAAATCATTTTAAAGTGATTTTCTTAAATTAAAAGGTGTCGTAGTTGAATGTAATAAGCGTTAAATTTAATTTTGATGTTCCTTTTTAGTGCATTTCGATACGCACGTGTGGGCGCCACAGTGTCAAATATCATCTCGCTATGCGGCTTGGTTTTGTTCTTCCATGACAGAAGTTGGTGCGGCAACACTGCATACGTATGAAGCAAAAAATTTAAACATAACCTAAACTTTCAAATAAGCTCGGATCTAAAAGAGCTTGAAGAGTATATTTTTAAAAATAGTTTTAAAACCAATATCAATATTTATTTTAAATGAAATTCTTCTGTAGGTGGAGCCTTTTTAAAATGTTGAAATTGTTTATTACTCTTTTAAACCATTCAAAAATATCACTTCCTTAAACTATTCGTCTTCATTTATATATGGGTCATTACATAATTTTAATAGTCAATTATAGATGAGATGGACGAATTAATGTTTAGAAGTTCTCAAAGAATTGAACATTTTCAGGTACATATTTAAATAGGTATTTTATTTAAACGTGTAAATATCTGAGAGAGATCTTGTGAAAACGTCAATTGAGACACCAAAGTAAAGAATTAATTATTTTATAATATACAAAAATAGATTTTGAACAACATTTTACAACTTTTAGGTACAATAAATGGGTAATTTCGTAGTTCCGTGTCTTAAAAATGCGTATTTGTTGAATATTGTTTGGTTGGTCAATTCCATATTATTAATATATATTATGTATTTGGTGTATTATCCAGTCACAGAATTATTTATATTGTATAATGTCCATTTTGGGGTTCAGCTCTACCACATGATGTCCATTTTACAAGTCTGTAAAAAGGATTGAAAACGTCCAAAATAAATATCTACAAAATATTGTGCCTTTAAACTTGGCCTAGCGGCAGATACAAATTATTCCACAATTCTAGACTTGATAAACCTCCCAACCCTTGTAAATTGAAGAATCTTGATGGATCTATCATTCCACTATATCATAGCCGGATTCTTACATCTGATGAGTTTTTATCCACAATTGAATGTAGATTTTCCACAAGAAATGATTGTCTATTTGCAATTCTTATCATGCACCTCTACCTAGACTTATTTGACTGGCTAATCAATGATTTAGAAATCAATAAGTGTTCAATTAACCAATTTCAAAATGATAATATATATATTTAATATTAGATTTATTGTACCTTTCATAATGTAATGTATGTATACTAATGGATCTTTCCGTAATATGTATTTATTTATTCTAACTTTTAGGTTCAAAGCCGTTTACTTGCTGTTAATGTGAAAGAGGGATTAATTATCTATATTAACGAAGGAAAACTCTTAATTCATAAAATATGGAGTAGCCCACATCTAGATAATTTTAGAATTAACTTGAAAGAAAGTACATTAAGAACTATCTCATTTAGTAGAGAATTAAAGGTCAAAATAATAAATATTGTAAATCCTAAACAAATATATATCGCATTGCTGAATGTATTTGGTAAAAAATGTAAGTAAAAAATACTAAAGTATCAGACATAATGATTAAAATTTCACAGTATCCAAGTGTGATGTGCAAAAATATAATTTTAAAAAATACCTCTATAGGTGTTAGGGTTAAATCAGCCAGCGAAATTGGCCTAGGGCATGTACAAATCTAGATTTGTGCATTGATTTTTTTTTTAGCAAGTTCTACAATCTTATATGTAAGTGTCTTAATTTCTCATACATTATGTTTTGAACTGACAACAGTGCTTAATGAATAAGATCCTCAAATTGCTTTCAATACCTGGCACTTTAGATTTGGGGTTGGTTGATAATCAAGCCTATAATAATGACCAAGAAATTGACCCATTTTTAAAAATTTTATTTGGGGTTTGGGAAGTTCAAATGATTTCATGAAATCTATGATCTTCCAGAGGTCTTGCTGATAATTTAGTATTTTTTTGATTGATTCTAAAACAAAAAAATATGAATTTGGCTCAAGAGTAAAGATTTTTGTTAGAATCCAACCATAGTTTTTTGGATGGCAGTTGTGATAAAATCATTCATTTATCCCACTTGGGTGCCCCAGTTTTACAACATTTATTTCAATCAATAATATTATTATTCTAGGGACTACACGAGATATTTGCTTTGCTTGTGGTGGTTTAATAATAGGTGGTATAATTGGATTTTCAATAGGTCTAGCTGTTAAAAGAAGAGAACCTATTTTACGATACATGCAGGCCATTCACTGTACTAACTATATGGGACCAGAGGTACTTACACAGAGTGACTTATTTAAGATGGAAGCACCCCTGTAAAACCTTTTTTTAGAATCATAAAGGGTCAAAATAATTTGGCTTTTTATTTTTTTTATTTATTTATTTTTTGGCTTAAATAAAAACAAATTCTTATAACTTTTTTTTATGATAGCATTTTTTATCAACTTATGCAATTATAATTATTTATTTATTTTATTTATGCGGTATTTTTTTTCTTTGATATTAATTCAAGTTACACTTTTTGAGCGTGGTGACCGATAAGAAAACATTTTTTTTTCTTTTATTGAATAATAAGTTAATATTGTTTAAAATATTTTTATTATCTTACAATACATGTAAGTTATTCAGGAATTTTTATCATTGAAACTATAGGTTTATGGTAACTGAAATAAGAAACATAAGTTTGAGACTTGATATCCTCTAAATATCTGGAAAATACCGCGTCAATGGTGGTCCCATATTTTGTTGTGGATTCTTGTGGATCATTATTCATTTTCAAATTCAATTTTTCTGAAATTGTGTCTAAAAGAAATAGAATCAGTTATGAGCAGTTAGCAGCTAGTCTACACACATACGTCTAGTCGCACGCACACAAACACCGTGCCGAAGTCTGCCGAACTGAAACGCGGTTAGACGATGCACGGCTTTCAACACCGCACCGCTGTGCCGGTCGGAGTGTGAGGGGGGGGGGGTGTTTGGTTTATTTTCGTTACGGAATTTCTTTTTCGATTTTACGATTTTTTCGATTTTTCGAGGGTGTTAGGTTTATTTTCGTTACGGAATTTCTTGATTCGGTCGCCGCGCTCAAAACCCGCGATAAAATCTATGCAATAGCTTAATAATAAAATAGTTAACACTGATAAAATAAAAATTAATATTTTATAAATCTTGCAAAAAAAATAATATTTACGCCAGCCGGGAACATTTGTGATACCAATTTATTAGAAGCCAGAGAAAGCTCTTCTAGTTCTTGTATTACATAAACGTTCCAGTCCGCATACGTATATTTAACTCAGCTTCATACTAATACGAATAGGGTCGGATAAAACCTTCCACGGCTTTTAACGCCGCACCGATGTGCCGGTCGGAGTGGGGGGTGTTATGTTTATTTTCGTTGCGGAATTTCTTGATTCGGTCGCCGCGATAAAAGCTATGCAATAGCTTAAAAACATCTATAATATAATTTTGCTATTTTCAACTTTTTGACCTATGATCCTAAAAAAATTATTCCAATCATCTGTCAAATGAGTTCTACAGTGCTTCCATTTTAACTGGGTCACACTGTATATTTGTTCAAACATCGATTCAATCAATAAATATTCTTAATTTTAGTCTATCACTGTTGTAGAAGATGCATTTGCTCCATACAAATGCACGGATTACAACGTTTTGGTCAATGTAAAGGCAGCATCAGTCCAGTTGGTCGATATTCAAATATGCCATGGTTATGGAAGAAATTTGAGACGAATTTTACAGAGGATGTATTCAGTAAGCCTTAATTACACGTTTAATAATAGTAAATACTTATTGGTACGGGGGGATTAATTAGAAGTAGATAATTTTAAAATTCAAGTTTAATAATGAAAATATTTTTTAAAATTAATTTCATGTTCATATTTATAAACCGCACTTATCTAGTGCGTCCTTGAACAAAAATCGCTTAGATAAAAGTTGCAAGATGTTTTCCGATTATTCTGTACAATCTGTTGTATAACCCTTATATGTGTTTAGAGGATGAACATTTACATTTTACACACACATCTTATTCCGGACATTTTTTTATAAATATTCATTGCCAATGAAAATACTGAAAAATGTTTACACTTTTCTTCAAATTTTTCCATTGTGATCCATTTTAGAGAAATCAGGTATAGCATTTAGTTTGTTTTTCTCTTTGCTAGTTTTTGAGTTATTGCGGATACAGACATCATCGCGAAAATAGTCAAAACGGATTCAACGTAAAAAATTAGTCGAAAAAATTTATGATTTCTATACTTTACAAAGTAAAAATGTAACGTGAACAAGATATACTGTATAACAATGTTCCAAAATATCTAGATATATTATACAGTGAGCATCATAAGTCTTACCCCCCTAACTAATTCGTTACTGGGTGCCTATTCTTGAAATCGGGGAGTGAGAAATATTGAGAGAAAATTCTCACTTTCTACTCCCTTGTAAAAATTCGTATTCTTGACATCGAATTCACCAATATTGGTGGAGAATTTTCTCTCAAAATTTTCTCCTACTTTTAGGTAGAGAGAATGAAAATAATGAGAGAATTCAATTCACAAGCATTCGCAGTGCGTGTCAGAATTTAAATAAATAAAATATTACTATAACATAACCTCATTTATAGTAGTTTTCAGGTATATTTATACCTTTGTGGTATTTACTTTTCCTTTAAAATGGATTTAGACGCGAAAATAATAAGAATAATTTTTATTCAATACAGATAAATTTTAGACAAAATGAAAAAAATGGTGCAACAACTTGTTTAATTATAAAGAGTAGTAGTGTAAAATTATCCCCTTACACTATAGGTATAATACTCCCCTTTTCCAACAGTAATAACTCTTTCACATCTTTTAAATTTGTTTGGACTTGACTCATGTTTTTAAAATCATGAATTATTTAGGAAAGTTATACCTTCTACAATCGTAGAGTTTTAAACTCATTTAGAAGGATATTCAAACTGCAATTATTGCCAAGAGATTTGAATTTCTAGTTTGATAATTATTTAAAACGACAGTTAATATTATTTTTAATGAACAATAGCAATTTAAAATGTTTATACGTGAAAAAGTCAAAATTCCGTTGTCGATAAAAACAAATCATAAAAAGCCAGCAGTGTCATTTGCTGTCAAAAGTTCGTAGTTTCTAATTGGTCGGATGATCTAAAACAATCTGGCAACTCTGTATTTATTTTCAATAAAGTGAATATATTTCCCGGGGAGTTTTAATTTCTCTCGTTTTCAAGCATACGCACCCTGGAGTCTTGTTAGGAAAATCGCCGAGACAGTTCGATTTTTGATTTCTACAATGTACATTTTTGTAATATTAGTTTACCCTTAATTTCATCCCTTACTGGAGGGGAGTAACCCTTTCGAAAAATTTAAATGGCATGGGGTGGTGAGTGATAGCTCATTTGAAAGGGGGTTTTATTCTCTATTCAACCGTGCAAAAAATTTTGAAATTTGCTTTATTACGTGTTGATTTATTAATGTTTAAAAATAACAAAACCTCACAAAATAGGAAAGCAACTAAACTAACAGTAACCTTCTAATGGCAAAAAGTCTTACTTCACGTCTGAACCAAAACCGAAATAATGCAGGGCCGAATTTTAATTCTAATGATGAGTGCGCTACGTTAATTTCCGTTATTCTGAAACAACAATTAGTCAAGAATTAATGAAGCAAATTTCAAAAATTTTTACGCGGTTGAATAGAGAATAAAACCCTCTTTCAAATGAGCTATCGCTCACCACCCCATGCCATTTAAATTTTTCGAAAGGGTTGCTCCCCTCCAGTAAGGGATGAAATTAAGGGTAAACTATTCATACAAAAATGGATATTGTAGAAATCAAAAATCGACGTGTCTCGGCGATTTTCCTAACAAGACTCTAGTAACGAGTTAGATAGGGGGGTAAGACTTATAGTGCTCACTGTATATTACCATTAGATATTAAAAATAGCATCTCGAAAGTTTTATAATTGCTATAAATTTGATTGTTTTTTGTTTTTTTTTTTGTTTTGTTTTATTATTTGTGTTACTTCAGTACGTGTTTTCCTAAATGGTTTATTGAGGGCATCGTAATGGGTTGTTTTTTTTTTAATTCGAAATATGTATATTGGCCTTTAACTCCAAACAACAAATTCATAGACATTTAATAGTATATTAAAGTGGGTATAACGGTCTTTAAAACACGCGCGATTTCTCGAGCACGACGGCGCAGCCGGAGTGCTCGAAATAGAGCAAGTGTTTTAAAGACCAGTTATCCACGAATAATTTACGCTATTTTGCTATTTTTTTTATTGGTATACTTTGAAATCCTATTGGTATTATTTCTACAAAAAAATGGAAATAAGAACTAATAACTGACAAGTATTAGAAATTAAAAATTAAAAAAAAACCGACTTCAAAAACGTGCCAAATTTATATGGGACCACCCCTGAGGTACCCCCTAACTAACAAAAAGAATCATACAAATCGGACAAGGTGGTAAAGCATTATCGCTAAACATACATAAAAAATGAAGAGTTTGAGGATTTTCTCATGGACCCAATTAGATTTTGACCAAATATATACGGGACCACCCCTGAAGTACCCCCTTTCTAACAAAAAAAGAATCATAGAAATCGGATACCGTGTTAAAGAATTATCGCTGAACATACATAAAAAAAAATATCGCGACGAATTGATAACCTCCTCCTTTTTTGAAGTCGTTTAAAAATGGTTGAATTTGTCGTTGTCATGAAAATGAGACAAACAAAAATTTATTTTCAATCTGTCACGTAAGATTAATTGTCGCAACAGTTGTTATTGTTTAAAATGAGTTCAAATATTGAGTATTTAAATAATAAAGCAGAATCGCGCTTAATACCACAAAAATCCGAAGCGGTTTATAAAAAAGAATACGATAAATTCAACACGTGGATGGAAGAGCAAATGGTTACACATATAGATGAACTAGTTGTTCTCGCTTATCTCCAGAAAATGTCGGAACAGTATAAAGTATCGACTATGTGGACTATCCATTCAAAATTACAAAGTATGTTGAGGATAAACAAAGGGGTCGATATAAAATCGTTCGTCAAAGTGCATGCATTCATGAAGGCAATTAGCAAAAATGAGGTAGTCAAGAAGGCATATGTATTCGAGGAAGACGATTTGCGGAAGTTTTTTACAGATGCACCGGACATTACGTATTTATTTTTGAAGGTGGTTACTATTTGTGGCATCTTTGGCTCTTGTAGAAGATGTGAATTGTGCGATTTACGCTTAGCTGATAAATAAATTTGTTGAAAAATTTCTCACAAATATTTTATTTGACATTACAAGGCACTCCTGTCAGATAAATATTTAAAAAGTTGGCATTTAGACATCACGTTTCTCGGGTTGTTGATGTTGCCTTGGTAACTTTAAAACGCGCGTTTTTTAAAGTTCGTTTTAAACACGCTGAGGCGTACTTTAAATAAGTAAAATAGGGTACCAATAAAAAAAATATATTACTTTTGAAATTGGCAGCTCTTATTGAACTCACTTGTATAAAATAAACTTCAAACTAAATGACTATGCTAAAAGAGTTGTTTAGAAGCAGCCACAAGATATAATGAAAAAGTCAAGGTGCTTAACCTCAAAATATGCATATTTAGACTAATAATTAAACCTTCTGAAATTTGAGTCAAAACTATTTTGACCCCCGGAATATTCTTCATCTCCATCTGGTGCTACCACAGTATCTAACCACATTAAATGGGCCATTCGCACCGCTAGTAGTTAAGAAATAGGCGAAGTTTAAAATGACATTGTCAATGGAAAAATGTCATTTTAAGCTTGGCTTATTTCTTAACTATTAGCGGTGCGAATGGCATTAAGGCGTTACAAGCGTCTTTTTTCCGTAAATGTACTGCCAATTTCTAAATTCCAGTTGCACGTTGGAAACACTTAGACTGGAACTCTAGAGCAGTTATCGATTTTTTTTCAAGGACTCTTTTCGCCAAGTACGGTTTATATTTATAAATACTAAGGTTATCTTACCAAAAATTTCTTCGTATTCTTCTTAATACTGTTTTGTGCTTTGTCAGGCATCCATAACGTTGCTGCTGCTGAAAAAGCTGCTACATGGTTTAACACATTTTTTTTAAATATTACTAAATAAATAAAAGGCTTCGCCTCCAGGGTTAAATTGGTTTTTTAGCAATCGAACGCTGACATGCCCATTATATTAGGTAGAGACTGCACCGGTATTATTACTGACATTGGTTCGAAAGTAACAAGATTAGAGGTTGGGGATGAAGTTTGGCTAACGGTACCGTTTTGGGCCCAAGGAACTCTCTGTCAATCAGTATTAATTCAAGAAAATCGCGTCGCTAGGAAACCAAAAAATGTGGGATTTGAAGGAGCCACTAGTCTTCCGTACTCGGGCAGTTTAGCTTTATCGACGTTGATAGAGGCTCGGTTAGATTCTATGAATGCAGAAGGAAAAAAGTAAGTGTGTACAGTTTTCTCAGAATTATGAATGATATTAATTATATTTTTAATGATAATGATATTATTAATGATACTGTTAATGATATCAATAATATTATTATTTATATTATTTATATTTTGTACTCCAGTAGGATATTATTAATATATTTTTAAAAGAAAATGTCATGATATTATTAACATTAATAATGATATTATGAATTATATCATTAATAATAATATTGATATTATACATACGGAGTGGCCCAAAAGTCTGGAAACGGCCAATTATCTCGTAAATTGCTAATCATAATTGTACAAAATTTGGGGTACACCTATTTTGGGATACGGAGATTTCAGATTTGATATTTGCAATGTTGCCAGATTTGCCGTTTTTCTTATACTATTAGTCACTTTGGTTTTTCAAATTAATCACCCTGTATATTCAGTCATTATTGGAATCTCCTATTCAATACGAGTTCAACCATATGTAACACTTATGATTTTATATAGTCTGGAAGGTCTTAAATAAATAAAACAATCATGGAGAAATGTGGTAGATGCATTCTACCATCTCACAAATGGAGCACATTTTGAACACTTGATAAAGTAACCATTATGTTAAAAATGTTATAATCTTTCAATTGTTACGTTTTAATGTAGTTGAAAATAGTTTGTATTAAAAAAATTATTGAGACAATTAGGCGTTGCCAGACTTATTTTATTTATTTAAGACCTTCCAGACTACATAAAATCATGTGTTACATATGGTTGAACTCGTATTGAATAGGAGATTCCAATAATGACTGAATATACAGGGTGATGAATTTGAAAAACCAAAGTTACTAATAATTTAAGAGAAACGGCAAATCTGGCAACATTGCAAATATCAAATCTGGAATCACCCAAAATAGGTGTACTCCAAATTTTGTACAATTAGGATTAGCAATTTACGAGATAATTGGCCGTTTCCAGACTTTTGGGCCACTCTGTATATTATTGTCCTAAATTTGTCTGTGTGCACTAAAAGTGTTAATTTCTTCTAGAATTCTGGTACATGTACATCCAGTAGGATATTAATAATAATATTATTATAATATTATAATTGATATAAATCAATGATATTTTTAATTATATCATTATTAATGAAACTGTTACAATATTATTTATATTATTAATGATATTAATATTATACATATTATTAATTATATTATGTTCCTAAATTTGTCAGTGTTCATTGCTTCTAGAATTCCTGTACAGGGAGGTTGCACGATATTATTTATATTTTAATATTACGAATGATACATTATTGTCCTAAATTTGTCGGTGTGCACTAAGTGTTCATTTCTTCTAGAATTCTTGTACATGGAGGTTGCACACCAGTAGGATGTGTACTTGTCCAACTTCTCAGTCAATGGAAAGCTTCAGTAACCGTCACATGTTATAGACGGGCCCTGCCTGTAGTGCACGCCCTTGGGGCTGCAGATGCGATCGTTATACCTGAAGACTTTACTCCTAGCGATAAATTCGATTCTGAAATCAATGTTCAAGAACAAAACGAAGTGATTTTAAAAGAATTGGAAAACAGAGGAGACAGTTTTGACGTTATCATTCAGACGGAAAGATATTTCGAATTGACGAATAAGGAATTGAGTCAATTCCTTAAGATCGATGGTACTATATTTTCTACGTTACCGCCTGAAATTGAATCCGACTCGAACGGGACGTTTAGTAATTTTTTGTTGTGGCTCTATGTGAATTTAAGATATAAATTACAGGTAAAAAAATATCGAAGTTGCAAAATTAATTTTGATTTACATCCTTTTTTTCTTATTTTTAGAGCTTATTAGGATTGCCGATTAATACATATGACGAAACCCACTTGTGCTCTGTTACTTTAGACAAACTATCGCAGTTAGTTGAAGATGGTTATCTGCAAACGGTCGTCGACAAAATTTTTCAACCTCAAGATATAGAAATAGCTATTAACCATGTACAGAGTCCTCTTTCTATTGGTAGCACAATTATTACGTTTCGATAAACCAGATTAGTTACCGGAATAATATCAAAGTCACTGCCTTTATACTTAAAAAAATATATCTGAATCTGTTAATAGCTAAAAAACAAGTTAAGGAGTTGACTGAATAAGTCAAAATATGACGGAAAATTTAAGAATTGTTAGGTTATTAGTAATAGTGGTGATTTGAAAGTTTTTATATGTTGTTTTGACGTCTGTTATGGTATGGTGAGTTTAAATGAGTAGTATTATGAAAAGACCCGTCAAATTCAGTTTTTTTTTACAAATTCTTACAAAAATAGTAATTTTTTTTCAATTAATAGTTAAGTTTCTATAAAAATAAATCTAAGATTGACGGGTTATTGCATAATTGCTTAAATACAGAAAATATATAATTTAGGCCAATAACTAATATAACCTTGATAAAATATACAAGTCTTATTTATATGGTGCTATGATGACAATTTATTGACTGTATTTTTTTATTGAAAATATATGTATTGATTTATTTAATAATTGTGTTAATAATTTAATTTTATACCTTTTGAACTCCATTGCATGTACGGACCTATTAAAAATCAAAGTTGGTAAGTTAATAACTCCAAATTTAAATTCTACCTGGCTTCTGACCTCGGAACTATAGGGCGGTGTTCTCGGAAAAAATGAATCGCTAATTCCTACACATGATAGTTTACCTTATGTGAAGTTGTTATAGCAAATTTATTTTATTTATAAAAAAAAATCGTAATTTATTCAAACATCTTTATTGAAATAAAATTATAAAATAAAACAAATGTGAATTATGTACGAACAACTATAGCTAAAAATTAAGCAATACTACAGAAAAAAATTGCTGTTCGAAATCCACTTTGTAGTAGATAATAGAGAAAGAAATTACAACCATTTTTTGGTGCATCTACTTTAAGTAATACCAGAAATACATCAATAGAAAAACCTAAACTAATCCGTTCAAAAGCAATTTATAAATTTTGAAAATATCAAATTTCGAGAGGATATACAGGGTAGAAATAAATGCTATTGGTACTTCGTTAATCGTTAATTTTAAATTTGGTTTAAAAAAGCCTTTTCCAATTTTACTGGCGTCATTTTTTAATGTTTAAAGAAATCTCAATAGTATATATTAATGTCTCCACCCTATAAAAAATGTCATGGATATAAATTAATAATTAAACTTTTATTTCAACATCTAGCCCAACAAAGGTTATAAAACGGAATGAGTTGAAAAAAATCGATTTTTTAAGTTGGAGCGAAGTCAGGCTTCAAAAATCGATTTAATTCAAGTTTGAGCGAAGTCAGCCTTAAAAAAATCGATTTTTCAAGTTGGAGCAGTCTAACTTTAAAAAAATCGATTTAAGTTGAATCAAAGTCGGACTTGGAAACAAACGATTTTTTAATAAATAAAAAATCGATTTAATTCATTTTGGAGTAAAATCAGACTTTAAAGCGAAGTCAGACTTCAAAACAATCGATTTAAGTTGACGTGATGTTAGACTTCGACAAAATCGATTTAATTGAAATTGGAGCGAAGTCAGGATTGAAAAATCGATTTAATTCAAGTTGGAGCGAAGTCATTATCAATATTTATAATTATTTCTAAGCAAATTTGGAAAAACTGTAGCTTGTCAAAATACTGTACCTTGAAAATTATTTTAATAACGTTACAATGGTACGAGATCCGACATTAGAAAGTTTTTACGCCGGCTGTTATTTTTATTTATTATTTATCCGTATTTACTAGATGATTTTCAAATCTTCTGAAACGTTAAATAATCATAATATGCATTAAAATGATGTTTTTATTTAAAATAATAAATGGGGGTAAAATTTTCTAATTACAGATCTTAAGACCATTAAATGTATTCAAAGCCCTAATGCCTGAATCTAGTTGAAAACCTTTTTGACACAATCCATGGGTGATTCAGAGATCAGACTTAATTTTTTTAGCACTTATTGTCATAAACTACGAAAAATGTGAATGGTTCTTATTCTAAATAGCTACCATTGAACTGAGAAACAATTAAAATTTTTCAAATTTCAACAGTTAGATTAAAATTGATAGACATTTGTTTATTAATTAATAAATAGACATATGGAATGTGGTTAGACATAAAATTTTTACTGTATTACATACGGTTTTTTTTCTTTGTTGAACACATCTGTTGTTATTTTAATCGAGATTCATTCTTATAATTATACTTAAAGCACCTTATCGCAGTATGCAAGTATTTTTTGTTTCTTTTTTTTAATAATTCATCGGCAAAAAGCATCTTTAGCTCTTCGTAAATACACATTAAATACATAGAAGGATTACAATAGAATTCATATATAAATAAATGTAGAAATATAGTGTTTGACACAATATATAAAAAATATATAACAAAAATCTCACCTATACCTGCCAAAGTCAAAATATACAAAAAAAAAGAACAAATAGTAAATATAAAACAAAGTAGAGAATAAGTTAATAATAAAAGAAGTTTATAAAGTGAAAAACTACTTAAAATATAAACAAAGCAGATGCTTTACGTTCAAAAATATCGTGGGATACATTACTAGTGCTAAATCGCTCTGGAATAAAAAATATTTATATAATAATGTAAAATATACATTATTACAGTGTATAAAAATATTACACATTTATTGTGTAGTTTGTTGTTGGATTTCTATTTTTTCTACGGTCATATCGGGATTCATAGCTGTAGCTTCTTGTATTGCTTCCGCTAATGCTTTATCATGATCTATTGGATCGCCGTCAGATTGTATCGTTATTTTTTGTTCCACTCTTGTTTCCACTACGCCATCTCTCTCGGTTTTATACTAAAAACATAAAAAAAAACCATTAAATAATGAAGAATTTTTTTGGTTGCCATCTCAAATCGATAAATATTTAAAAAAATTCCTAAACAAACATTTGCCTTTGCACCGCCAGTCGAAGTGTACCTGAGATAAACAAATGATATATAGACAAGTAACGGTCTGGATTTTTTTGTCTATACGCTTTTTTCTATTACTTCCTCTTCCTCCTGGGGTTTTCAGTGATTCGTCAATTTTAAATAACGCCAAAATTTAGTCACAACTGTCAACAATCATTGGGAAATTGACAGTTTTGTTTGTACATTTTGTGTGATTTTTTATTCACAGGGCATATTTTTAAAGTTTTTAGAGTTTCTAGTATGTTTTATTAGTTGTAAGTCTTAAAAATTACTATTCAATGTTTTTTGCCCTAAAACATAAATTTATAGAAGTTCCACGTCGATTCAAAGGTAAGTAAATAAAAAACATAGGCGGTACAAATATATTGTAGAATATTATTAGCAATTTTTTTATGCTGGTTTCCAACAAACCTTAGCAATGGAACTTTGAATTCAAAACCGGTAAAATTTTAATATACACAAAACTTTTATATTTTCACAAAAGTGTTTTCTTACACTTTTAGACACCTAAAATAACATAAAATTAACGAAATTTGTTGTCGGAAACCTGAAGAAATCCTATTTTTTAGCTGTCAATATTCACTCCTAACATATTTAAAAGACCAACAGCGGGTTGCAACAACGATCGTTAAATATCTAATGACTCGTTAAACCCAAATCTCTTACTAAAGGTGTAGTACGGGTTGCATTCTTCTAGAAACTAGAGCTAATAAAAATCTTCTAATTGTATTTTGAAAATAGCATATCATATGTAGGCAGCAACAGCTGAAATTTCTTCGGCAACAGATGTACTGTAAACTAGTGAATCTATTTCTGTGCCAAATTTCGTCCAGATCCATTCAGCCGTTCTGGCGTGCTTGAGCAATAAAAACCATCTATCCATACTTTCGCATTTATATAGTAGTAGAATTTAAATCGTATGTGTATTTTAATAAAAAAAACTCCTCACCATCCCTATATATATTTTTTAATTACTTTATTATAGCATTGTGTGGAAATAGAAAACATGTTTTTATTGATTAAATATTGGGTATATCAGCTTGGTAAACAAGCTTGATGACAATAAGATACTGTTTTGTACAGATTAATTACTGTTTTTTTGCAAATTAAACAAGTTCAATTATCATGTGCTGTCGCCCGCCGCAATCTAATTTGTGGGGATGCACTGTAGTCAATTTTCATCGCCTACCTTAACAGTGTAAAATGGGAAAATTTTACTGGTTTCAAACAAAACCTATGTTAAACAGCGCCGTTACTTATCTATATTTTATTTGTTAATCTAAGAAGTGTACTATCATCGATCATGGTATATGATCATCGATCTATTATACGAGATCCATAGACGTAACATGGGGGAGTTCGGAGGTTGACCTATTTTGATAGAATATTTTTGATAATCGGGAGAAGGGAGAGCCAAATAACGCAGAAAGGAATTTAAGGAATTAGAGCAGAACCAGACTAGTTGAAAATGACTGGCACGACAGTATTATACCCGAGCAGAACTATGTTTATCTAATAAGCTATTTTGACCCTAATAATGAGAATACTTTTAGATATATTGACAGCCAGAGTATTAAGTATGTAATTGCTTTAATAGCGATCAATGAGGATTTAAATGTACCAAAACCAAATGTTGAATATTTTCAATATTGTTTATCGACAGTACTCACCGTTATAGTCTCCACCGTTCTCGTCTTCGAACTTATAGTTTGTGAACTAACAATTTCACCTGTAGCGCTATAAGAACCATCGTCGGAGGTTAAATTCACTTTTCGTGCTTCAGTAGCCACTACGGGTACGTTTGTGGTAGAGTGAATGACCGTAGGATCTCCACGGTATACGATACTCTCCGTTTGTACTATGCCTTCTGGTATGTTATCCTACAAAAAGCGAAGTCGTATTAAAAGTTGCTTCCGTTTAACGGAGGCGTAGCATTAAAAAAGTGGCGTGAAGCAAAACCATCACACGTGATAAGAGAGAACAAACAGGTCGCAAAAATCTAAGGTGGTCGAGTATTTTAGGCTAAATTGTAAAAATTGCTGAATACCAGGAAAATTTCACGAATTTCCTATAAATAGAAAAATGTCAAAAATTCTTACAGGAATAAATTGCTTCAAGTCAAAAACCGACCCTCAGAACACTATATCAACCATGATTTGCAACTAGGGGGTGGGCAAAATAATCAATTAATCATTTTTTTTTTAATCGATAATAGATTATTTATTTTGATAATTTAATTTATTTGCAACCCTAGTTATTGTTAATTGTCATGTGCCACGAATTGTGTCAAAAGAGAAGCGTAGATTCCAAACAAAGCGAAAAATAGCGTTTTTAAAAGCAATCTCATTGGAAAAAGTTCTATAGTTTCTTATAATAAATCCTAACGATTTAAAAGATTGAGAAAGTAAGGAGTGATCCACAAAAAATGTTTCTAAACCTTCGGAAAATTTCATGCTTGTTTGAGCATTCAATTCTTATTGTCAGTTTGAATTTAATTTAGAGCCGTGCGTAGTTATTTTAATAAACAATATAAGTGTGAAGTCACATTTGAGTAAATTTTCAAATCGGCAAATAAATGTTTACACTTGAATAATGTGGAAAGATCAATGATAAATAATAAAAACAGTAAAGGTTCTAAAACTATATCCTTGAGGAACACTTTGAACACATTCTAGAAAAGAAACCGTTCTAAGCAACAAACTATCCCCCGTTATATAAATATGATTTTATGAGAAAAGCATTAAAGTCAATAATTTTATATTTTGTGGTAAATCCTGTCAATTGTATATATGTCCACAGCTTCCGCTATGTTGAGTACTGAGTAATTTCTACAAGATTAGAAGTGGTGGATTTTTGATGCACGAAGTAGCCGATTGGTTGAAATAAAACAGTTTATTTGGGAATAAATTAGAGTATACACTGATGTCTCTAAAACCTTGACAAAACTGTTTAAAATCGATATTGGACGATACTTTTTGATATCACCACTTTTGAACACAGAACAGACTCTAGTTACTTTCCACACATAAGGAAATCTCAACTTTTGAACAATTATATTTGTCAAAGATCAATATGTTTTTTCTTAAATTATTGTAGTTTCTTCCTTCGTATCTGATAGAGCTGTGGACTGTATCTAAGTGATGAATCTTGTAGAATTCTTGATTGTTTCGGCTTTTACTTGATGAAAATTCATATTGTTTAAATTAGAAAAACCAAACTTGGTAGATTTTCACTTTTATTTAAAAAAATGAAAATGTGACTAATTTACATTTCAGTGTCTAATTTATATACAAAGTAAACTAACTAGTTAAAGTACTAAAGAAATATATTAATTAAATTCCAATAAGGTATTATCATTACCGGAATTATCTAATAGTAAACTAAGAACAGGAAAAGTGATTTAATAAAGGTGAGTTATTAATATCTAATTGATCATTTAATAGGTTATCTGAATTTTTAAAGTATCTCTAAATGGTTTAATTTAATGCCCTTATTCTTTATTGGTAAAATCTCAAATTTTTTATAAAAGATGATTTTGAGCTAAAATGTGATTTGAAAAAGTAGAATTATTATTTTTTTTTTAAATAACTATTGTAATGTTCTGAATAGCGTTTTATAAAAGTACGGCCCGTTTGACCAATATACAATTTTGAACAACTATCACAATTTATCTTATACAATCTCGATTTATTATTGGGAATAATTTTGCCCTATTTTAATATACTTCCCAAGCGTATTATTGATTTTGAAAGCTACGTTAATATTTTGGTGTTTTAAGTATGATGATACCTTTTTACTGGAGGGTTCCTATATATTTGATAGTCTTATAGCTACAATTTTTAATTATGGGATAAACTCGAGGAAACGTGAGAACTTTAAAAAATGCGTTTTTTCTCTAAATTCAGTATAGCTAGGGGCAAAGGGGGGTGAACACGTTGCAATATGTCCGGGGCAGTGGGAGCCCGTGGGAGCATCGATGGGAGCATCGATGGATCTTTACTTTTCTTGAGAACAATAAAAAAACATTGCGGGCATTTTCTGTCGTCCAGTTTTGCTGGGCGACAGATTTAAGGACGACTGTTTAAGCATTTTGGCCAACGAAATTCCCACCATAGCTTGAACGCAGTTTTTCTGACCTTAAGACGATATAGCGGGCATTTTTTTTTTTTGATCAGTGAAGTATTGATTTGCTCCATGGAATTTTATTAATATATTTCTTAAGTACTTTTTACCTAGTTAGTTTACTTTGTGTACATATATTAGGCACCGAAATGTAAATTAGTCCCATTTGAAGAAGTTGTACTTCAAAACAATTGTCTTGAAGAATTTTTAATTTTTATTTTTTTTTTTAAATAAGAATTAGTGAAAACCTACCAAGTTTTATTTTTCTCATTTAAATATTGTAGAATGTCTTATTGTTTGATTAAAAGCTGTGGAATTCAGAAATTCAAGTACTTTGCTTCTAATAACTGGCCTTATTTTATCTTCTTAAACTACATTTAACAACCACATAACAAATAATTGATCGGTGAAAATATTTTGCAAAATAAACTGAAACAAAACATACCAGTTTAATTTTTTTTTATAAATATATCATTTGTTTAATGTTAATTTTGGCATGGAGGATGAAATTGATCTCAACCTCAACCAAAAAATGTCTTTTTGTGCAGTCTAAAAGTCTGTCAAGTCTTAAAAAAATGGGATGTTGTTACTTCTCGATGTGAATTTATTTGGAAGTTTATCAATTCCCTTTAAAATAAGGTTTATCAGAAATGTGTGAAATGTTACAGCATGGAATATAGACACTTTCAAATACCTTTCCAGGAATTCTTGTTATGAACAAAAATTTTCTGGATTAGTAATGATACTATTTTCAATAGAATTCAGTTAGAAGTTTCTTGTACTTGTGCATCAATTAATTTCATCAGTCTTGAAAATTCATCATAATATTGAGATTCAGTTTTATAAACCATTTGTGATTAAATTCTTTAATCTTAATATTATTTTAAATTAGATTTGAAGCGAGTTATTTTCGATTGTTTTTTACACTTTACTGAAAAATCATGTAGTGAAGAAATCGGATATTTTAAGATCACATTCCTTGGATATTATTGACAAAAAAAAACACTTGTAACTTTTTCTAGGGACAATTCGAGGCGACTGAGTTCAGATTCATGTTCAGCAACCTCAAAAACATATTTACAATTTCTGTGTAATGTATAACTGGACAACATGGTTGGTTTGGTGTTCAGCAATAATAATAACCTATCTTTTTTATTTCAATTCAGCCTAAAATAATGTTCCTTCGATTTTTAGCGATTGGATGAAGTTCGTGATCGAATGATAGTGGTTTAAAACAGGTTTCGTAATAATTAAAACATTTATATTGCGATGAAAAGCTTATGAAAACAAAGAAACTGATTATTGTTTAAAGTATATTTGAAATGGTTGATTTTTTTATGGTTAAAAAGATTTAAAGTAACGATATAGGTATTATAAATATTTCGGTATTGTGAATGGACTTAAAAATGACAATATATAAATATCGCGTGATATCAATTGGTTCAAAATAAATTTTTATAAATATGCATAGCATTGGAGATTTTTTGTCAAAATATACTATACAAAAAAAAAACAACTAATCTAGATAAAAAATACATAAAATGCCATTCAATATTCATGCCATCTATTTTTCGAAAATACTATACAGATAATGTGACATGCATACTTACATTTCAAATTTACAAGGTTACATTAATTTGATTTTTTAAGGATAATATATATATATCAGTTTATAGACAAAATGTCCATATAGTACATATGGACATGACATTTAAAACAAAATGGAAAATATTTTGGACGCGAAATAATTCTTTTTAATTTTTGTTTTTACTCAATTGAGAAATTTCACATAATGTGTAATAAACAAATTAGAAATAATAGAATTTATAAGTTGAATAATTTGAAAATTAGGAAACAAATCTTAAAAACTCTCTGCGAATTATTAAGACCATCCCCAAACCCCAAAGTTGAAAATAAATACTTGATTTGAAAAAAAGCCTGTCGCAGCCGGGAATCGAACCCAGACATCCTTGTATGCTAGACAAGTGCCCTTCCTTCTAGACCTTCACGACATTGACTGTCGAGATTCCTAGATAGAAATTTGATGTGTTAGTTCGGCCCAGACGGCGGTCAAACTCGTTCTCAAATCTTCAAATACATCTAGCATTGCTATAGAATTTATAAGTTTTTATGAATATAAAAACATTTCCTTGAATTATTAATTTGGTTTAACATTTACCATATCTGCTGGCAACTATATAGTGTAGTAGACTTTTTACTTCACAATATTACGATTTGATTGATAAAAGATACAAAGTGTTGAAGGTGTAATCTTAAAATTTATAACGTTTGAAGATTTAAAATAAAAAGTTTGAAATTTGCGGTTTTTGGGTATGAAAAAATTATAATTTCGTATTTACGTCGATCTATATTATAGTCCGCCACATAAGCCACGTTTGTGGCATACATATACGTTAAACTTTTTGGTTATTTCAGTTAGCGTCGTTTTTATTAAAAAATATTAAAGACGCCAATTTTACAAAAAAAAAAAAATACACCATTCTCTCATTTTTGCCGCCGAAATGGAAATTTTTCTATTGCTTTTGTGCAAATTATTTGGAAATGGTGTAGCCATTTATATTTTTTTATGTTCTCGAGGTAGCAAAAGACAATTCGTTAAAAATTTATTAGGTTTTTAACGGTCAAATTAAGTTATTGTGAAAAAAGATTTCATTCATTAAATATTGCAATAAATTAGATTTTTTTTCCCACATGTTGCTGAGGATTTTATTTAATTAACTGATTTAAATAGTTACTGATAACGTTTTATTTTAATTATAGATTTTGTTTTGACGTTAAATCCCGCTATACATTTTTATTTATAAGAAAAACCTAAACTAACCCGTTCAAAGGCAAGTTTCAAATTTCGAGAGGATATACTGGGTAGAAATAAATGCTCTTGCTACTTCGTTAATAGTTCATTTTAAATTTTGTGTTAAAAAGCCATTTCCCATTTTACTGGCGTAATTTTTTAAAGTTTAAAGAAATCTCAATAGTATATATTAATTTCTCCCCCCTGTGTAGAATGTCTTGGATATAAATTAATAATTAAACTTTTATTTAAACATCTGGTCCAACAAAGGTTTCTAAACGGAACATTATTATTTAAAAAAATGCATTTTTTAAGCTGAAGCAATGTTAGATTTACAAAAAATTGATTTTATTCGAGTTGAAGCCAAGTCGGACTTGGACCTCTTCACTATGTGATACAAGGGGAGGCAAGATTAGGTGCTTACAGATTAGGGAATACACTGGGAAATCTTGACATTAGGCCAGGTCACATGAGTATCTCAAGGTTAGTGACAGGAGACGTGCTAGACATGAGATCAGACCACTTAACCAAGAGGTACTCTTTTAATACTCCCTTTGAGGTTTTAATACAGGAAAGAGCGGAGATCAACATAAGGGAGCCCAATGTCCAACGACAGGAACAAACCTGGTATACAGACGGGTCTAAGACTGCGGAAGGCACTGGGGCAGGAGTATTCTCCAAAAACCCTAATACTAACCGTAGCTATGCTATAGGAATACATTCCTCGGTATTTCAGGCCGAGGTATACGCAATTTTGCAATGTTCAAAAACGAACAATGAAAGAGCTGTCGAAAATCAGCATATTCAAATAATGTCAGACAGCCAAGCGGCACTTAAGGCCATATCGAGTCAGAAAGTTACGTCGAGGCTGGTATGGGAATGCATCGAAGAACTAAGAACACTGGCAGACCGTAATAGAGTAAAACTATTTTGGGTGCCAGGTCACAAAGGGATTGAAGGCAACGAAAAGGCTGACGAACTTGCAAAAAGAGGGTCAGAAGAAACACCGGAACCAGACACAAACCCAGGAGTACCAAAAAGTACAGTCCGGGGTTTTATAAATGACTGGATTCGGGAACAACATATCAACTATTGGGGAAGCACCCCAAAACAGGCACATGAAAAAGCCTTCATAGGCAGACCATGTCCCAAAAGAACTGGAGAACTACTCTTAATGAATAGGAACCAGTTGAAAGTGATAACAGGGTTCATGACTGGGCACGCCCCAGTAAAGGGACACTTGAACAAAATTGGCATGTACAATGGGGAACTCATGTGCCGACTATGTCACAAGAAACCAGAAACGGCCAAAAACATACTGTGCGAATGCGAAGCTCTAGATCGCAAAAGACAGGCTCTTTTTGGACAACCCCAGGTTGATCCAACAAAGTATAGAACCCACTCACCCAAGGATCTGTACAAACTTGTACAAGGTACAAAGGTGATAGAGTGGGTGCTATGAACTAACATGGGGTAAAACACAATAAGCCAATAGGCTTCAGTGTTATTCGGAGACACATAGTCAGACGAGCCCAGGAGAGAAAAAAAAGTCGGACTTGAAAAAAATTGATTTTATTCGAGTTGAAGCCAAGTCGGACTTGAAAAAAATTGATTTTTCAAGTTGGAGAGAAGTCATATTCGAATAAAAATCGATTTAATTTAGGTTGGAGCGAACTCAGACTTAAAAAAAATGATTTAATTGAAGTTGGAGCGAAGTCAGATTTGAAAAAATCGATTTGGTAAGTTGGAGCGACGCCAGAATTCAAAAAAATCGATTTTTCAAGTTGAAGCGAAGATACATTTTTCGTTTTTTATCTAAATCTCCAAAAACGTTAAAGTTATCACGAAAAATATATTTTAAAATTTCACTTTTAACACCCTATATCTCTCTTATTATCAATAATTTATTAAGGCAAGTTGGCTCAAGTCGTAATATTTTGAAGTCAAAAATCTATGTATAATTACTTAAGGACTACCCTGTATATTTTTTTTAGAATATTTTAAACCACTCGAAATTAATAATTTTTCGATACCTTTATATACCAGTGAAATAGGGTTTCAAATTGGGAATTAGCCTTAATTTGACTGTATTATTATGTAAAACCGATATTTAAAACAATTTAATTTTTCATATTATTTTTTTTAACCAATAAAAGAATAGGTATTAAAAAAATTGGTACAAATTTGCGTATATTTTTATCGCAGGTTATTTAAAAAAATTGCTACTGTACCTTGTACAATGGGCTGTTGTAATATGGATGATTAGGATCATCAGGTGGGTCAATGGGTGTGCCCGAGTCACCTGAACTAGTCGAACTAAAGCTGTCTCGTCTGCCCAGCTAGATATATAAGCCATGCATTGTTAGAAGATGAAAAAATAAAAAAAAATGTCGTTAAGAAAACGCATGTTTCATGGTACTTGATGAACTTTGATAATGAACTTATGTATAAATGGTTCAATTAAAGGTTAGACACATTTATACTTAAAGATTTTAGATATTCTGCAATTATATTGTATTTTTAAGATTTGCAATGATATCAGTACAATAATATTTATTAATTTTTTTTCCAACTCTTTTTTTGTGAAATGAATGAAAATTGTAAATCAATTATAATAATTCAAACATTTCAGAAATCTGGGAAAACTTTAAATTATTAAAGTAGAAAATGTAATAGGCACATAAAAAAATAATGTAAATAAAGTAAAAATATTACGAATTTATTTTAAAATATAAAAATTATTATTAATTAAGAAATAAATTGAAGAGCTTGCACTGGGGAGGAATTAGAATAATATTGCAAATCCTTTTATACTACAATTATTTTAATAAAACGAGTTGATTTGATTCATTCAAAAAATTAACAAAATAAAAACAACAAAAAAAAATATTAACCTGATCTCCACTCACAACCGTACTGGTCGTCTTAACCTCCTGAGTAACCGTTCTTTGTTCTTGCCTGGTAGCGCTCGATGTCAATGAATGAGCGACAGTTTTTTCTTCCAACTGTTGCGTACGAGCGTTAGTACCTAAATCTTCGTGCGTTGTCGCTGTTCGGGTTGTTACAGCGCGTGCAGTTACAAAAGGCGATTTAACATCGTCTGATGGTACATCAGCCTTTTTTTTATAAACGAAAAAAAAAATAAATAAAAAAAAATAAACAAATAAAAATTGTAAACGATTTTTTTAGAAATTATATTCGCAAATTATAATGAAATCGTTCTGCTAATCACATCGTTTGTAGGCACTTTAACTTGTTGACCTCCTTTATCTAGAATGTCGTTTTATCCGTAGCAATGCTTTGATGATATTGGAAAATGTGTAGAAAAAAGAACATAATTTATATAAATTGATCAAAGTAAAAACCGTGACATAACAGATGACCAACGAGAACAGTAAGAAATTTGGTGCAAAAAAGTAACAACAAATGATATATGATTACGGCTTTATTCGCAGAAAATAAAATTAATGGTCCTAAAGTTCCTAAATTTTCTAGATATTTAATCAAGCTGTCGTAGAAAATGATTACTACCTAGGTATTATGATTTCTATTTGTCAAAACAGGTTAAAAAACGTTTTTATCCTAACTTCAATTCAGCCACTTCCTAATAGTGAGCACTATTAACCATCAATTAACTTTTAAAATTTAAATTTTTCTTAGTACATCTTATCTTATAGTTCGTCATAGCCATTTTGTCGTGGCTTTTTCAATAACAATGTTTCAAAATTATTTTATTGTTTTGTTAAATATTAGCCTTAACAAACCTTCTTTTACAATATTTTTAATCTTTGTAAACAGAACAAAACTTGTATGGGCGTTAAATGCCTTTAAACCATACAACAGCTGGACCTGATGATACAATTCTGGCACTTCTACAAAAGGGCCAGAAAGTACTGGAGGGACTACTGTGTATTCTGAGCTAGCATAGCCCTCGGATATGTTCCACAAAGCTGGAGGTCTGCAAGAGTTGTCTTCAGTCCCAAACTTGCGAAAGCATCTTACGCGGAGACCCAATCTTTCAGACCAATTAGACTAACATAATTTTTCCTAAAAATCTTGGAGAAATTGAGCGATAGTACATCGATACCAGTTTACCTACCAATCTGGAAAGTTTGCGATGCAGCCATACGTAGACTAGCTAAAAAGACTGACTAAGTATTGGAAAGGAAAGAAATAGCGCTAGGATTATTCCTAGACATAGAAGGATCTTTTGATTCGGTCTTGTACAATTCAATACACAATAGGATGAGTTCATGCTCAATCATAAAACCATTACCAGTTATCTCTTTAACACAACAAGAGAGATCTCAGTAAACAAGGGATGCCCGCAGGGAGGAGTTTTATCTCCACTCATGTGGACCTTGGTGGTTGGTGACTTCTTATGGGAAATACGAGGGAAAACCTATATAAGCAGGCATTTGTAGACGACATAAGCATCGTAGCAAATGGTAAATTTGGGGCTGTTGTTTCCGAAATGTAACGTTATGTTAAACGGTCCTTTGTCATATTTAAACTGATCACATCCGATAATACTTCTGTCTTTTTGTCTGTACTGAAATAATCTATAATTTAATTTTGTCCTATCATGCGTGTTTTGCGCTCTAGCGAGATCTAGTGGGAGTATACGCTCATATTGAAGTATCGAGGGAATGTCCTGTGCTATACCAGGAATATGGAAGTGTGCCGAGTACTCGCCAATATTAGACTGTGTAATTCGGAGAAAGTTCTATTTCTGTTGAAACTTTCCAAAGGTTAGTATAATTGTTTACCATTCTAAATTGCATCGTAAATGATTATGTAGGTTTAACATCTCGCTTTATAAATTATTACCTAGATTCAATAATTTAATTTCTTTAGGTACCGATATATTTTTTGTATATCTTCCACGGCCTTGCTGTACAAAATGGATGACATTCGTTTTTTTTTATATATTTTTTTTTCCATCTTTTAAGAATGTTACCGAAATACTATTGTGAATCTAAATTAATTGCTGTCATATTAATAATTTATTTGTTTAAATAGTACTTAAATATTTTTGAGATTTCTTGTAATTTTTTATTATCAAGTGTTAAAAGATGGAAAGATATTTGTATTATGAGTGACTGACACCGTGTTTTTATTTCTTAAAATTTACCCTTTCCGACATGGTGTACACTGTAGTATACAATAGTAATAATAGACTTTTTCCAAATAAATTTACTGCGAGTCATGTGGTACAGTGTAGTATTGTATTTTACATTTCGTCCAGAAGAAGTCGCATTACAATTAAGGTATGCCTTGTATGGTTTTGTGTAATGCTACCATTTACACGACATATTTTTTCACGTATGTGTATAACCTGCAATTTGTTTTAAGTGTAACTTAAGTTTACGTTTATCTATCTGGTTGCTATATTTTTTTGTTGGTGGATTGTAGTTTGAGGTAAGTAAAAAATTATTAATATCTTGGAAAAGTCATAAAATTTTGATAGTATGAAGGTTTACAACTATGTACATTACAATGTACATGACTTACAAGCGCTATTGGAAAAAACCGTTAAATGAAAAGAATTTATCTAACATTGTCAAATGAAATGATTTCGAGTTAGACGAACTAGATATAAAAGATGTTTACTATGAATATCTGGAAATCCAAAGTAGAGGTAAGTGGAGAGTATTTTTGGTTGTTTAGAAATAAATGTGATATTGTTTTTTCCCTTTAGATGATAATGAAGCATTGGCAGCTGATACTTCTGAAGGACCAGATGAAGTGGCGCTTATTCAATTGGCTTCTGGATTACATGGTATCTAAAATGTACCAAGGCCAGAAATACCTACTTGCTAGACGGTAAAGAGACATTGCAAATAGTCACTTGCAATGTGACAGAAAATATGACAAAAAAGAAAAAACTGTTGGATAAAAGGAATTTTTGAAATATTATGTAATATACAGGTTTTTGTCAATTATACTGTTCTATACAGAAAAATGTTTTATTTATATACGTCTCTCAGTCACCACGTACACTGTAGTGTACATGATGTAACCAAAAATTGCCAATTTTGACAGATATCCGGAGAAGCTTAAAAATCTTAAAAAAATATTTCTAACAATCGTCAACACAAAATATATTAATGGTCTTTAAAAATTCGTGTCTGAAAGGGTTAAAGAAGACCAGGGGAGCTTAAAGGGGACCAGGGGAGCTTAAAGGGGACCAGGGGAGCTTAAAGTAAACGGAGGGGTGTCGTAAAATAAATTAAATATCACCAGGCCAATTTAAAGGAGACAAGAGAAGGTAACTTTACCAGCAAATCTAAGAGTGGTTAAAACATGCAGAGTGTCCCACATACGAAGGTGCCTTCCCTAATCCTGGCCATAAGTCCGTCCTGAAAAATTACAGAGCAAAAGTAGAGGAAGGGTCAGTCTTCATTCCCATCGGAGTGCTCGTCTCAACCGGCTACCACGAGAAAAAATAAGTGTCATCCGACACGGACCATTTTTACCAAGAACATTAAAAAAATAACCTAGTTGTCAGTCAAAATTATTTTGTTCACTCAGGATTCTTTTTCAGCCTTCATATATCTTTAATTTTATTTCGTATTTTTTTTCTATTTCTTACTTTCAACTGTCAAGTCCATGGCACAATTCGTGTTTATTAACCAGCTAAATACGTGGCGTTTACAAGCATTAATTTAATTTCCTTTTTAATCTTTTTCTGCACCCATGTAAAAGAAAAACAGAAAAAGCTGCAAGCATACTATGGGCCTGTAGACGGATGGTAGGCTTAAATCAGCCATATGGTGGCATAAGGCTAAAAGCATAACAGCTAGCACAAAATAAGATAAGGTATAAAGACTGGCCTGTCTAATAATACAAACTGTGAGGGGTACAATAAGCCTGGAACTTCAGTACGAGTGGTCTTTGAACCACATTCTAAGTCAGATAGATAAATAGATCATTTGTGACGTTTACTTAAATTTAGTTTAATTTTGACTAAAATACTAGTTGTATTCGCCTCTTTTTTACACAACAGTTTTTTACAACAGTAATATTAGTGTACCCTGTAGTTTTATCCCCTAGTGGATTAGAGAATATGGTGACATTTTCTATTGCTTATTTATATTGTTTTCTTATTTTATAAGTTTTTCTTTATATTATGGTAACTTTTCAACCCTACGTCATGTTAGTGCATTAATTTGGTTAACTTTGTTTAAATGAATAATTCTTAGTACTATTAGATTATTAGTAATGTCAAAAATTCATTGTTTTCTTGCTTCTACCAACAGAATTTCTCCGTAGATCTTTTCTCTTACCTACTAGGAGTGCTAGGAGATGAAGTTATAGATTTCGAAACTGGTCGCTTCAAAAATAAATTTATATCATAGTGATATATAAATGACCTTTTTCCTACCCTTCATTTAATTTAATTATTTTCCAGAAACAGTAGGACTATACATTATATATTTAACAAAATAGGAAGAAGACATTTATCGTAATGTAAATTTAGAAGATTTATTTTAGAATTTTACTTATACGTATTTTATAGCAAGATTTATTAATTTTGCTAGATCGTGTGAAAAATCAAGAGGTCAAAAAGTAAAAGTACACTAAAATTCAGAAACGATTTTTTTATGTAATTATTTTAAAATAACTTAATTCATATTGCTATAAATTGCTTGTTTTCTTTTGAATTCTTTCAACTAGTTGTACTATTATAAAAGTTTTGATTTTTTTTTTTCGTAAAAAATAAAGAACAAAAATATTCAACTGTCTCTAAATAAATAAAAAATAACTGAAATTATAATGAACAACAATGCTAACATTAATGACTGAAAAAGAAAAATATATTTCAGTAACAACTGAAATATATTGGTATCAGAAATTGTAAGATACTATTTTTAATAATTACATTATACAGTATGATACAAATAATAGGAAAAAATTCATTATTTCCTAAATCGATATCTGTGGAGGATCAATATTATCATCATTTACCACTTAAGTGTAAGAGTACTAACATTATTATTTTTTAATAAAGTAGTTTATTTTTTATTTGGTGTTATCGGTATCAACTTGTAACGGAAAATTTTACCGTTACATCGATTTCAAAACTTTTGTTATTTTATAACCTTCCAATTCGTACTAGTTGTTCCCACCTCTAATCGGCAAAATGTGGTACTATAATATTTATGATAGAGAAAATTTTGTAAGGGGACAAATCCTAATTGGATACAGATTCCTTCCTTATATTCGAAAGATACAAAACGTTTTCTAGAATATTCAAGTTTTTTTATTAATTTGAAGACTCTCTCGTGTCGACATTAAGTCGTTCTCTCTCCAATATCTCTGCCATCGTTGAAGTGTTGATTTTTTGCTAATTGGAATCAGACATTTTACCTTTATTTTATAATTTTCAACACCGATACAAATTTTATAGGATCTCATTTTGCCGATTAGAAGTGAGAACAACTAATAAGAATTAGAAGGTTATAAAATATCAAAAGTTTTGGGGGTTTTTAGGTCATTAGCCTCGTGTTCTTCCACCATTTTCCGGCTAGACCAACTTTTTTTTTTGACAGCGGATTTATCAATTTCGCGATATTTCCTTTTGTTTAGTGAAAATAAAAAAAAATGGTTTCCTAATTTTCCGAAAAACCTAAATACTCGAGTAGGCGTTCCTCATAATCTGGTATCCAAATTTTCTTGATACCTCACACATATCCCAGGAAAATTAGGGAACATTTTAGATCGAACGCTTTTCCAGGAAAAATTTTGCATAAAAAAGGAGATAGAACAAAAAGGCCTTAAGAATTATGTGGCTCGATGAGACGCGTTTATTGATTTATCACATGACATGGTTTTTATAATGCGAGGGGGAAATTTCAGAAATTTACATTTTTTTTTAAATAAATGCGTTTTCAAAGTTTCTCTACTAAATGGTCGAAAAATTTGAAATTTTCCTACGGGAAAGTGGTTTTTCACCAAAATTTTGATATTTGCAACATGTTGTCTATATAGTGACTTGCTGCGAGGACGATAACGATGTGTGTATGAAGTTTAAAACTGGAGTGGTTGTGTAGTGTTAGATAAAATTCCGACCCCAAGGCATCTTCATTGTTTAACGTTTTAAACTGGAGTGAGTGTGCAAGAAAAAATAATTGTATCATTGTAGATGATGAAGGGGGAACTTATCAGTTATTGTGTGTGGAGGAATATCCAACTGGCAATCTTATATATGATCGAGAGTGGATTTTTGCTTAGAATTATTTTAGCTCTGTTGAGTGGAAAAGAGAGAAATGTTGTGTTGTAAGACATATAATATATAATGGAATGCAATTCGATTTTGGAACTTACTTGTGTACGTGATGTTCCTCACATTTCGAAGACAATATATTTAGCTTGTACTGCATCTAGAGCGAGATGAGATTGTTATTTGTAGGATAGATAATATGCATTTTTAAATGTGTGGGTTTAAACATAAATGGGTTGAAAAGGAGCGGTTTGCAAAATGTTATGTTTAAATTTAAGATATTACGAAATTTAAACACAGTACTCAAAATATTTAATTGGGCACGTGCCGATGTTTCCTCCAGTTGCTTGTTCAAAAAATATTAAATTTATTCCTATGATTTGCACCAATACCGCATATAATTTTTTATTAAACAAATTCTGTTACCAATACGCCTTTATAATCAATAATCTCAACTCACCTTGTTCGTCTGCGTCGAATATGTAACCTCACCGGTCCTACCATCCTCCACTCGTTCCTCAATATTCTGAGTAACGCCGTCTTTGTCTTTCGTAACGATTTGTTTGGTGGTCGTTTTGACAATAACGGGCGTACTAGGTCCTTTTTTGCTCCTCGGTATTTTCAAATTTGTGAGATCTTGTAAATTATCGGCAGCGTATTCGGATAAATCGTCATCGCTACTTTCTTCAGACGAACCTTCACCCTTTGTGTAAGTTTTTACTTTGACTTTTGTATCTTTGAGATCTTTAAAGTGCGTTGGGTCTATCTGAGCGTAATTTAGGACGAGTTCCCCCGTTACTGGGTCACGTCTGGCTGTGTTGGGATCGATGTCGCCTGTTTGGGGATCGATGTGACCCCATTCAGTGTGGATTTTTCCTGTTACTGGATCGATTTCTCCGGTTAAAGTTAGAACTTGCGTTACTTTTGTATTAGCACTTTTAACTAATGGATCATTAGGATCAACTTGTACAACTTTTCCTGTTTTTGGATCAACCATACTGTAAATATAAACCGTTTGAGTTGTGACGTTAATAATGCGACCAGTTTTTTCATCGAATTGACAGTCCTTAGGATCAATTTCTTTCGCTTTCCCTTGAGGATCGTTTTGCGTTATCAAATAAATTCTTACAATAACAAACTTTCCGGTTTTTGGATCGATTTTTCCGTATTTGGTGTAAATCTGTCCGTTCTTAGGATCAATTTCGGATGCTGAGTATATAGGATCACCTGCTTCATCAATTTGAGCGGTTTTTGTAAATACTTGGTTAGATTCATTATCGATTTTAACATGGCTGGGATCGACTTTAGAAATTTTTGCTATAGATCCAGATTTGGGATCAGCCTGTCCAGAAACAGTAACGATATATCCAGTCACCGGATCTATATGACCAGTTGTATAGATTTCGCTCTTCGTAATAGGATCATTATAATCATATACCCAAACTTGATTGTTTTTCGGATCGATTCTAACTTTTTTACTATCTTTTTTTATAATCTCGCCAGATTCGTTAATTTTGGGATCTGTGATAAGTATAGCAACAAGTCTGCCGTAGTTTGGATCAATTTTTCCGGTTTTGGGATTAGTGTAACCTTTGAATAAAATCTGTCCTGTAGTTGGATCTATTATTCCTTGTTTAACTTCTACGCGACCTGTTTTAGGATCGGTATACGTCAAAGTGGCTTTAATGGGATCAATTTGACCGTATTTAGTATCGATTTTATGCGATGCTGGATTATAAACACCACTGGAAACATCTGGTATCAAATTTTTTGTATCAATTGTATTCTTTTTCGAGTCTAGTTTTCCAATAAAGGTTACGACTTGTACTTCGGGTTCTACTTCAGATCCTAATTTGATGATTTGACAAAGGTCTGGATTCACTGTGTCACTCTTAGGGTCTTTAACTCCAGATGTAATTATAATGCTGCCTTCTTCGTCGACTTGTACTGGTCTGGTTTCTAATTTACCAGTTTTAGGATGTAATGTTGTTATTTTTAGATCTTTAATGTTTACAGTTCCGTATTTGGTTTTGATTTCACCAGTAGCTGAAACTTTCTGCGCTTTGGAGGTTTCCATTTGACCGTTGTTAATATCGATGTTTCCGGTTTTTGGATCTCTTTTAGCGGTTATGGTAGTGATTTCGAGAACGGGATCATTTTGACCTGCGATGCTGATGATTTGTCCTAAGGAGTTGTCAATTTTTCCGGATTTTGGATCGATTACACCGCTGGATACGATGATTTGTCCATTAACGTCGTTAATTTGTGCTGATTTCGCATCGACTTTCCCAGATTTCTGATCGTTAATAATGACTTTACCGTTTTTAGGATCAATCAAACCATATTTAGACTCGATGAGTCCTGTTTCAGGATTTAGTAAAGCTGTCGAATGTTCGATTTGACCTTTTTCGTTATCAATTTTTCCAGTTTTAGGATCTATTCTAGTGGTGATGACAGTTATTTTAATAACCTTTTTCTTTGGTAAAGGAGCGATGTTCGAATCTTGCGCTTGCTTCAAACCTACTATCGTGAAAACTTGTCCCAAAGTTGGATCAAGTTTTCCAGTAATTGGATCGGCAATCGGTCCTCCGTTAACGGTGATATTTCCAGTTGATAGGTCAACTTTTCCCGGAAAGTTTTGGCTATTTCCTGTAGCGTCTTTAGTTATTAGAGATCCAGTTGTTGGATCTAATAAACCGTATTTAGTTTCAACTAAACCGTTCTTCGGATCAACTATTCCTGTTAGATGTTCAACTGTACCATTTTCGATATCTACAATACCAGTTTTGGGATCTTTCTTTCCCGTTATTACCATAATTTTCACTATCCTATGCTTTGCAATGGGGTGCAATATCCCGGTTATCACCTCTTTTGTAGGCGTTGCTGTCTTTACTGGAGGGACAGATCTGATAGGGGTGGTAGCAGTTTTCACAGGAGAGGTAGATACTATTTTCTGAGGAGGAACAGCAGGTGAAATTACTTTGATTTTGGTAGGTGTTTCGGGTATATCTTTAGCTAAAGGTTGCTGTGAAGTGACAGTATCAATCGGTGGTTCAATTATATGAACAGATAGAATCCTACCAAGGTCTTTATCAATTTTTCCACTCTTCGAATTTGTAACACAATTTTTAAATAGTAAATCGCCGGTATTAGGTTCGATGTGGCCTTGTTTGGTTTCAGATTTTCCTGTTTTTGGTTCTATAATAACAAGTGTTTCTGAAACCGGATCTAGATGGCCGTATTTGGTGTATATTATATTTCTATCTGGATCATAAAGACCTGGAGTTGTTTCTGGTACAACATTCTTAGAATCAATTGTGTTTTTCTTCGAATCGACTTTACCAACAAATGTTTTAATTTGGATTTCTGGATCTACTTCCGGACCAACTTGGATAACTTGTACTGCATTTGGATTAGTGGTTCCTGTTGCTATAATGATATTATCATCCTTATCCACTTGAATAGGTCGTTCCTGAATGATACCAGTTTTTGGATCCCTTGTAGTGATTCTCATCAGTTTTAAATTGATAGTTCCTTGTTTGGTAACGACATGTCCAGTTTCTGGTATGATTTTCCCATTGGATATTTCAGTTTTGCCGTTTTTGAAATCGATTATTCCCGTTTTAGGATCGCGAGTTGTTGTAATTGTAGTTATAACAACAGCTGGATGTTGCGGGTCGACAACGTTGATAACTTGCGATAAGCTATGATCGATTTTACCAGTTTTACTGTCTACAACGTTGTCGTCTATGTATATTTGTCCAGTGTTTTCGTCGACTTTAATCGGAGTTACTACTGGTTTTCCAGATTTGTCTTTGGTGATAACTTTCTTATTTTGCGGATCGATTTTACCGTATTTTGATATAATTATACCGCTGACTGGATCAATAGTGGCTGTTAACTTTTCTACTGCACCTTTTTCTGTATCTATTTTACCGGAAGCCGGGTCTTTTTTACCGGTAATGACCAATATTTTAATAACACGTTTCTTCGGAACGGGATGCGATGGTAATAGGTTTTTAACCGGATTTTCATCTTTAGGTTCGTAGGAAGCTATAGCAATTATTTGTCCGAGAGTGTTATCCTTTTTTCCGGTCCTAGGATCGATTACAGGTCCGTTTAAAATCTGTATTTGACCGCTCGATGGATCAATATGTCCTTGTACAGTCTCTTGTTTACCGGTTGCAGGATCTATTATCGTTATTGTAGCTAATTTAGGGTCTATAAGACCGTATTTCGATTCTATTTCACCGGTAGGTGTAAGAATTCCGGCAGACTGATCAACATGACCGTGTTCTAAATCTAGTTGATTAGTTTTTGGATCCCTTTTAGCGGTTATCGTTAATATTTTGATAACTTTGCTTTTTCCTTTAGGCGGTGTAGGTGTAGGTAATTTAACTGGAGATACGGGAACACTTCTGACGTCAGATTTTCCAGGAATTGGAGCGCTGTTAACAGATGGATCAACTCTGTTATCGCTGAATTCTAATTTGATAACTCTTCCGTAATTGTTGTCGATTTTGCCGGTTTTTGGGTTAACCAAGCCTTTGAAGAGAAGATCGCCTGAAGGTTCTCTAATACCTTGTTTTAGTTCAGTTTTATTCGTTTTCGGATCGATAAATGATAGAGTTTCGTTTATTAAGTTAATAACTCCGTATTTGGTGTAGACTTTGTTCGTTTCCGGATCGTACATTCCGATAGATTTTTCGGGAGCCGTTACCGTTTTTGGATCCAGTCCTTTCTTATCTACTTTACCACCTTGTGAAGAAATAACTATTTCTGGATCGATTTCTGAATGTATTTGCAAGATTTGACTCAGATTGTTATCTCTGTTGCCTGTTCTGGGATCTACTACGCCGTTTAATACGATAATATTGTCGTTTGCGTCGAGTTGTACGGGATGTTCTTCGATTTTTCCGGTCTTCGGATCGCGGGATGAAATTCGCATATGTTTGACGTTAATGGTGCCGTATTTTGTGAGTATTAAATCGTTTTTGGGATCTAATTTGCCATTGGTGGTTTCTTTATGGGCGTTTGTAGGATCTAATTGTCCTGTTTTAGAATCGCGTTTAGCTGTAACAGCGGTTATAGGTACGATAGAATCGCCTTGTTCTGATATTTTGATCAACTGTCCCAAACTGTTGTCTACTTTGTTGGATTTGGGATCGACGACTCCTTGTTTAACGACGAAATGTCCTAGATTACTGTCGATTTCAACTGGGTAAACCTCAATTTTGCCAGATTTGGGATCTTTAGCAGCTATACAGCTGTTTGCGGGGTCAATTGTGCCAAATTTCGTTTCGATCTTTCCTGTTACAGGATCTAAAATGGCTGTCAATATTTCTGTATGTCCTTTTTCTGCTTCGACACGTCCAGTTTTGTGATCTTTCTTTGCTGTGGTGACACTGATTTTTATTATACGTTTCTTAGGTAGGATCGGAAGTTTTTTGGACAGTTTGGAATTCGGTGTCGAAATAGAAATAATTTGACCCAAAGTTGAAGATTTATTTCCTGTTTTCGGATCTATTACAGATCCCGAAGTAATTATTATTTGTTTCGTAATCGGGTCTACATGGCCTTGTACTACTTCTTTTTGACCATTGGTTTGATCCGTTATTATCACAGTTCCGTTTGTGGGATCAATCAAACCGTATTTGCAGTTTATTAATCCCGTCTCTATATTTTGTTCGCCGATTGTTTTTTCAGCTGTAGCGGTGCTTAGATCGATGTAACCAGTTTTACTGTCTCTATTTCCAGTAACGACATACAAGGTGATCGGTCTGGTTTTCTTGGAACCCGCAACTACAGGCACTGTTGGAGTTTGTGCTTTAGGAGGTGCCTGATGCATGTATTGTTCTCCGGCGATAAAAGCAGCGCTGTCAGATTTGGGATCTTTAAATAAAGGATCTTTCTTTAGTTTGCCTACATCGCCTGGAGCATAATTGAAAGCGGTAGCTGTCGCTCTTTTACCAGGCGATTGGGGTATCTTTTGCGCATCCGTTGGACTGGACGGGGATTCTTGGTTTTCATAACTGAATCCTTGTATAACTGGTTTTCTAGGGGTAACTTCCGGTTCTTCGTAATCATACTGTCTAGTATAACCCGGTAACTGAGGAGAACCCACTGGAGGTCCCCCTTTATCTTTGTCTGTAGTAGCGGCGAGTTTTTCTGCTTCTTTTTTCTCTTTCGGTGTTTTTTCTTTCTTTGAACCGAACGGAAAACCAAGGCTCTAATGCATAAATCAAAATACATGCAAATTAATACATGCAATGTTCCTATCTAAGCATAAAAATGTTCTATTAACTGATTCGTTTGGGGGCGCTTAATGTACTTACATGTATAGTGGACACCTGTCCAATTTTCAGAAACTTTGGTATGTTGTTGTACTCAACCTAATAACCAAAAAGGTCAATAGGACCCAACTCAATTCTATGACTAGTTTTCGAAATACAGGGCGTTAAAGTTGAAAATTTCGGAATTTTGAGATAGATTGAATTTCTGTTGCATACACACGTTTACTACATATTTTAGTAATACATTAGTACATACGCACAATTAAAAATATTTATAATTACAGGGTGATTCACAAATGTATGATGGTAGTTTTTTTTTGCAAAATCTCACTAATTCTACTATGACGTCAGGGAAGCACATTTTCAAGAAGTATTACTCAATTATTGGTATTTTAGCGACAAAATATTGCACAGTACACATTTCTTATACAGAGCGAATTATAGAGAGAACCATAAAAACGACATGGCAGAGTATTAGGGGACTAAGTTCAATGGCAAATACAATGTGTATCTCCGCTATTATTGGTCCAATCTGCATGGGACAAACGGCACTATGAAGTAAACGTGACATAGATTAGCGATGAAGAGAAAAATCATGCGCAGTGGCAATGCCATAAGGGCATTAGTTATTATTTCGGCTAATAATGGTCTAATTTATACGGGACAAGCAGCATTCATCTTGAACTATCATTTAGCTGTCATTTACAGGTGTAGTGACAAAATCAAAAAGACGTAAACACCTATTATTGGTCCGACTCGAACGGGAGAGTGAGGGAAATGACACACTAATGTAATAAATGATAAATATTGCGCAGCGACAAAGCCAAAAAGACCTTATTTCATATCTCCGTTATTATTGGGCCGATTTGAATGGGTCAAACGACATTCAACGTGAACTGTCATTTACAGGTTAACATGTACAGTAGCATTGGAAAAGAACCATAGACGCACAGACACGGAGAGCTAGATAGTGAGATAGGCGGGCGGCTGAACGGCGATAACGTAAATATAGATTAGACCGGACTGGTTGAAAATGGTTCGCACTACATTACCCCCTCCTTAAGAGATCGTTCCTCCTGGAAGTTTTACGGAACTGGGACAGATTAGTTGTATCTGGACCCTCTTTTGAAATTTCTTAGTTACAGCAAAGACCATCTCTTGTTGCTTCCATGCAATTGGAAATTTCAAAAGAGGGTCCAGTTACAGATTCAACCATTCAGCTTCAGTTCCGTAAAAATTGCATGAGGAACTATTTCTTAAGGAGGGGGTAATATCGTGAAAGGTATTTTCAACCAGTCCGGTCCTGATCTATGTGTACATTATCGTCGTTCCGCCGCCTGCTCTATCTGACTGTCTACCTGGCTGTATGCCTGAATTTCTTTTTTTTTATATCTTCGAATTTCCTCGAATTTCTTTGAATTTCTTTGAATTTATTTGAATTTATTTGAATTTATTTGAATTTATTTGAATTTATTTGAATTTATTTGAATTTATTTGAATTTATTTGAATTTATTTGAATTTATTTGAATTTATTTGAATTTATTTGAATTTATTTAAATTTCTTTGAATTTCTTTGAATTTCTTTGAATTTCTTTGAATTTCTTTGAATTTCTTTAAATTTCTTTGAATTTCTTTGAATTTCTTTGAATTTCTTTGAATTTCTTTGAATTACTTTGAATTTCTTTAAATTTCTTTGAATTTCTTTGAATATATCTCTGAAAAAATAAATATTTTAAAACTTAGAGGAACACATATTTTAGTGGTACAAGGTTTTGAATTATTTAAAACAAAAAAATGTTTGGTGATTTTTTTGAGGTTCTCTCCAGAAAACACTGTTATAAGAAATGTATACCGTACAATATTTTATCGCCAAAATACGACATTGAGTAGCACGTTTTGAAAATATGCCTCTCTGACGTTACAGTAAAATTAATGAGATTTTACAACAAAAAAAAAACTTGCGTCATACATTTGTGAATCACTCTAGTAAATATTTTTAATTATACGTATGTACTAATGTATAAACCATGTAGTATACAGGAGCACGCAACAGAAATTCAATCTAGCTCGTAAGTTTTAAAATAAAAATTTCGAAAATTGAGAATTTTCAACTACTTTAATGCCTTCGTATCTCGAAAACTAGCCATACGATTGAGTTAGGCCCCATTGACACTTTTGGTTACTAGGCTGAGTACAACAACATACCACAGTTTTAGAAAATTTGACTGGTCGCCACATAAGGAAAATCTAAATATTGGAAGGTTAAAAAAATAAAAACAAAAGTTACATTTTAAATCAATTTAGTGGTAATTTTACAGGATGTGATAATTCATGAGTTTTTATTAGACGTTTCTCGAAAATTATAAGTAAATACGCATTAATGGGATACTCTGTATACGAGGGGGTAGGGGATTTTTGAGTAGCACTGTATAATACTGAGTATTTTACATCAAAATTAATATCTTGTGTCCAAAATTAAAATTGCCCAAATTTCACTGTTTAAAAATAAATATGGCAATAACGGTAGAATGAATAATGCATCGTATTTGTTACAAATACTCATTCATATTTTTTACTGTCCGTTATTATACTTTTGAGAAAATTTTTATTTTTTTTGTTTTATCTGTAAAATATTGTAGTTTGGTAATACCCTGTAGAATTACCACTATATTTGAGTTTTAATATTCGGAAATGTAATTTAAGGAAAAAAATTAACTTTTGGTTTTTTTTTTTTTCGAAAAAATATTTTTAGAAAGGAAGGATATTTTTAACACATACGAATCAATCTATGAACTCATTCAAAATAAAATAGAAACACTTCTACGGGTACAAATTACAAAATAAATCAATAAATAAATAACATCAAACTTACAACTAATAATAACCAGCATTTTAATTAACTAAACAAAAAATTATATAAATCTATTAACTATTCATACCTTTCCTTTTTCCTTTTTATCGCTAGGTGTTTTTTCGCTATCATTACTCGAATTCAATTGAGATTCCTCGACGCCGTTTTGATGAGGAGCGTTCGAGTCTCTGTTTTCCTTATCTTTATTTTTATCGCCCTTTTTGGCGAACAAACCGACAGTCGGTAGCACAGCGACTCCACCGATAGGCTTCGTTTTCTAACAAAAACAAAAATCTCACAGTGTAGCTAAGCAAGCGATTTGGAAAAATGTTCAGCGAAAAAAGCTCACTCACTACACAGAAGCTCAAGACTAAAGTAATTTTATTGTTTGTAAACTTTTAAATTCAGATGATTAGCTTAGGATATTTTTTGTGGATAAGTATATTATGTTGAGTAATAATAGTGAGTCAGAGGTAAAAGAAAACAAGCATGCAATTTGGAAATTATACGTTTCAGATGTAAATTAAGCGAAGCCTGCATATATATTTGTTGATTCGATAATTTATAGCGGAAATATTCATAGTACATGTAGTACATTAAAACAGATTCGAAAGCAATATAATTTATTAAAAATACCTGAAAATTACTAAAACACTGCGGAAAATCTACTAAAATTAATGATAAAAGTGGTGGTAGACCAAAAAATTATAACAGAAAGGTTTGGTAAAAATACCTTTTGGAATAAATCTTAAGGTACGTTTTCATCTGACATTTATTGCATGATATTTATGTCTGACAGTTGTTTAGTCCAGTGTAAACACTCAAAAATATATGTCCGAGAGAAATTTTTGTGTGTTTACACCACTGATCTGTAATACAGATCAGTGGTTTACACTGGACTAAACAACTGCCAGACATAAATCTTATGCAATAATTGTCAGATGTAAATGTACCTCAACAATTTAAATGTCTGGAGAGTGTTGTCAAAATGCATATGAATTATTTTGCTTGTTGACTTTTTTCTGTGACATACAGAAGAAAATTTTTTTAGATAAAAATAATTGTTTATAAAAAAAATTGCTTGTCGGAAAAATTACTTACCATATAAATTTTAAATCAGATGTATAGGGTGTTAATTAATAAAAAAAAAAAAGATGTTTCAAGAAAGAAGAACTTATTTATTTTCTACAAAAAAATATGCAAAAGAAAGTTATTTGTATTCTAAAAATAAATTTGAATGCAGATTTTCTAATAAAACAATTATATTTATTATACAGGGTGCGCCACGCTCAACGGGATGGAGCCTGGTGGATAAACTACAAATAATATTAAAAAAAAAATTGGCACAAATATACAACTCATTGATGACTATAAATTAAAATAATTAATTTCATATATACAGGGTGTCCCAAACAAGAATACCATTATAGTTATATTTTTTTTTAATTTTAAGTTCAACTCTTAAAAATAATCTTAGTTTGATAATTGCCGATTTATTTGACATTTTTCAAAATGTAGTGTTGTTAAATATTAAATAATTAATTGGCAGTTCCTTACAAAATGTAAGTTTTTTTTCAAAATCATTAAAATATTAAAAAAATGTTATATTTTACCACTACGTTAATTTAAATGGATTTTATGGTACCAATATGAAGGAAATTTTATTTACTTTAAAAGTTCTATAAGTTTAAGTATCTGTCGACAGAATTCCACATCCTTCAGGGATTGGTGTTTCAATAAAGAAATCTCTGTTATAGAATTATCAGAAAAATTAGTGATATTATTATTTACTGCACATAGAATGCAAACCTTCAATCTTATTAAATTAGAATATATTATTTATAGAACTGATAGGGTCAAGTCATCGGGTAGAAACAAATTACAACAGTCTTCAACTCTCCCTTTCAAACCTTAGTCATTGGGTAAAGTGGACTGAACTTAGATATAAGGTTCACAGCAGGCTGGACAAGTGAATCTTATGTTTTGCCGTTATATAACCGGCTTATAAGGCAGGATCCTACCTCTTTTGCAAAAATCATTCCAATTTAGTTTATTGTGGATTAAACTTTCGTTTGTTTTTGTTACACTTATAAACATTTTCATAAAAGTTTATTGAAAATTGCCTCGTTTCTTGTAGTCTTTAAACATCTACGTTTACTTATCATCTGAAGAAGGTAGCGCAGTGTATAATAATAAAATCAAACCCATGCTAGATCATCGCAGTTACGACAGAGCTTAAAAAAAAGTGAGCCACGCCCGCAAAAGGCGGGAACTACATAGAAAGTGAGTTTTGGCTTTGGACTATGGTGCACAACTAGCTCATAAATGAGTACTACGTTTACTTAAGGTAAGTTCGTTTGATTTTATAACAATGTAAATAAACGTTTAAAAGATTTTTTAATTTAGGTAATAATTAGAACAAATCATACAATTTTTAATTTACTAGAAAATTTCGGTATAAATAAATGTATATTTTAATATTAAATTATTAGTAAATGATTGAAATTTATTGATGGATAAAAACTATTGATAATAGGTCTAAAAATAGTAGATATGGGTACAGGGAACCTCATATTGGTACTATAAAATTCAGGGTGTTCCATTTAAATTAAAGCACTTTGTAGGTCATCAAATTAGTACAGATTATCCTGGCTTCAGACTTATACCATACAATTTTATATGTATTTTTTTCTGTATAATATTGTTCCAAATAAATATTATTATTACTAATTAAATAAAACATTTTACTGTAATGAAACTTCAAATTGCAAACACCTTGTACATTTTTTGAATATTTTAATGATTCTGATAAAAAGTTTGTAAGGAACTGCCAAAAGTTCGTTAATTAACTAATTTGTGACTAAAAAATGTCAAGTAAATCGGTAATTATCAAACTAAGACTATATTTAAAATATAACTTTATATTGGTATTCTGGTTTGGGACATCCTATGTATATGAAACTAATTTTAAATTGTACCCGCCACTGAGTTATAGATATGTGGCAAAGGAATTTTTAATATATTTTGTAGTTTACCCGCCAGGCTCCGTCTCGTTGAGTGTGGCGCACCCTGTAGAATTTTAATTTGAAAATTTGTATTCAGGCTTTATTTTAAATCACAAACGACTGTCTTTTTCCAAAATTTTGGGTGAACTATAATAATAATAATAATAATAATAATAATAATAATATTACCTTATTTTATTTACAAGCAAATTTTAATTTATAAAAAAAATTTTTTTAAGTATACGATTTTTGTATTTTTCTGGACACACTGTATAAATATAAAAAATACGCTTAAGATATCAATGTTTTTTAATATTATAAGCTAACCATCTTTGTAGCATACAAAAGTAAACAGAAAAGATATAAGCTTAATGCCAAAAATCTACTAATGTAATATCGCATAAAAATAAAATAAAAAAACTGAGCAAAAAGTAAATTTTTAAAGACCTTCTCATTTTTTTCTGTATCATACTCTCCTTCTATTGAACTAGCCGAACTTCCAGACTTTACAGACCCTGAACTTCTGTTCCTAGCAAGCTATTTATTGTTACATTTGTAATTACTTAAGTTTTTTTTAACAAATGGATGGGGTCTAACAGAATTAGAAAGGTTAAAACGTCTGGTTAAAACCTAGAGGGTTTTACTTTTGTAATCATTTGTAAGAACCTCTAACCACGAGACAAATTTGTTTTTTATTTTTTAATTGTAAAACAAATGTTGATCTTAATAAGAAAAAAAACTAAATTTACTATTTTGGAGTTGAACTGAAAAACTTTATTATTTACAATCAACAAAAGTAAAACCCACATAATGATAAATAAATAAATAAACCCAGGGACGTTTCGCCTATTTTGTGGTCAAAAGAGTAAAAAAATTGTAGTCGAAGTTCGTAATATTTAACGATTGGAAAAGTTTCTATAAACATTAGTGAGACCTGGGGAAAAATTTAAGGACGTTTGTTGCAAGTAAAGTGATTTATCTGTCGCGTGTGTAAAATGTATCTTGAAAAATTATTGTTTCTTTGATATTTTTTTTCTCCTTAAACGTTGATGATGTACAAACCACTACTTGAAATAGTTTTTTAGCATAAGTTATTGCTGGAAAATAATAATAATAATAAATTAAGGTTTGGCCATTCTGAGGGAAAGAATTTTAAACTTGAATTACAGAAAAGTCATGATTTTATAAGTTTCTGTTATTTAAAAGACTAGAACTTCCGAATAACAAGGAGATATTTGGCTTTAATATTAGATGGGACTTTACCCTTTCTAAAACTTTTTCGTAAATCACCCAATAGAACCCTATTTGGTAGATATATATTTTTTTAATAAAGATAAACAACTATTTTTTGCTCATCCCTTTGTGTTTCATTCCAGTGAATTATTTTTTTTTTAGACTCGCTGAATACGAATCCGGTGTAAAAAATATAATATTCAAAATGATGGATCCAACATGGCGAACGGAATTTTTGAAATCAACCGGATTCGCTTGAAACTTGTCACTACTCAGGGGTTTTTGAAGTCACCGATTACGAATCTGCTATCAGATTTTCAAAATTCAAAATGTAGGATCTAATATGGAAGACTGAAATAATATTAAAAATATAATACTATCTCTAATACAACCCCTAAAACCGACTGAGCGACTTGTGTAAGGGAAGGAACCGCTATTATTTTTTGTCGCGGCGCTCCGGGGCGACTTAAAGATGGCGCCATTTGACTTGCAGGTGAGGAAAACCCGGAAAAGCACACCCAACACCATCGAAACGGTAACGCATGACGATTTTTATAATCTGGATGGTATATCAACAGAAATAAAATTTCTGCTATTACGGCATCCATCAAATCCTATAGAGAACCATGCAAATAAATTCACATAGTCTTCTGTAGGATTCGAAGCCCGGTGTCTATCTACCACAAAATTGGCTCGCAAATGAATGCGAGCGCTGTAGATACCTACGCTACCGTCCCGAGTTTAAACAGTCATTTTCAATTGAAGAGTGGAAGCACCAAACACACTAAGTTACTACCAAATTCATGAATATAAGATAATTAAGAAAATTACTTTTTATATTTAACACACTTCTTATTTTAATTCACATAAGCTTAGAAATTATGTTACTTTGTGGAGATATTGGCGATGGTACTTACAAGCTTTTTAAGCACATACCTAGGGCTGGCCGATTATCAAAATTAATAATCCATTATTTAAAATAATCGATTAATTTCGATTAATCAACAATCTATTAATGGAGATAATCGATTATCGATTTTTCATAATCGATTTATCTAAAATAACCGATTTAATGTAAAATAATCGATTATCGATGATTGAAAAAAAAAATAATCTAGTAATCTACTAACTAATCGATTATTTTGCCTACTTCTACCCATACCTACAAAATTTTGATTTTGGCACCCAGTGCCTTTGGTACTCTCCAATTTTTTTATTTGACGGCCGTCATATTGGATCCGCCATTTTGTATTTATTTCTAATTTTTAAAGTCATATTCAAAATCAACGATCGCGAAAATCCCTTAGAAAGTCTCCATGTTTAATTTTTTATACAAAACAAACGATTTTTAATATTTTCGGGCGCCATATTCGATTCGCCATTTTGTATTTCTAATTTTGAAATTCATATTCAAATTCAGCAACCTCGAAAACACCCTATAAAGTTTCCATGATTCATTTTTATGGAAAACAAGAAATTTTTTAACATTTTCGGACGCCATATTGGATCGGCCCTCTTGTATTTCTAATTTTTAATGTCATATTCAAAATAAGTGATTCCAACAAATATTGTTAAAAGTATGGTTAGAAATATTGTCAGTGGAATCAAAAAAATACGTCACACTTTTATGGCGTATTCTGGACAAAAATAGGCGAAACGCCCCATGGTGCGACAAAGATAAACCAACTCCTGTTTAAAAACAAAATAAAAGTTGGCAAAAATTAATCAAGGTTATAAGTAAAAATCGGCTAGGTTCGCTAGTGTATTTACGGCAATAGTGTCGCCAAACGCGAGGATTTTACCTGATTTTCGGGTATTTTTACCCAACTTATAAACTGTCATAAATTGATGCTTGAGGAATGGTGGTAGGTATCTAAAATGTTACTGACTCAAAATTTGCCTATTACTATAAAAAAAACCTCTAAAAAACATAGCTGGCCAGGTGACCTTCCAAATGTGAGGCAGTTGCGTTACTGCTAAGCTACATTCAATGCACACATAGCTCAAAAAGTCCTTTTTACATTTATATTTATTGTCGCTTGTGTTTTAAGTATACAGACTATCATATTTTTAAGTATTTTGCTGTTGGTCAAATAGCCACTACCAATATATTTTTATAAACAAGCCATAAAGTGAATTTTTTGTAGTTATTTCTTTTTCTTTGTAAATAGTTATTTCCTTGTGCACTTTTAATCGCATAAAAATTAATACATCATTTTAAGAACCACTTTCCATACTTTTATTTCATGTTAATTTTTTTCAATTTTTCAAAGATTTTACCGCCAAAATATTGATTTATTCAGGAGCGCATATTAAACTATCTTGACGATGACTAGACAGGTAGACAAGTCAAAATTTCTTTATTGTTGAAAAATTAATTACATTCTATTAACAAGGATAGATAACATAATAATATAAGTTAAAAATATAAAGTTAAAAATTTAAAAATTCAAAGAAAAAGAAACAAAATTCTCATATATTCAATTTTTTGTTTGTTTTAAAAAAATTTAAAATTCCAATTTGGAGATATAAAACAATGAGGAAAATATTACGGAAAAAATTAAGGCTCATTTTTAACTGCGGAGTAAAAAAATTTGATTGCAATGAAAGTGAAAATAAATTTAAAAAATGGAAATTAAGATTTGATAAAAGGTAAAATGAACTGTGATTTGCACGATTGCACTTCTGACAGGTGTAAAATGAACTGCCATTTTTTTGTGAACATAGCAGATTTTTACTTGTACTTTCCTCAATTTTAGGATTATTTTTTGAGATTTCAAATACCCTCTAGTAACACTACAGACTGAGTTATAAGGGTGTAAATACATTACTATTTTGTTATTTTGACATCACATCTAAATATCACAAAATTAAGTAAGTAAATGGTAAAACTACTAGTTAAAAGGTCTTTGTATAAAAAAAAACTTACTTTTTCTTTCTCTTTAATTTCTTTAGGTGATTTGACAGTAGCGGGAGTTTGACTATCAATGTCTGGTATGTGATCGGGCGGATGGGACATTGTGTGTCGTTTATTTGCTTCGTTAAAATCGTCTTCGGTTCGCAATCCACCAAGTGCTAGATATTTAAAAACAAAGTTTAATTATTTTCATATTATATATGAAAACATTTTTAATAAACATAATGTTGACAAATGCTAAATTTCCGAGATACAAGGTGTTATAGTTTTTTATTAATGTGTACAAAAAAAGTATATACTTTTTCCACCTTGAAGTTTGAAAGTGAAAAATAACGACCCCGAGAGATGTTAACTGTTTGACGTTGGAGTGTGTGTAACAAAATGTAGCCGACCCCCGAGGCATATTTACTGATGAATATTTGAAAGCAGAGTGTCTGTGTAACAAGAAAAATAATTGTATCGTTGTAGTTGATGAGGCGAACTTACATCATCGAGTGGAATTTTGATAAAATTATTTTTAGCTCTATTGAGTAGGAAAGAAAGAAATGATGCACTGCAAGAGATATATAGTGGAATGCAGTTTGGATTTGAGTCGTACTTGTGTACGTGACGTTCATCTCGTTTGGAGAAAATATATTTAGCTTGTACTGTATCTAGAGCAAGATGAGATTGTTATTTGTAGGATAGAGTATGCACATTTCTTGAATGCGCGAGTTTTAACACAAATGAATTGAACAGGAGTAGTTTGCAAAATATTATGTTTAAACTTAAGATTATGTTATGAAATGTAAATGTTATGAAATGAAATTAAAAAAAACTTACGATCCATGCTGCGAGAAGCTAAACGTTTTCCAGTTAAAGAACGCTCAAATTGAGGAGCAGGGCGTTCTATGGGCGTTTTCTTAGTTTCATAATGTGTGCGTCCAGAGTATCTGAATTTCGAACCTAACTTCGGAAAAAGAGACGATTTTTGATTAATTTCCGGTGACATCAACCTAAAATACCAACAAAATTATATTTTTAAACGTTTTGTTACAGATATTATATTCTTCGTGCTTTTTATTACCTGAAGAATGTATGATGTTCGACACAAGTTTTCCATAATTTCTTAGCAGCTCTATGGTTGGCTAATTTGAAACCAATGGTAGATTCGAATTGTTCAAAATCGCCGGGACGAATTTTTATATAGAAATTGTGTCTCTTGTAACTGATTTTGATGATTTTAGGCCAGGCGAATCTATTTATTCGTAGCCTGTCTCTATATACTAATAAACCGGACGCACATACGCCTAAAATAATAAATTAGGAATGATTAAAAATGAGTGTAATCATATGTGAGTTATAGGGATTGAGTAAAGAGGTGAGAGAAAATTCCTTTCTTTAATAACCGGTTGACTTGTTTGACATGTTTTATAAATATGTTTTTCCAAACTTATTTTTCTTACCAAGCATTATGTCGACTCCCTCCGAATCTTTCGCAGGATGTAAATCAACTCCGTACATAGCTAATTTTTTAGCGTTTTCTAAATAATGCAATTCAGCTTCTGCTGGAGTTTGGCCCCTGGAAGAATTTTTTTAGTTTAGATCATTTTGGAGGAATTAACCAAAAATTAAAAGAAAATTAAACAAAACTAGCTAACTAATAAAAGGACCATCAACTACCAATGACAATCCTGTTTTTTACTAGCTTTTTCAAGGGATAAAACGAAATTAAGACCAGAAAAATCTACTTTTACTTACTAAAAACTTCCAAAATCCCTTAATTATGCCCCCAGGGCAAGGAGTGAGAACGGCTATATTTAGTAAAAACATAGTATTTAAATAACGCGATATATTATAGGCGAGGAAATCGCCATAGCTCGAGTAGGCGGCTGCAAGAGCTGCACATTGTACTATTTACAATGTGTGTTTGTATTTTATATTGACACTGTATATACATTATTTTTAAAAAGGTGAATAAATGTTTTAAATAATAACAATAACTAATAATAAAAATAAATTAATTGAAAGGGACGATAATATTTTATTTGAAATATTTCTTATATAGAAAGATAACCTATAAAATTGACAAATTGCACTCACAATTAGGCATTCCAACGATCTGTCAAAATGCTGACAAGTGGAAACTGACAGTTTCGATATGGCAACTGTGTAGACCTGTTGTCATTGACAGGGTGTTTATTTCTGACAGGGATATTATAAGCTTATATCGTCATAGTTACGCTATCAATAGAGTCATAACTCCCTTGGGACATTATAGATCCTATAATTCTTCTTGGTATACGGCTTCACTTTTCGATGGAATTAATGATTCTCGTGCTTTTTCAGCTTTTTTCAAAATCTGATCCATTATATTTCAGGTAGAAATAGTTATTAATGCAAACACAGCTTGATAACAAAGTTCTGTTTATAAACAAGTAACATAGCAACAACCTAGCAACAACAAAACTCTTATAATCAAACATCAAATATACCGGGAAGGTAATAAATTGATACATTTTTTCCGTTTTAAAAATGAACAAAATTTTATTGAAATCTGTCAGAAATAAAATTATCTATGTACCACGGGAATTAATGGGCCTTAATAACCTCAGGCAATTGCTGTCCCTCGGGCCAAAGGCCCTCGGGACGCACACTTTGCCATCAGTGATTAAGGCCCTTATAATTCCCTTGATACATAAATAACTATTTAAAACCAATTTTAGGCCTTTGAATATAGTAAAAAAAATAATTATCAACATTTTTACTTGAAAAACATGGATGATCAATCTATATAACTATCTATTTTTTCTACACCCGTATTATAATAATGCACTTATATGCCCATAATCCGTTTCATAATGATACCCATTATGATACAGATTTTTCATTACGATACAGATTTTTAATCAATAGAAACCTACTATTTTTCAATCAAGCATGCTGTTTGACGTTTGTCCTAGGTTTCTATGTAATTGTTTTAGTTGTCAAAACGTATTAAATTTTCGTAGATAGCTAAACTTCGATAATTATAATATTAAAATGTCTCATATCAGCGATATAGAAGACTCTTCCACACATATCGGAGAAAGCAGAAAATACAGTACAAAATATTTTGCAGCAAAAATCTAGGGAAATACCAATACCCCAAGAAATACCATTAATTACAATTTTGTAGAATTTTTTATAGAAATACGAGTAATTACTGTTATTGTGTTCAATACCAATATAACTATAATATTTATAGGTCTTGATTATTTATCGGGTGTAGAAAAAATAGCGTATGCAACTCTCATGTAATGGTTATTAAAACACTCGCATAGACCATACGAAACTCGCCTTTGGCTCGTTTCGTATCCCGGTTAATGCTCGTGTATTAATAACCATCATTACATGATCGTTGCATAATATACTATTATTGATTCTGTCAAATAATTTGGTCTACAGGGTTGCCATAATGTTGTCATATCATAATCTGTCAAAATCCACTGATAGCACATACTTTGATTTTCTTTTACTATACGGAGAATGGTCGCACTTGCACAGCTTTCCGAGTGCCTTTTAAAAGGAGATAGAAAACGCCGTCATTTTGATCCCTTATTACGTGTTGCCTACATCTTGGCGCAATATTTTTAATAGGTGCGTTTTAATCATCCGCTTCTGCTTCGGAATTGTCGGTTTTCTTGTTTTAATCTGACAGGTTAAAACGACTAAACCGCCAATTCCGGAAGCAGAAGCGGTTGATTAAAACGCACCTGATATTTTGCTTGCTGCTGTCAGCGTCAGTGAATATTATTTTTGGAGTCACAGTTTATTGGAAACCATTGGAAAAATGTCTAAATAAAAATACAGTAGAACCTCGATTATCCGGGCAAGCCGGGACCGAGCCTTTGCTGGATAATCGAAAACACGGATAATCCAAAATACCCCATTTTTAATTTTTTTATAATTTATTTAGACAAATACTTATGTCAAAGGAACAAAAGAATATATACTTGTATATAAAATGTTTTGAGTAAGATATATGTGGAAAATGTATGTATTTAGTTTATACTCAAAACATTTACAGGGGCCATAAAATAGGTTGTACAAAATAACCAGAAAAAGCTTGTAATAACTAGCCAGGAAAGTCATATGTTGGACACATCAGATGTTTTTAATTGGAACACTGTAGTCAATTTAATTTACTGAAATTGACATACTAGCGAAATCTTTGAAATATTATTAAACTGATAGCAATTGCTAAGCCTTTCATAATTTGTAATTATCTTCTAAACAAATATTTCGACAATCAAATAATATAAATAAAACAGTAAATAGAAAAAATATATATTGATGCTATTACATTAATTTATTATTACTAACTTGTGAGTCCTGTGTAATTCCATAACCTTCTGTTCTAGATCTTGGTCTTGGTTAGGAGCAAATTTGAATTCACTAAGATAATTTTTGCCCATAGTTTCCGAATCATAATCGCCTAGCTCGGATTGAACTAGATATGATCCCAAAAGAGCGTGAGTTACAAAAGAACACGGTAGACGGTTATTCAAAATATCATTTCGAATTTGAAGACACAAATGGTATCTGGTAATATCCTCCTGTAATTGAGCCGGGTCGGGAGGGTAAAACTTTACTTCGAAACTGAACACCCAAGGTTCAACTGAAATAAAAAAATGGTAATTATTTATTAAAGTACTTTTGTTGGAGAAGAAAAAAATATGCTTACCTCTCATGAACTTACTTATTCTTTTTTCTAAATCCAACCAATTTCTGGGATCGTGTCTGTCTGCATAAACTAGACCAAAATAATCTTTCTCTATTAGATTTATTGCTTCACAAACTTTGTCCAGTAGTTCTTTGCCTTTAGCTTTCCTCTAAAAATAAAAAGAGTAAGTGCCTTGGTAATAATTGAAGACTCTGATGCAATAAGGAGATAAGTAACATTTCTTAGATTTTACAGAAGATGCGAAAACGTTCACCACGTTTCTACATAATAATTAAAAAATAGATGGTTTACAGAAAACCATATAAAAACAAACATGACCTACAATGCAAGATACTTTATTACTCTGCTAGAAAAACAATTCTAGTTCTGACTAGTTCAAAAACGGCGATAATATACACTCGTTCGTAAATAAACATGGAAATTTTATGGCTGCATGGAAGGTGGTACACGCTTTATGAGTACAATTATTATTTGTGGTACAAGATCAGGATAAGTACATGACACATACTTATACCACTCTTGCCCCAGTACATCATAGAGGATATGTATTTTTCTGTTATAACTCGGTACCACAGTAAAAGAACATTATTATGTTACCTATAGGCAGATATTCTGATTTTTCAAAATTTTGTACATATCCCCTTCTTGCACCAGAGTCTTCAATTAGTGCCAAATATCAGAGTGGACAGTATTCATTGTTAGAATAAGAGTATTTCATATAATTAATGCTGGAAACTTACATCGATAGTGATTGGTAAAACAGAACCATCTAACATAGTAATTTTAGCTGTGGTGCTTCCACTACCACGGATCAATGTAGTGGAAGACTTTTTGGAAGGAAGAGTATCATTATCAACTGCCATTTTCTTGTCTTCGGGCATTCTTGCCACAGTTCTGAAAATTAAAAACAATTTTTAAAATGTTCTAATGATCATTAAAAAGAATTAGTACACCCTTGTAGTGAAATGATTAGATTTAGGGAATAGTCGGAACATCTGGGGGGTACTTTAGGGTTTTCTACTATATGGAATATATTTGTTATTTACACTTAGGGAAGAAAATATTGCTTGTTATGTCATTCTCTATAACTCTTGTCCTTTATATGATTTTTCTAAAATGTGCAAATTTTGAAGATAACTATCCGTTTCTGAGTTAAAGAGAAAAACACCAAATTTTAATCCATTCTGGGAATAGTCGAGGCATCTCGGAGGGGTACTTTATAGGCTGTCGTTTTTTTTACTTTAAGGACTATCCATTATTTACGATTGGAGAAAAAAATTCTTCAAATAAAAGTTGTTTGCGATATCATTCTATATAATTTTTGTTCTATACATTATTTCTCTAAAATGGACCGTAATGGATAATTTTTAAGAAAAGTGAAAAATTTTAATTTTTCAGTATATTAAAAATTAAAAAAATTCGAGTAAGACGTGTGATTAGTTTATCCTCTAAACATTTATAGAAAAAATATGCTAAAAAGGAAATGGCTAATGACAATGGCCCCCCTCAAAAATATGCTAAATGGAATGGCTTATAGCAATGCCCCCCCCTCAAAAACTCGGCCTGGAGCCACCCTTGATTTATAATGTAGGGGAAGGTGGTGTATAGTGGGACATGAACTCAAAAAGCTATCTCTTTGAGAATAGCTTAACGAACTAGTTCTGTAGTATAACTATTTTGAGTTGCAATGAACTTCATTATCTGCAATGACTAATGTGTAATAGAAAGCATATGTGAAAATAGTTACATTTTGTCGTTCTGATTGTGAAGTATTGTAATATTATTTGCAGTGATATTTTTTTGAAATTTACTAGTATATGTATGTGAAATACTACTAAAGGTATGTATAAATGTAGAACTAACTTTTTCATGATTTGTGAATTTGATGGTACAAAAAAATTGTTCAGGTAATAATGGTATATAGTGGGACAAGTTTGAGTGGTATATATAGGGACGTCCCACTATATACCATATCATCATTTTTATTTATTATTAAAGTAGGTAGTATATTATGAAGTGTTCTTTCTTTTTCAGATGCCTAAAATAAGTCAAAAAAATGCGAAAATAAAGATAAATGAAAGCAAAAACTATCATTTATTATTTGTTAAACCATTTAACATTTAGAATTTTTTTTTTCTTTTTATTAAAATACTTTATGTTAATATTTGTTTTTATTTTATATTAAAATATGTGTTTAATGTTTACTTATCAATAAATAGTTTAATTTTAACAGTAACTTTGTTTGTCCCTCTATGTACCAGGGGGGTGGTTTACACAGGGACATATGGTATATATAGACATATTTTTTTTGTGAAAAATATTAACTATTTTGCAAAATTACTTTTAACAAGAAATAAGTAATGACCAAATCTATCTTCAAAAAAATAACCACTTTTCTTATTGAGAAAATATAATTTTAATCAAAGAAAGAAAAAACGTCCCTGTATATACCACCTTCCCCTACCTAATCTGAATTATTTTAAAAGAAAACATACATCATTCTGCCCTGCTAAGCTGAAACGTACTATCTGTCAAATTTCCGTTTTAGGGTTAAAGGCATATTTGTGATGCAGATATGCATCTACAACTATTTTCCTATGCAAAATATCCTAACTATATTATAAAGCACTTGTTCATACATTCATTTTCGTCCTATTTACCAAAAACAACATAATTACTAAGAACCCAGTCACCATTTACTAATTAAATTTTTTCCAAAGTACACAAATAGGACGTTTTAGTTTAGTAAAACTTAAAGGTATCAAATAAAATTACGAAGTAGGAAGTCCTATCTGTCATAGTTAAAAAAGGATGAAGTAGTGGTTAGTGCTTGGGACCAGAAATCCCAAAGTCCTGGGTATGAATCCCAGCCAAACCCAATTCTTTTTTGAATAATTTTCAATATATCTGCATGTTACAAAATTAATTCCTTTATAAATGTTATTACATATTATTGTTCTTTGTGTATACCTTTTTTCATATTCCTAAGGATAAACGTCTCAACTAACAAAAGTCAAAGTTTATAGCAACTACGCGATTTGCAAAGTATATGTGCATGTGTAAAATTTTACTCCTTTTGAAAAATATTTACACAGTGAACAATGTGAAAACAGAAAATGGTTAATATCTCAAAACTTTCTTCAGCTCAGATAGGACATTTTTCAGCTAAGCAGGGCAGCATTAGTGTCTAATTATATAGTGAAATTTGAAATTAAATATTTAGGCAACCGTTTAAATTAAGAAGATGCAGTTTGTGGCATTGAATTTCTCTCTAAGAGCCCTACAAAATGGTATATTTAAATTTGGGATATCTAACGGTGTATTTAAATTTAACATAATAGGTTTACATTAAAAAAAGGATGAAGTCATCACATCGTCATAGCTATGGTTATCCAAAATAAAGGCTAAACTAAATTTAAAATTTGACGTATCTAGGCTTTTTTGCCTAAACATTGCCTAATATAGATAACTTGAGGTTTCCAACCCAAATACACACACTGTATGTGCCATTTTTAGGTTACAACAAACATTACTATTGAATTACTTAATTCAATGGGTCAATGACCATATTTAGTTAAAAAGAGTGTGGGAGTTAAACTGTCAATATTCATTTTAAATTGAAACAAATATTTTTAAAAGGTGCAAGAAATTATTTTTATAGTAACATTTGTAGTCATTTTAATCCGAAAATAACATCATGAGTAATTCCTATGTGTTCTTAGTAAATGTGAGAGGTCAAAGCATAGTTTATTTTTCAAATCAAGAATAATTATGGACAATTTGTATCTAAATATAGTCATCTTGAATAGGTACCCTAAACAACGCAATTTCTTTGTGCAAATAATATGACAATAAATCAAAATAATTAGGGTAATTCTAAATATTAATAGAACTGAACAGAGTACTTTCCCGCTATTTAAATTAATAAAAATTAGCATTTAAATGAAGGGTCACACTTTATAATACGTAAGTTTTTTTTCCGTTAGAGGGCGCTAAAATCAGAAGTAACTTAATTGCCGATAATATTGCTGAAGAAGAAAATATATTTATTGGGTACTCCCAAAGGGCTATCGATGAGAGTCTTTCGGTCCAATTATATATTGCTTAGTACTTGGTATTTTCCCTATACAATATATAAGTGATGACATAATTTTTAGAAATGAATAAAAATAATCTTTAGTTTTAGATTAGTTCGAAATATTTTTTTCCTCAAAAAAAAAAGTATGAGTAGTTAATATTTCACATCTATTATACCACAAACTCTTCTTGAACCACAACATTGACAAAAATTTCGTTGTGAGGTAGAATGAAAACCATTGACCACTCTCATTTTCATTTTAACTAATAAAAAACGAAAATAAACCACTGTTAGGTTAATAATGGACTGTACATTATTTTTCTTTTATTTTTATTCAAAATTATTAAATATTTAAAATATGTACATGTACATATGTACCATAATTGGTATAGTAAAATGAAATGCAAAATGGATCATAATTCCTAGTTCTTCAGTATTTTACATTGAAGTTAATGTAAACTATCGAAGAACTAGGAATTATGATCCATTTAGCATTTCATTTCACAATAACTACTATGGTCAAACTGAACTGATCATTAGAATGACACGAACAGCTAACAAATATAAGATCTAGATTAATCTATTTGGAACATCTGCCTCATCATTCAAGGTATCACTTAAAAAATTTGAATTAAATGAATGACATGTATTAAATTAACTTATAGATAATCTTAAGTTTCACATTTATATTATGTAAAACATGTAAAATGGCAAATCCGTAGAAAATAAATAACTAAAATAACAGCTCCTAGAAAACCACTTAGCTAAGACACAATAGCATGAATGTTTTTACCACCCATACCGGTTGTAGGTATATCACACAAAAGGCCATCCACATGCACCACACACACTTAGTCTGCTTTTTGTCTTTTACAAACATGACTGGTTCCACACAACAAATGATACTTCAAGTTTACAATAACAAGCTGCAAAATAAGGAAAATATGGAAAGTAACAGGTGTAAAATTCAAATTCTAAATGTAAGTGCAGATGCAAAGTGGTGTGGACACACAAAATTACCAAAAGAAGTTAAAAGGTATATTAACCAAATAATTTTTAATTTTTTAATTAATACAATCTTGAAAATGTTAATGATTACCTATAATCTCTATTTTTATGTCTACTGTCACTGGAACACAAATTACATCACTAACAGCCATTGTTGCCAGAATGGAAGGATTTACTTCAATATGAAGAGTTTTGGGTGAAAATTTTAGCTATTGAAGGATTTTGAGGAAAAATTGTATATTTAGCTATTCCAATAAATTTACTAAGAAATTTGTTTTTTTTGTTTAACATTCAATAAGGAGAATTATTATTATTAATATTATACGAAAAGCCTCTATTGTCAGGTAAAAGCATAATGAATCGAGCAAATAGGTCTTTCGCCATCTGTCATCTCATAATTTTTTTACACTATTTTGTTATGTCCACCACTGTTTTGAAGGATATGAAGGATTTTGACCAATTTATGGAAAGAAAGCAGTCAAAACATTCTGGCAACACTGCAAATAATGATAATGGTTTTGTTTTCTTCTTGCCACCCTATATTTCCTTTTCAATTTTTCTGATAGGTAGGTTTAGATATTTGAAATAAAAAAAGTAACTAATAAAATAGGTACAAACACAAAAATAATCATAAATATGGTTTTAATATTTAAAAAAATACCATCACAATCACACTATTTTTACCAAAACATGAATTTTTATTTACATCTGCACAATTTATATATTATACCTTAGAAGCTTTTATGAATAACACTGTAGCATTTTTAAGTTGTATATTGACCTACTTGTACTAAAAATTCAATAACGCAATTTCTAATACCTAAATATTAAAATATATATACTAATTTAAGCCAAAAATGAATTCGTCAAGGCACCAAGGGTAAAATCAAAAAAAGCATAGCAAATTTTGTTATTTCTATTCGAGTATAAGTATCTATGATGAATCAATTAACGGGAACTTAAAGAGAACATCCGAATTGTTCAAACAAGCTAAATAACAAACCTTTTAGTTGTATTATTTGTTATATTTCAGCATAAATATACTAAAAATGCACATATTTCAATGAAGAGTAACCTAATTACTATTCAATTGATAAAGGTATCCTCCCAAGAATGTTATTGTTTTGATTTAAGGTTATAAAAATATTTATAAAGGCTGTTAATTCGGTATTATCTAAAAGACAATAAAATATTGAACATCGTACCTTATCAAAAACAGATGTTATCCATAAATTTATCGTGTTTTTCTTATGGAAACGGCATACACATTCACAGCGAACTGGGATGGGCCACAAACCATAAACAACAGAACAAACGACAAACGGAACGCAGAACGCAGCAATACTGAAGAACATTCAATCGGCGACGACGACAACCAAACGAATTTAATTTATTTATCTCAAATTTTCTATAAACTAGAATCAAATATATATAAAAAAACACGTATATTCAAAATATTGTCCCACTTACAAAATAAATTAAATAAATGTAAATACAAAATGAAAAACTAATATTATAATTCAGATCTATTTTTCGATGCGGACCAAGATGGAGGAACATGAAAGAGCAGTGCCGTGCTGGATCACTCAAAAAATTACGTCACGTATATTTAAAGAGATGATAGTTGTTAGTTGTCACGCCCATCATGGGTACCAGGCTAATCATTTTATCTACTGGACTTTATAATAATTGTTGATCAAATTTGTTTTTACAAAATATAAAAATATGCTTTAATCAACGTTGTAATGCTATTACTGTTAATTATTAGGAATGAGTTATATCGTTATCGTTGTCTGTATAAAAGTTCCAAGGTACCTTTTAATGTAGAAAACGGTTACATAAATGGTTACATACAGGTGCCTACATGTCCTGGGCTTGTTATGTACTAAACATGTAACTTTTAAGTAGACTAACTAAATATAGGTACCTATGGTCTGTTTTTAATTCAAATTTTGCCTCTCTTTAAACGAATCATAGCTTAAGGAGTGGGTGTAAGACGTAGTGAGTAAGACCATCATAAAGGCAGAGATGGACTTTTACATAATATACAGTAGGACAAATGATTTTGTAATATAATATAAAAACTTGTTCCAAAGTTTTGTCAATGGGAAGCAATTGGGTTACCATTGTAATTTTAATTTTGAATTGAACTATTGGCAACAACGGAACAATAATGTAAATGCGGTTGTAAAGTAAAACTCTAAAGGCAATGGGAAATTCTATTTTTTTGTACAGTCCCAAAATAGTGTTCCTATTTATTACATTACATTTATTACATATCCATTTGCTGCCACAACGCTTTCCAATTTTCTTGGCATGGACAAAATTAAATGTTGCATGTCGTAGGAATCTACGAGCTTCCCAAAAATTTTCAATAATCTAAGTAGACCGCGGTTTGCCTGCCTAATAAATAAAGTCTCTTTGATATATTATGTACATTTTCAATGGGGTTCACGTCAAGACTTTTTGATGGCCATGGCAAAAAATTTATGTTGTATTTTGTTAACGCGCTCTCTTAGGGTCGATTCCACTGTTGTGTTAAACGAAGTTTAAATTACTAAACTAAGATTAAAATTACATTTGTAATTCAAAAATATCATTTTAATCTTCGTTTAACACAACGGTGGAATCGGCCCTTATTCGAGTCGTGTGAACTGGAGAATTATCCTGTAATAAAAATTAATTTTTGAGATTTGTTCCCAAATTTTCAAATTTATTTAAAAACTTATTTTCTGATTTCGATTTGCGATCTACGACATGTTCAATTCACAATTTTCAAAAATTAAATAATTACGAGTATACCAGAGAGATAACAAAGATATAGCCATTCATTGATAAAATATAATATTCACGATGCCCAAGATTAAGTCGACAATCATCCCAGACAGCACACCAAATCCTTTGGATATCTACTGAACATCCCAATATCCACTGAATGTCCAGTCCATGGTAGATATCTATTTTATATCCATGAAATGTAATTTATAGACATGCAAATGTCCATAAATAATAGTAATTATATAGCAAATTATTAAAAAATTACGCCATTGTGGCTAATAGTACCGTTCAGATATTTAAAATTAATTTTTTTAAGGTGTATTCAATATCCCATGAACATCCACTAAATATATCAAAGTCTAGGCGCGAACGCAAACCATCGTGGATATCATAGATTACTAATGTGAATAGATGGGAAACTTAATGGTAATATTCTGAGTCGATGTGCTGCCATCTATCAAATTGGAGTGGTACTAAAATTCAATATGGCCGCTTAGCGCGGGTTTTTTGAAATTTAACTTTCCGCTAGTCGCGCAAAAATATAATGAAGAAAATCAAACAAAAAAAATAAATTGGCAAAATATTTGACTAGTTTCAAATCATAAAACAACCATATTGACTGTTTCGTGATTTGAAACTAGTCAAATATTTTGCCAATTTATTTTTTTGTTTGATTTTCTTCATTATATTTTTGCATTAATTTCAAACTTGAAATAAAATGCAATTTATTTATTTTTTTTTTATTACAGTAAATTAACGCCGCATCATATAATTTGTCTATTTAAACATGGAAATAGGTTTTCTGTAACAAACTTGACATATTTAAGTGCTCAAGACCAATATAACAGTTTTGCAACTTGGAGTGGCAATAAGTTTGAAAAAACTGAAGCATCATCCTTTTGGTGTCTTACAATCAAGGCGAATTTGAGGGTGGATAAAATTTGCCATATGCTTATTGAGTCGACTAGTTAAGGACCGATTCCACCGTTGTGTTAAACGGAGATTAAAATGACGTTGTTAATGTAAAAATGTCATTTTAAACTTCGTTTAACACAACGGTGGAATCGGTCCTAAGTTGAGGAACATTTCCTCATCCGATATTGTTTTATTGATTTATTTGTACAGCACCTGTAGTTATCAAATTCTTATTCATCATCTGAGCACTGTGATAAATAAATTTAACTTTCGAGCTTAAATTAAACTTACACACGTTTGGACCTTTGAAGATTTTGGGGTGTTTTCTTGTTTGATGTCAATGGCATTGAATCAAATTTTGATATTGATGGCTAAGGCTCAAATATTTCATCGATCTACAGGGTATTTTGAAGGGCCAACATTTTCGTTATAACAATGATCATTTAAAAACTGAAAACAAAAAGAAATTTAAATAATAAACCAATTATTTTAACACTGAATCAAAAACAAGTTTGTAAATATTACTTACCATTGATATGCCAGTACAAGATGCATTTTTCTTAAGACACTTATTACAAATTGTATGTTTATCCTTAATATGACGACCGCATATATTTAATACGTGGTATAAATTGCATCACTACCAATATCTGGGAGTGCTTCATTGTTCGTTGCTGAAATCCATGTTCGTTGCTAAAATCCATGTTCCCATCTCTTGAAAACATTCTTAAAATTGGAAGGTGTTGAAAAATAAATCTAGATGAATCAAAATTCAATACACCTTCAAATGCGACAGCCATTTTAATTTTTCCAAGTATGAAGTTTTGTTGAAAAGCTGACAACTGACATGACATTTTGATACGAGCGCCATCCCGTTAATTGGAGTGGTACTAAATTACCGTCCTCATGTTTTTCCATTTGAGTTACCAGCCCCTGGTGGATATCCACTAGATGTTATTTGATTCTGCTTACTAAGTATAGATGGCGATACCACTATCGCATCTACTCATGTTCGACCCGCCATAATTGAGTTCGATCGAAATTTTTGTCCTAATCACTCCATTACAGACTGGAGTCGAGAATTTTCATTTATTGCTGAAAAGTCCTAATAAGGATGACTTTCTCCTTAGTGGGCAAAATCAAAGGCAGAGTGTTGAAAATATTTTTTATCTCTGCTATTTTCTTTCGACGTTATTCAATAATCATTGGTTACTTATGAACCTCTACTAAAGATACCCATAAAATATTTTGCTGAATATCCGAATATCTTCTATATCCTGGGATATAGACGGACATTTGGTTGGATATCCATATTGGACATATTGAATATCCACAAAATATATTCTGTGGATATCTCTGGGATTTCTTGTATTTTCTGGAAGATACCCATTAGATATTTTGCTGAATATCATTAGGATATCTTCTATATTCGGATATAGACGGACATTTGGATATCCATATATTAGATCCACGGAATATTTCTGATATCCTGTGGATATATTGGATATCCACAAAAGATATTCTGTGGATATCTCTGGGATTTGGTGTGCTGTCTGGGATAACACTCAATTTATAGGTCCGCGGTGAAAATACGAAAGGTGAGAAGTAAGAGAGGGGATAAAGAAAAAGATTTTACGCAGATACAACTTTATTTTATCAATGAATAAATAATAAATGTGTAAGCCAGGATGTAAGCGAAAGGCGCTTATAATCATAGATTACTAATGTGACTTATAATAAACAACGTAACGGTGTAAGCCCTGTTGCCACTTCCAATTTACGATTAGTAGGTTTTGGAATTTATTGAAAATTATTACATTTAATTTAGTGAAATTACATCTAATTTAGTTAAATTTGATATAACCAATGATTCAAACTTTTTTGGGTTGAATTGCAATGAAATAGGTCTAATTATTTTAGCTTTTTAAATATATGTAAATAATTTTGTAAACAAAATGAGAATAATGAAATAGGCATATGACAACAGCGATATTATACCCATAGATATATAACCAAGACAGATAGGATTATTTACAAAAATTTTGAAGAATGAACGGTGGTGTCCGCGGTAGAAACCCAATAATCGGATTGAACATTGATGCCAAGTTTACGTGCTTTTAACTATAGACATATATAACCAATACAGATTACACAATTTCTGAAGTCAACGCGGATGATCCTCGACAGAAATGCAATATTTGGATAAAATTAAAATATTGATGCCAAGTTTGCAATGTTTTTAACTGTAGTAATGTTATTGCGTTTGCTTGAATTACTGTTAGGTCTTTAAATTGTCCAAAAAAAAAATAACGTCTGACAACAGCGGAAGTTGAGTAAACCGCAATTGTGGAGGGTCGTATATTGTTTCATTCATAAAAATTTCTTCGATACAGTACTAGTCCAGGAGCCAGTGAATTTTTTTCGTACTTGTTTTCCCGGTCCGTGTATATTTAAATAATCTATTCCCGGTGAACTGTATATTTAAAATGGAACGCCAATCTATTAACAAAAGTAAGCCAGATTGAATTCGCGCATTACGTCACATCGATAAATTACTATTTTTGAAACTCAACAAGGAGAAAATCCAATTAACTCTTCCGTTGTGTATATATATAAGATAAATTAACTGAAGTTTTATTAGTAAAGTATTAACACTAACATTTTAATGTAATTTACAGAAAATGGCTAGGTATGTATTTGTTTTTAAATAATTTATGAAAAAAGGGAGTAAAAGTGGAATGACCAGTGGCCAATAGGTCAGTCAATACAAAGTATCATATATTTCTATTATAACATAACTAAAATATACTTACATCTTTTAATCATAAGGACATAAGTTAAAAACCATTTTAATATATGCATTAGAATGAAGTAATAATAACTTAAAGAGGCGAGGTCTTAAAGTAATAGCTGGTACAGCATGTTTTTTAAACGTCTCCTCATTGCTGCTAGAATGAAATCACTTACT